GAAAATCAAATTATCAAAAGTAATTGGACATTATCAAAACAAAATCAGACAGTGGACAGTTTCATATGCAATAAATCTTAATCCAAACAAATAACATTAATTATTAATTATGCTTTCATTAAATTATTGAGTTTAATAAAAAATGAATTTGTTAATGAATGTATTGTAGTAAGAAATAAAAACTTACAAATTACGAGAAAATGTCTGTACAAAACTTGCTTGTCTTTGGGCATTGTCCAATCAAATATATATATATATGAACAAGTGTGGAAGATGCAATCAAAAAGTTTCTTTCACCACAGGTTGCATATTGGACTTTCTCTTGTGAACGTGGAATTCTTCGACAATCTTGTCTTTCCCAACAACAAATTTCAACCCTATTGAGTCTCTCTTCATTACCTCTGACTGTTACATCATTTCTGCTACAGCCAATTCAATTGTGTTGGAGAGTGTGTCAGTTATCCAAATAATCTTATGAGGTATTTTCGTAAGTTTATATATACATACAATATTTAAATAAAACTTTCAAGTATTTTAAAGATAATAACTACTTTTAACTTTATAAATAATTTTATTTATTTATTTTTATCTTAATGCATTTTTATTAAATAAAAAATAAAGTTAACATTTTTAAAGTGTAAGTATATCATATGAAAAAGTAATATATGAATAAGTGTGGAATCCATCGGTTTTGTACATTTTTCATGGTAAATCACTCACTTTTTAATAGAGTTGGCAAAATGGTTCGTGTGATTGGGTTAGTAAAAACACACCCAATGTTACTTGAGTTCTAAAATTTGATTCTGAAAAAAATGTGACCCTTTTAGCCCAATCAATAAAGCTTGTAGTAGAAATAGATTTGGACTGGATTAGTATAAACAAAAATAAAATTAATTAAACTTTTCACATAAATTAAAACTAACTTGTGAATTTTTTACTATTATTATATAAAGCTCTTTTCATTAAGCCTTGTTTGTTTGAACTGATTTGCGACGAAATACTGTTCACGAAGACAGAAACACGAGATTCACCCACGTTTGGTTGAACTGATTTGCGACGAAATGCAGGCGAGGAAAAGGGGGAGATGAGAGAGAGAGTTTCTTCGCTGAGGTGCGAAGAAAAGAGATGAAAGTAACGAAAAGACGTTGTTACCCTGCAATATATGATAGCGGTTAAATCTTAACCGCTATTATAACAGCACTTGTAATAGCGGTTAAAACTTAACCGCTATTATATATCACTTCTAATAGCGGTTAAAACATAACCGCTATTATATATCACTTCTAATAGCGGTTAAATCTTAAACGCTATTATATATCACTTAAGATAGCGCTTACAGAGGAACCGCTATTATATCCTCCAATATTTCGCTCGAGCGAGACATAATCGCTCAAGCGAAACACAACCCGAGACTGAAGAAATTAAAATATGGTTGTATATGATAGCGGTTCCACTGGAACCGCTATCTAATATACACTTTAGATAGCGGTTACAGAGGAACCGCTATTATATCCTCCAATTATGATCGATCATTACCTAAATCTAATCAATCAGAATCATATTTCGCTCGAGCGAGATATAGTCGCTCAAGCGAAACACAACCCCGAAACTGAAGAAATTAAAAATTTGGTTGTATATGATAGCGGTTCCACTGGAACCGCTATTTAATATACACTTTAGATAGCGATTACTGGAGGAACCGCTATTATATCCTCCAGCTTATGATCGATCATTTCAAAAATCTAATCGATCAGTATTGTTTTTCGCTCGAGCGAGATATAGTCGCTCGAGCGAAATGCAACTCGAGACTCAACTCTCACGCTTTGAGAGTTGTCTGTAGCCTACCTAAGCTCCGCTTTTTCGGTTCAATCCAATCAGCGAGTGGGATTAGAGAGCAAGCTGGCGTGGGGGCAAAGGCAATAACATCCGACTCTACTTTCTTTAATCCGACTCGGCACCGATTCAATCGGGAATTGAGAAGCGACAGGGAGTTGATGGAACACTTTAAGAACCATTCTTAAAGGGAGCTTATAATAGAGGTTAAACCTTAACCTGTTCCAAGCAATTCCGTTGATGGAACACTTTAAGAACCATTCTTTAAGAACACCGATATGATAAAAGTTCCAAGCAATTTCGTTTATAAAAGAGTTTTCGAAAAAAGCTGCATTAATTAATCTGTTCAAAGTTTGTTTTAATCTGTTGAAATAGTCGTTATAATCTGTTAAAAGTCCTTTCAACCCATTAATGCATTCTTGTTCTTTAACGAATTGTTTTAATCGATACGACCAAGTTTTTATCAGTTAAAACTTTTTACAAACATTTTCTAAGAATGATTTAATCGATTGATTCGCGGTTTAATCGATTGATTCAGTTTAAAACTTTCTTATAACACTTTTCAAGTTATTTTAACCGATACAAAGAAGTTTTAATCGATTAAAAACCTGCATGTAATTTTTCCAAGTCATTTTAATCGATTGAAATCCGTTTTAATCGATTGAAACTCGTACAAAAATTTTCAAGTCATTTTAATCGATTGAAATTTGTTTTAATCGATTGAAATAAGTCTGATCGGTCATATTTCAATTCGATCGATCATAATGAACTTCGATCGGTCATAATTATATTCTGATCGATCATCCTGACTTTCAAAGTGGTTTTAATCGATTAAAACGTGTTTTAATCGATTAAAATAAATCGAGCGAGATCATACTTTGCTAGTCGCTCGAGCGAGATCAGTTTCGCTCAGCGAAAAACAACCGGAGGATGAAAATTATGTGCAGGTGTCTTCGCTCGAGCGAGTTTAATGTCGCTCAAGCGAAATATAACTTGTAATAGCGGTTAAACCATAACCGCTATCTAATATATACTTTAAATAGCGATTACAGAGGAACCGCTATGATATCCTCCAATTATGATCGATCATTTCAAATTATGATCGGTCAGGATGTTATTTCGCTCGAGCGAGAGTGTAATCGCTCGAGCGAAATACAACCCCGAGATCTGAATCTTAAAATATTTTTTTGAATATTATGTTTTTTAATTTGTTATTAGAGAAAACCTTTCGGAATTCAAAATGTTAAATTATATATAATTTTCTATCAAAATTATATATTCTCAAATATAATTTATTTTCATTTCTATAATATATATATAAATTTTAGTAATATTGTGGAATCTATATTTTATATTATAGTAATTAATATAAATTATATTTTAGAATATGTATATAAATATATATATATATATATAATTATACATTAAAATAAATTCAAATTCGGAGCCTTTAGATAGTGATTATTCGGAACCGCTATCATATGTTAACATATGATAGGGGTTCCAGGTGAACCGCTATCTAAAGTGTCGAGGTTTTGGAAAAGTGATCGATCATTTTGGCAAAATAATCGATCATTTGAAAACTTGTACCTAAATGACGAGCAACTTATGCTTCAGATGTTATAATCATTTGTGTACTCACTCATCACATGTTAGACGACTTTTTGGCTTGCCCTCACATCTTCGTCTCTCCCAGTTGTTCATGTTCTTGAATGGAGGTGATTGAATGATCTGAACCTGGAGGACTTGATCGTAAAAGATGGATAAGATTATAATTATTTGTTTGAAGAGCATTAGTGTGCATAGATTTATAATTTTAGTAATCTTTCCTTTAATTATTATTCTATTTTCAATCGTATTTTATATTTGTTTTAAATAATAATGTACAATTATATTATTAGTTTTCATAATTATTTGTTATTATCAATCAATATTAATTATTATTTTATATTTTATAATTATTTAATTATTAGTCAAATATTTTATTTAATATGTCAACATTTTTTGAATATGGATATGCAATGTACATAATTTTGTAATTGTTTATTTATATAATTTTTAATATCTATCTAAAAAAAGTTAAATTTTTAAATTTGTTTCTAATTACAAACACTTTTAATTTTGTTTTTTCTTTTAAATATATAATCAATGTTAAAATATGGATAATTAATTAAAATTTTATATTTATAATCATTTGAATTGAACCTTATTTTATACAAAGGGTAAAATGGTAATTTTCTTAAATAATCAACATAAAATTATAATTTTTATATCTCATATCAATCAAATCATTCACAATTTCCCATAAACTTTTCTTTCACTTTACATTCATCTCCATTTCTCTTCAAATCCCTCCTTTTCCACTCCCTCATTTCCACTCTCTCAAATCACTCCATCTAAACGTTTCTAAAAGTCAAATGGTTTTCTTAATAAAAAGTATTCTTTTATGTTTTCGTTTTCTTCTCTAGCTATAGATAGGCCTCTAGAAAGAAATTTATACGAGACCAAATTCTTTTAGCTACAAGCTACGAAACTTTACAAGAGTATGGAAATAATTATGTGAGAAGGAACGGGTAAATTTATTTTGGTGTTTATTTTTTAATGTTAAACGAAACATGATGAATAATTTTCTTTGTTTTTTTTTATGGCTTTAATGTTTGAGAGAAAATTAAGAGATGGAATTAATTTTTTTAGATTCTTCTTGTAATTACTTTTCTTAATTCTAAGAGAATGTTAAAAAGAAAGGTATTTAATTTTTTTTACTAAAATTACATTATTCCCTAATGTTTTAGTTATTCTTTTATTTTATATCTTTTATTTATTTTTAGATGTGAATTGTTGTAGTGTTAGTCTAAAAAAAAACCTATGCTTCTGAAAAATCTTGCAACATACACTCCCATGATAATAGTTAAAAACGATGAAATTTGACAATTGAAAGAAGATGATAATCATTCACGTTATAATTATTTTTTTCAACTATTTATAATAAAATGTGCCAGAGCAGTGATATTGTACTTCCAACTCCTATTACCCAAATAGTACAATAGAAAATTCTGTGTAGTAAAAATATTGAGATCGAAACAGAAAATATTGAAATGCATGTTTATTGCTGAACTCCTAAACATGAATAAAGTGGAGTAGGTAATAAGAAAGAAGTATAAATATGTTCAATTATAGAGGTTTGGGTTGGATGAGCGTGGGGTGGGGATGGCAACAAGAGGTATTTTCTTTTTGAGAACAATACCAAATTTTTCTGATGCATCCAAGCTTTGTCCGTGGGGTATTGTCCAATCAAATAAGTGTATTAGTGTTGCAAGAAAATATAGAACTGTTCTCTCAGCCATTGCTATCCCTGCACAAATTCTTCTTCCAGATCCGAAGGGGAAATAATTGAAGTCGTTGCCACTGAAATCCCACTTTGCATCTAAGAACCTTGTAGGGTCAAATTGGAGTGGTTTTTCCCAAATGGAAGGATCTCTATGAATAGCCCAGACATTAACGAACACTCGAGACCCCTTTGGAATTGTGTAGCCTCCAACATTGGTGGTTTCAGTGGGGCAATGGGGTACTAGAAGTGGCAGCACAGGGTGCAGTCGAAGAGTTTCTTTCATCACAGCTTGCAAGTAGGTCAACTCGTGAATGTGAGATTCTTCTACCACGTTATCCTTCCCAACCACACCTTCCAACTCCTCTTGGGCTCTCTTCATTATCTCTGGATTCTGCATCATTTCTGCCATTGCAAACTCTATTGTGTTTGAAGAAGTGTCCGTTCCCCCCGTAACCATATCCTGTTTGTGTTCACCAAACATTTGCACCATGTTAATCAGGTTTTTTTTCTATCATCAATAATTGTGTTTCTCTCATTTCTATTTTTCTTCACTTCCTTACTCTACAAATAGAGGGTAACTTACAACTGATAAGAGTATAAAATGACACGATACAGGTTAGGCATACATTTTAAATTGTGCTGAGTATTAATAAATTTGAAACCTAAGATTAAATCAATTGGATTTGGCCGACGATGATGGATTCATATAGTAACTCCCTTCAATAGTTTCAAATGATAAAATATTGCTATTAATAATATAAAATAAATAATGCATTTTTTTTTTCTATTTTTCTTTAATCAAAGAATGTTTATTTTCATTTTTTTTTTCAATTTAACAATCTTCATTTTTATTCATTTTACATTTATTTTTCTTCTCTTCTTATCTTACTATCTAGGTTCAATCAAATAATCTAAAACAACTTTGTTGTTATTTGATCTTAAATATAAATTTTAAATATTTAAGATATTGTCAAAATCTTGATCGAAGTGACCCACAAAGAAGATTGGAAAGCGAAGTTTGTGACGGAAAGTTACCATGAGAAGAGCCTTCACGTGGGAGATGGTAAGTGGCGTATTGGAATCACTGCTTTCGTCCTTCAACTTCAACAAAAAATGCAGAAAATCCTTTCTTTCATCTTCTCCATCCACCTTCACTCGTTCGCCAATCACCCTTTCAAATATCCTATCGAACCGTGACACCAACACCTGCATCTCTTTCTCCACACCTTGCAAATCGAACCGGGCCAGCCCGGGAAAAAAATCCGAAACATTGGGCTTCCCAAGAAGCTGCGTTGTTTCCGCCACCAACTCCCTGAACTCTGCCCCCAAAGTTTCCCTCTCCGCCCCTTCCACCTCCGCGCCCCATATCATGCTGGTTATCACATTCATCACCGTCAAAAACACCTGCTCCCCCACGTTTACATCGCTCCCCACTCGACCGTGCAAGTACGACACCGTTTTGCGCATCTCGTTGCAGCGGAGATCATAAACGGAATCCAGGGTGGTATTGCTCAGCATCTTCATCACGCACACTTTCCTCAGCATCCGCCATTCGGCTCCGTAGGGGGTCCACACTATGTCGGAGCCGCCGTAGCTAGCAACCCTGCCGGCAGCGGGGACATCGTGGTTGGCGAAAACGGTGTCGTGGTCTTTGAGAACCTCGCGAGCCACGGCGGGTGAAGTTATGACGATGGCGAGCTTGCTCCCGAGTCGGAGCTTGAAATTGGGGCCGTAGATCTGGGCCAAGCTGGCGAAGTAAGTGTGAAGCTGAGGGTCAAGAGATAGAAGGTTCCCGAAGAAAGGGAGGCCCGGAGGGCCGGGTGGTAGGTTTTGGGCCTTGGGTTTGAGGCATGCGTACCAAATAACTGCGGAGATGAGGAAGAACACGAGAAGGGTGGTTGTGGGTTGATTGCAGTAATACTGGGTGGTTAACAGGTTTTGATAGAGAGTTGACCAAAGAGACATGGTGGTTGGTGTATTGTATTATCGTGTTGGGGTCTCAGCCATATGAAATGTTTGGAGTGTAGATTTTGAGGATAGCATATATAAATAAGAAGATGGCAACGAGTAATGCAAATAAAAATCTGCAGAAAGCGACAAATAGGAATTTGGAAGAAGAGGAAGAATGTTGGGCAGACGACAAAGGGAATCCTGGATATATTAACTGTGTGTTTCTTCCGTAGTCGAAAGGTTGATGATTTTTCTGGGTAAATTGGTTATGGTTGTAGGGGGTCTGATATTGATGGAAAGGTTGCGTGTGAGTGTGAAGCTTCTTATCAATCTCTTCACTTCTCTCCTTTTCCTCCTTATATCACCCCCAACATCACCCAACAACAAATTCTTCCTTCAATAATTCATCATTCTTCATAGCTATCACAACTAAACCGTGGGACCGATAGGTAGAAAACTGAGTTGATAGTGTACGGACTTAAATTTTTTTCACATTAAAAAATAGTGATGGATGAATATTTCAACTTTTAAAATATTAATATTAAAAAAAAAATTAATGTAGATATATTTTTTTATATTTTATTATTTTTATTTATTTTTATATTTTTATATTTTTTAATTTTTTATATCAATTAATTTATTATATATATATATATATATATATATATATATTTTAGTTTTTCACATTCTTTTAGTATTTTTTTTAATCAATTTTTTTAAACTTTTTTAATTAATTTAATAAATATAAAATTAATATTTCTTCTTTTTTTTCTAAATATTTAATAATAATTAATATTATTTTATTTATAATTTATATTTATTAACTTTTATTATATCTTGAATTTTATTATTTTTATTTATTATATATCAAATTTTATTTTAATAAAATAATTATATTTTAAAATATTAAAAATAGTTAATAATTTAAATTTTTATTTCTTTCAACTAATTAAATAAGAATTAACTTATTAAATATTTTCTTATAAATTATATATTTTATATTTTTAAAGAATAACTTAAAAATAATTAATTTATATATAATGAAATATATAATATAATAATAATAATATTATTATTATTATTATTATTATAAATATTATATATATAAATAAATAATAATCAAATTTTATATATATATATATATTTTTTTAATATAAATATAATAAAATAAGATATATATTTAATTAATAATAATTATAAAATATAAAATTATAAATATTTATTTATGTATAAAAAATATATAAAATTAATAAAATTAATTTTTTATTTACATATATTTTTTAAATAATATAGATTAGGATGAAATGAGAGAAAAAAAACTTAAAATTTAATAAAAATAAAAATAAAGACTTATTTTTTAATAATAACAGAAATCATAAACAAAAATAAAAATAATTAAAAAAGTCGACGAGATCGAAAAAACAAAACTCGACCCACATGCCTAGTTCATCAGCACATAACCCAGGTATAAACAAACAATTATTATTATATTCTATCACCTCTTTTAAATCAAAAATATATATTTACAAATTATTTATTTATCCTTTTCTATAAAAGATGATACCAATACATATTTTTGTATAATAAAATTAAAATATTTTATCTAATTTTCATTAATTATTTAATTCAATTTTCAGTTCTTACTATATATATTTTGAACCAAAAGAAAAATTTAATTTTAAAAAAATGATAATTCATAATAAATATATATAGAATTGTCAGGCTTACAATATTTGATTTTGTGTAACATATGATAAATTGTTTTTCATATATAAAATTACATGATACTTAGAATTACACAAAGGATAAATATTACTTAATCATTCATATAATATAAAATAAAGTTAACTATATTTTTAAAAACAATGATAAAAATTTAATATAAAAATTAATAATATATAAACATTAAACAAAATATTATAATAATACTAAATATAAATATATATTATAATTAAAATATGAAAACATCTTTTATTTTATTTTTATTTTTTGATTTTCTATAACAGTTCAAAAGTAATATTTTTTTATATAATATAAAATTATTTATTTTTAAAGACAATTATAAAAATATAACACAATAATTAATAATATATAAAAATTAAATAAAATATTTATTAATTAGAGCATGAAAACATTTTTTTTATTCTCCTATTGTTTTATAACAGGATACAGGCAGACAATGTCTTCTTCCTCCAGGAAAATTAGAGCTACATCACTTTCCACTCATTTAATTTCACCCTCATCCTATGGGTACCTTTAATGGAAGAGTGTTAATACAATAGATGTGTGGTTGAAAAAAAATTAAAGGGACCAATTGCACACTTATCCTAAGTGGGTAAAAAATATATTTATGATAATTTTTTCATAATATATATTTATAATAGAATTATATATGTGCTAAAAGTAAAGTTATATATGTACTGTATTTTTAAAATTTAAAATATCATATTTATTATATTATAAAAATATTATTTTATTAAATTCGATTAAATTTTTGTGAAATTTTGAACTTGGTTTTAAAAATATTGATTAAATAAATAATCAAATAAATTGTTTAAAAAATAAGAAAAATAGTGGGTGATTCAAATTTAACATAAAAATAATTTAACTCTGCTTTGATAAAAAAAAAACTATTTGTAAAAAGGATATATTTGAAGGATAAGTTATAATAAAATTAAAAATTATATTCAAATAAGATATAAAGATTAATTTGAAATGTCTATTTGTAACGAAGGTCAAGTTTAAGAGAATTTCGTGATATTTTCATCAAGAGCATTCTAATATAGAATGTTTAATAGAGAATTTCGCGATATCTTCCTTTTTGTACATGCTTTTTGTACATGCTTAGCTACAGTACGTCTTTCTACTATAGCTTTTGTGTCGTAAAATTTGTGCCGACATATAAATAAAAAAATTAATAGAATTAGTTGTATACCTATTTGTTAAAATTAGTAGTATACTTATAACTAACCAATTCTAAAATAATCCACAACTTCCCTTGATAGAATAGGCGCGCAAATAACAAAATTCTCAGATTACAATAGAAGAATACGTCACTTATTCTGAGCTTGAAAACATGGTTTAATGTTGGGAATGAGAAATTAAACAAAATTGGCAGTAGCACAATGAGTAGTTATCAGTATGTAGTTCACTAGTTTATTTGCATTTGTCACACGGATTTCCTTTTAAAGCATTTCTCAGTATAACTTACTTGTCACCTAAACGGCCAAACCTACGCAGGCAATCAGCAAAACTGTTAACAAAACTAGCACACTTCAAAGGATCCTTGATATGTTCCTTGTAACATGATAACGTCGCATATCTCTCTGCCGTGCACGGCTCAGGCTTTGGGTTTGGAAGCTTATACTCTTTGTCATGAAGATCCTTTGCCTTTTGGGTTACTTCCTGCAACATATTCTCCTCTTGCCTCTGCAATCTTTCCAAAACCTTCTCACTTTCCTGAAGCATAGAATGAATACCTTCTAACTCTGACTGTGCAGATGCAGGCAATGTTGCAGGTAGATGCAAAGGGGGCTGCACTGGCCACCCTGGAATAACTGCACGCTCGGGCTTTCTAGTTTCATTGGATTGGGACTTATCAGTGTCTCTTGCCACCTTTCGTCTACTCTTTCTAGTTTTTTTCTTTGGTACGGCATCATCAACAAGCTGATTAACAAGGTCGTTGCTAATCTGAATCGTAAACTCACCCATAATTGATAAATCCTACACAAATTACTCGAAAGATATAATAAAAGTAAAGATATTAAAAACATATTGATGCATCATGCAGGTAATGTAGAAAAAATAACTAAAATTGGGACTATCTTTAAAATTTAAGGATATTTTATATTGATTGTGGTGGCTCCTGTTTATTGCTATCATTATAAACATTTAAGCTTCTTATTTGTAAGCCCAAGGACTCTTACGTTATGTTTGAATAACTAAAGGTGGGTTAGGAAGGTTGGAATAAAATAGTGGGATGGAATGAGATGAAATAACCATCAATCTGAACATATAGCCTTAATGAACTAGGGCTAGAAAACAAGTAAATAATCATGTTTTGGGATTTGCTTCCATGTAATTTGCTTTCTAGTAGTAACTTGTGTTTTGAATGTTGTGCTTAATAATTGTGATTTGGAACTCCCAAGACATGTAGGTTTGTGATAAAATCAAATAATAACCACCAAATATATCAGTAATATAAAAAAGAATCAAAATGTCCCAACAAACTCTTAAATTAATTATCTTTTTATTTAATTTTATCTCAACAAACTCTTAAACTAATTATCTTTTTATTTAAGGTTATTTAATTTTATCCAACAGTTCGGAGATCTTATAATTTGAAAGGTTTCTAGGTTATTGATTTTAAAATCTATTTTGAAAAACAAATTTTAAAAACCGTTTTTCAGAAGAAAAAAATAATTTACTAATTTGTTTTGAAAACTGCCTTCAAAATAAGAAAATAAGGAAATTTGTTTATTAAATTTGTTTTTAAAGAATTTTTAAAAATAAGAAAATGGAAAATAATTTGAATGTATTTACTAAGCTTTTAGTCTTCATCAACTATTAAAATCACATGTTTCTTAAAAATGTTGAATCAAATTAAAGCAACAATTTTCTTTAAATCATAATTTTTATAAATGGCTTGAATAGAAGCTATAGAAAGCTTCCTTTTTCATCAGCAAAACTTCATTAATGGTATAATACTTAAATTAAGCACAAGTTGCCCAACTTTAAAGGTACAAAGGTAACATTCTAAGAATATGAAAACCCAGCAGCTATCTCGCAGAAAATTTCAAGTCAACACACTCCTCGCTAATGATTAACTTGAATCTTAAATTAGCACTAGAACATCTAGCAGAACTGGCTCAGCACCACAGTGGACTAAGCAGACAAATATTCAGATTTCAAAATAAAAACAAACAAAACCAGAACTCTACGAATCATACAGGCAAGTAAGGGGCTAAAAAAAGGGTTATAAATCATCAATTATAAATAACAAGCATAAAAAAATGCATTACTCCACGAGAGAAATTGTAAGAAGCTTACAACATATATATAAGTACACACTAGCTGGTACAGGGCAGGGAGATACATAATGAACAAAGTCATGTAAAGCGAGATGTAAAAACAGAAACACAACTGATCTGACACCTGAATTTGATAGAAATCAAGACAAGACACAAATATGGACCGTCTACTTAAGGAAAAAGAAAAGGAGTGGTAAGGGAATGATTGATGCAGGGTGAGTTGGCACTTAAGTGTGTGTAGGAATGAAAGAATAGAAACTAAAGATGTAGAGAGATAGAGAGAGGTAGGGATTTTTTAGTTGACGGGGGCCTATCATTCTCGCTTTTTCTCAAAGCTTAAAGCTCTCAACAAGTTATTGGTAGAAATCTAAATGATCTTCAAAGAACATTCTTATAGCTCTAAGGATTCTCAGAATGTAAACCTCAAGCAACCAGCAGTATTAATGGAAAAAATAAAAAAAATTTAATCACATTTGATGCCAATTTCAGCTTTTCTTTTCTAATTGTACAAGGGGGTCTTGCAACATTTTAATGTTCTTGCGGTGAACCGTGTGTTGCCACATGCATGCTCCTTTTGGATAGTTGACTGAAGGAAACGTTGGCAAAGCCATAAGGAATGACAAAGTAATTCTAAGAAAGATCATGGGAACAAAGATGATCGATCAAGTTCTGCCAATATTTCAAGGATTTCACCTTTTAAGATTTATTGAGAGGTTTAAGATTTCAAGCAAGTTCATGTGAGTAAAAGCTTCTACAGGAATAAATAAGACTAGAAATATTGATTCCGGAATAATCAATATTAAATAGCTTTCATTTTGGGAATGAAATCTGAAATATTATTGTTTGGAATATCAATAGCTTGTATCATTTCCAACATACCCAACCAAGTGGTTGTAAGAAAGGTTGAGTTACATGTGGATGTCTTTGAAGTGAGCAATGAAATCATCAGCAAAGACTAAAGCTGATCATGCTTTTTGGAATGGACCCATTAAGTTTGTTGCATTGAAGGTCTAAGTGTAAAAGCATATCAAGCTTTGAGATAGAATAAGGTACTTAACCAACCAACTTGTTTTGCTGCAGCAGAAGTTTGGTTGGGTCTTTTAATTAAGAGAGTTTATCAGGTATTGTGCCTTCTATTCATGTAGACAGAGCCCTAAAGGTGAGAAAGTTTGGACAGTTCTGGAGAAACTTGACCTAAAACTATTTTCAGAAAGGGCTAAAGGGATGAGTTGATTCAAGTTTCCAATCTCTGATGAAATTGGTCCTATATAAGAATTTACATTCAGCTGCAGGCGCAGGAGTTTAAATGGGTTCTGGATACCTGATTTTGTTATTCCACTAAAGTTGTTCATTTCCAAACTTAATGCTAAAATTTTAGCAGTTATAGAGGTCATCTGGGATTTCCAAGTCATTTTGTTGGATTACAAGACCTTTAAAAAAACCCTCAAACTTCCCGCTTAAAAAAACATGGTTACAGTACGATTGGCAATGCTAGGGGGAATGGAAACTGAATGCTACCAAAACAAAAACTGATCATAAATCCATTTACAAAATTTGAGAACAAAACCATGCAAGAGTGCCACCACACGAAAATATAAAAGGTTTTTGTTGCACATCTGAAAACACACTGACTAAAGGCAAAATCTGCATTTTGTCCAGCCAAATTTGAAAGCAACAAGCTGTTGTAATAATATCACAAGCAAGAAAGCACAATTTTGTTAAGCTACCACAAAATTGACAACACAAGCCAGTGACAATACATAACAATAAATTGACAAAAATGACATTGGACTAATAACTAGGGTTCCATAAATATAATCACATAATATTCTACACCATACTCAACAATTGAAAAACTTTAAAATTTAATAGAGTCTCATTTAGAATCGTAGGCGATTAGGACCTTCATAAATTAATTTAGCAATTAACCTAAACACTGTTCCGACATAGATTACTGTCCAGTGTTAAACGCAAACTTTGGTTCTAAGAGTTGGAAACCCAGCCCAACTATTTTCCTCACTCTAACATTTTTACGAACACATTAAGCGCTTATACTTGGTAGTTTTTCTTCTTCCAAACCTTCGCACCGGAATTTTCGATTTTAATCCACAATAGAATACTTTCTAACTATGAATAGATAGAAAAAATAGCTAGCGCTCACACAAAATCCACGAAGCTCACTAAAGTTTGGAAATCAACAGAAATGCTACTATGCCCTATGCTACCAATCAAATTCAAAAATGAGGGAAAAATAGGCATAGAACATAGGCAATACAATTAGGGAATAAGAACATTACTTGGAATTCGATTGTGTAACGAGATTGAAATTACAGAGAAACGATTGCGCGCAAAGGTGAGACCAGATCCGTTCGCGCTTCACAGCCTCGTTCTTTACACAAACAATTGGGGTTAGTGAACGCTATTTTTTCCCTTCGAATTTCAAATATGCCATTAAGGTAACTTGTTTTCATCTTTTTTTTAGAAGTGAAGGAAAAAACTGAAGAATAAATTAATTTTAGTTTTTCTATTGTTTTTTCTTTCAGAATTTTAGTCTTCACATTAAATAAAAACAATTTTAATTGAACATTCAATTTTAAGTACATTTATTTATTTATTTATTTTAATATAATTCAACCCTATACCTCGCATATTTATTTAAGTTATAACAAAAATAATTCAGTTAATTAAAATATTTAAAATAAAAAAGTAACCATGTATAAAATAGAAGATTTGACCAATATTATGAATTTTGCAAAATTATAAAAAAAAATCATAAAAAATTATAAGAATCAAAATCACGTTAAAAAAAAAAATCAAGTCACCAAAAGTAATTAGTCTTGCATAAAAACCACCTGTTTTTGTTTTTCAGTTTATATTTTTTAAATTAAACATTTTTTTTATAAAACTGGTTATCCAAGTTTTTTTTTTTTAAATTGAAAAATGTTTTTTAAAATAGAAAATAAGCAAGTCGTATTCGATTCTTTGCTGTTTTGTCTACACCAGAACAACGGGCAGTTCTTTTTCTTTTATTCTTCCAAGTTTCTATTATTGTCAAAGATACAAATTATCTTACACTATCCGAATCAGTAACTGTTCCTCTATTAGGTTCCTAATAAAGAGGATTAAATTGAAAGTAAATACTAATTACGATACTAAAAACTGAAATAAAAATAAATTTAGAAGTTTTTAATATTTAAAATAGAAAAGAAAATTGTGAATAATAATATAAAAAATTTACACTTGCCATCCAATAACATAGGACATGGATAATTATTTATTTATAAACTTTAACAAAGAAAAATAAAATAACAAGTCGTGTAAATTGGTGAACAATGTTTTTCCCTGAATAATTTATTTATATTTTATAACATTAGTTGGTGTTGGCACTTGCATAACTTGATAAACAATGTTTGTTTTTTGCAATATCTGTTAACTTGTACTACAAGAAATTGTATGGGGACATAAACTATATTATCATGGTATGTAACCTAGTTAATAGCCATTTATTTAAGGTATGGTAGTTGAAGAGATAACTAAAACTTTGGGTGCATAAGATTGCAGCAGAAGAGAAGAAGAGAGTTGAAAATTGAAAAGGGTTGGTACATTGGTTACAGATAACCAAATTGGAACGACAAAACACAATCTTGTGGGTGTTAGACTATGGCGTGTGTTGGCTAATGGAATGGTTTTGTTTTGGGAGTGTTATGATGAGCAGCACTAAGTACTTATGCTAATGGGGACATTTCTGGTCCATGGCGATATCATTATTCCGAATGGTCCTCAAAGTGAAAATTGCATTTAACAAGTGCAGTGTGCAGAGACTCTTCTGTGTCATGAGCTCAAATAAAATAACAAGAACAAACTTTTCCCAGCTACAATTAATGCGGTCTCCATTAAAATTTCATTGCACAGTTCAAAATCATGAGATGGAAAGAAATCACGATTTCTCCATCATTCCAGGAATATGTTCAAACCATTTCATGAGTGGCTATTAAGACAATTTGTTAAAATATTATTGGTGTTTTGAATGAAACACAGTTCAAGATTTTATTTTTATTTTTTTAAGTTTCTAAATGGTTCAAAAATTCTATTAGTAGACTTAATTGTAAATGGATAACTAAAATTTTACCTCAATCCACAAAATTATAAATGGATTGGATTTTTTAGATTAAATGTAATAATTTAGAACATCTTACTAATAGTTATTTCTAATATTTAAAAATAAAAGTAAATATTTTATTATAAATTTCATTTTTAAATTATTTAAAAATAAAAAAAATTATTTAAAATAAAAAAATTTACTTAAATAAACAATTCTAACTAAATTTTAAACTATTCAACTATAGAATCTATAATAAAATATTTGATTTTTTTCTTAAATCACTCTAATTAAATACTTTTTACAAGTATTAATAACATATTTTTAAACTTTTTTTTTACACCAATCTAGTTTCTTTTTTCTGTGCATTTCTTACCCCTCACTTAATTATTACAAGTGTAATTAATATTTCAATAAAAGAACAGTGTAATTTAGAGTTACAAAGAGGTGTCACGTAAAAACACACACAAGAAAAGTCAAATTATTTTTACACACTCAATTAATGATTGAAATTTATTGAAAATATCAAATTTTGGTTATTCTTATTTATCATTTTTTTTCTTTTTTTTCTTTTGTATTTTTGAATAAATTTAGCCAGTAATAGAATGTTTGTTAATAAAAGTGTTTCAGGAAATGTTTTACTGGCATTTTATCTTATCTCTTCTATTTAAGTGCAGATTGGAGATTCTGTGTGTTTAAATTTGTGATCTTAAATCAACGTATCTTTGTGGGTGTGGTTCAATTTTTAACGAAATAATAATTTGAATTAAGCATAAAAATTAAATATAATTTAGGTCTAATTTAATATAAAATCTAATCCAAATTAAACTAATATTCACAATTCATTTCAACATATGTTCTCATAAATTATTAACTATTTTTATTATGAAAATTTCTTAACTATTTTAACAATCACAAATGATTATTATTATTATTATTATTATTATTATTATTATTATTATATTCATAATTTTAATTATTTTATATTTATAAATAAATTACATAATCTTATAATTAAAAATTATAATTGAAAATTATGGTAATATATTTAATAATTATAAATATATTATAAATGAAAAACAATCGAATTATAAAAATCTTTAAAAAAATATAATCATACATATTTATTAATTATAATCAATTCTAAATATATATTTAGGTTAGTTTGTTTTGATTTTTAAATTTTAATTAGAAATTCAAAATAAATTATGTGATTTAAAAAAATGGAGTTAAAAAATCTAAAATAAGAAATTGTTTTGATCAATTTTTTTTAGATAAATTTTTTGTTATTTCAATCTGTTCGGTTTTGAATCGTTCGGTTATAAGTAATTATTCTAAGTGATTATTCTAATCTAAGATTTGATGACCAGAAGATAAGATAAGCATATGATAATAATAACATAAGAGAATTACGATCCTCCCAGTGTTACACAAAAAGATCTTCTCAGTAAGCTACCTTATAATTTTACACAGTATTACTTCTTAAACTTGTTAGAAATAATTTACCATATCTAATTTTTATACAAAGTTTTTCAAACTTGAACTACAATTAATCACTTTATCTTTACTTAAGAGTTAAAAAACAATGTTTCTTAAGATTGAATTAAAGTTTATCATTCACTTTTAACTAAGATAATATATTTGCAAATGATCCATTTGTCCTTTAATTGAAAAGGTTAAGAAAATATCACTCACTTATGTATTAAACCTACTTTTAGGGATTAGACAAATTTTTGAGATCCTTTGAACAATGTATTTAATATCCGTATTCCTATTTATGAGACCCAAATGAGAAGTAAGTTTATTTATTTATTTACCTATTTTTTAAGAATCACTTAAACTAAAAATTCTCCTAATCAAAGAGAAGTTCTATTAACAATGATAATTTAAAAAGATATAATTGTTATTGTAAACTTATTTAACCATTTTCTTAATAATGACGAAATGGGTAAGTAAATCTTATATAAATTGTTAACGTATTCATTCTAAAAACACAAGTGAATCTATATTAATGAAACCCTTACATAGTAATGTATAAATTAACAAAAAAAGTAACAAATTGAGAGCATATTTGGATTTGTTATTTAAAAAAGAAAACGTATTTACGATAATTTGGTGAGACAAATTGAAAAACAATATATCTTTAAAAAAAATCAAACAATGATGCACTAATAATAGGTGTTTCACAAAGATGGACATGATATTTGATGTATAGTAGGATTTGTGGGTACTAAGTATACAATATTACTCCTCCGATGTGATGAAAGGTTTGACAGGTGATGTAGGACTGGAAAATGATACCGGAGTTGAACAACAAAAGGATTGGTGTAGGGAACACATTTTAATTCTTAATTAAAATTGATGATTCACCTTAATAATACAGTAAAATTTAATTAAAACAAACTCAAATATTGAGTGAAAAACAACACCCAAATAATGTCGAATTCTTGCATGCCACTCATTTTCCCACCTGCCGTCTCAAAGTTCGTGGTCAGTAATAATCTCCACCTTCTCTGATTTCTCTTTCCTCTGCGTCTCTATCTATCTATCCATCTCTAATGTGACAGAAAACAGAAAAATGAAAGAATACAACTGAACTTGTAATCACGAAAGGTTTTACCTTTATTTAGACTTCTTTGACATTTACCATTTCTTCTTAGACCATTTTAGGTACAAGTTTGTAATAAGATGTCCTTATCAACAGAAACATTATTTTAATCAAATCCTACAAGTTCTTTATTAAAATAGAACTCTTCTAGGAAACTTTCTTCGAACACTAAGAAGAAAGTACGTACATACTGTGGCGTTTATATTATTTGGTTTTGGTTTGCTATCAATTTTGGTTTGCTATCACAAGAGGAAACGTTCACCTTCCACCTTCCGAGAACATTCAGTAAAATACTAGGTAGATAAAATTCAACACCAAGAACATAAATTTGAGCCCGTGGTATTTTGTCACACTTATAGATTTGATTGATATCTTATCCTGATTGTTTGTTCCGTAGACAATTAATTCCTTTTACCAGATGTACTATTGCATGGTGTAGTTAATGCCCCTCTTCCTTCATTTCTATAGTCTGCAGTGCATTTGACTCTATCTCGTTGAGGCAGTTAAACCCGAAATCATGAATACCAAAGTCCTGACAGTCCAATAACCAAGCGCAATTGTCCTCCCAAGATGGTAGCAAACCCATGTTATTATTAGTATTCTCTAGTTTGGTTGTTGTGTCCCATAATGCTTCCATCAGAGGAGTTTCATCCAGCCACAGGGTGTTTAATAGAAAATCCTCACTGCAAATGGTATCTAGCGCAAGTGAATCATCCCCAGAAGAATTTTCAGCTTGGGATGAACTTGAATTCTCCTCTGAGTTGAGAACCCCGTCAGTTTCCTTCACCTGATCCAGGTTATTTCCAGATTGTGGAAAATGCTCTGAAGGGGAGGATGAACTATCCTGAGATGCTGCTTGTTTATTGAGAGGTTCATGAGTAACGGGATCAATACCCATCTTTAGCAGTTTTTTCTTGATATGTGTGTTCCAATGATTTTTAATCTCATTGTCTGTTCTTCCGGGTAACCTGGAAGCAATTTTGGACCACCTGAGATACCAATAAACCATATATCAGAATTCATTATACACGTGAGACTGATGTGGATGTCTTTCGCAAAGACGTGTCAATCATATCAAACATGTATTTACTTTAGGTAGTACTAACAGCTTCAACTGGGTTATCATTATTTAACTTGTAACTTACGACAAGTTTTAGTATTCTTCAACAATGAATATCAGTTCCAATGATGTGGATTAACATTTTAGCTTGAGCATCAATTACACAGGTCAATGAATTGCTGCTTTTCAAATTTGTACCTACCATTTGGTATCCATGTCTGAACAATTCACATATACCACGCAAAGTAAACAATATATGAGAGTTTGAGAACAGAAAGATGCTATTACTATGTTGAAATTTGTAAACCAGGCAAGGATTCAATTGCTTCAGCCTCAAGTAACCTTTGTTCAAAACAAGGATTTAAATGCGTTGCCTTCTTCAACATTATTAATGGTTTAGACTTGAAGTCACAGTGGTTAAAGACTATGTGCCTTCCAAAATAATTCGGGAGAAAAACAAGTAATGAGCAGGGATCATCAGTTGTTGGACATGGGAAAATCCTTGATATGTTTGGGTGAATACATTGTCTACAGGGACGGCCAGTTACTAGTCCAAGATGTATTAAAATAATAAATAAGCTAACAAAATCCATGTTAAAATTATTTTAGTATTATCTTGAGCTTCTGATTGATCAATTATCATACTTGTAAAGACTGTGGTCATGTAAGAATTGTTCAGAAACAGAAGTCAATGCATGTTGATGTGGCTGGGCTTGAGAAACGTAAAAACCTGTTGCCAAGACGGGCATGGAGATCGATAACAAGTTGCTCCTCTGCTTCTGTGAGGAGTCCTCTCTTCAAGTCTGGACGAAGATAATTAGTCCAACGAAGGCGACAACTCTTGCCACAACGCCTGAGGCCAGCAAGCTTTGGCACAGCACGCCAACAGCACTGGCCATTGGTGAGAATGAAGTTGATGAGCTTCTTGTCTTCCTCTGCAGTCCAAGGACCTTTCTTCACCCCAAGTTTGTCACAGCAGGGTTGCCTCCCCATAGCACTAACACAAACAACAGCACTACCAAGCTAACCAATGCAATTTCCCAAACTAATGCAAAAGTCTTACCAACACAAGCTTGCAATGAGTAATGACCCAAAAGCCCCACTCCCCACCCACCTTTATATAAAGCCCTCTCCTCTTCTTGCCTAAATTATTAATTACATATAGGTGCGATAAAATCATGCATCGAGAGAAATTAAAAAAGAAAAAGAAAAAAAGGAGTCTCAGGAGGCAGGGTTAAACAGGAGAAGGTTGGGGGCTCCACCATGGGTTGTGAAAGGTACGTGGGAACTAATATGGGGTTTTCTGGTGTTTTTAGCTACGGAAAATGGGTGACGCTGAAAGATGGGTGACCCAGAGGCAGAACTATATGTAAGCATCCCAAAGAAGCATAAAAATAATGTGTAAAATAATTATACCTTTTTAAAATTTTCCATTACGAAATGCTAATCCACTGCCCTGATTTCACTCTTACTCAACCATTTCGTCATCACCACGTTTACGTGTCCCTTGGCTTCAGGTTATGGTACGGTGAGGGCAATTGCTATAAGTCTTGAAACTCTTGTTCTTTGATGTGATCCAAGAAAACTGATCCAACGCTGCAGGATCATCACGTCAAATAGGGACTGGTTGGAGCAACTATGTGTCCCTGATTCTAAGAGTTCAGAGACATTCCTGATGTGCAAGAATGGACAACGATCTCTGGAGATTCCAAAGCCACAAGGTTGTTTTCTCCCTCGTTTCCATCTTGCAGTAAGTTTTAACTCCCACCTCACTCGTGGCCATGGAACTGACTATCATTAATGCAAGTTACGGAAATTTATTCAGACAAACATCTATTCGTAACCAATTGTAAAACCAGTCCAATAGGCCATGACTTCAGCATATTTGGAAGGATGGTTATAGGGGCTGAAGAATAATTTTACAAGTCATACCTACGAAGAGGATAGATCTTGCATATTCGTTAAAAGGGATAGATATTGACGTCCCAATGAGAAAGCATCGATGGATTTAAGTAGAGTTCAGTTGCAGCATGTGCTAGTTGAAGCAAAATACAAACGATAAGGAATTGTGGACTAACGCTGTATCAATACCTATTTCCTTTCAATTTCTCTAATCAGATAGAATTCGGGTCAACTACTTGCATTTGCCCGTCTATTGTTGTTTCATCTAACAGATCGAGAGAGCGCTTAGAGTCATATTTGGGACTGAACAATCATATGTACGATTCGTTGTTAATACTGAATCACGGAAGAGCAAAGCTTAACCAGATACGGTAATGAAAAACCATCTCAGCCATGGCTCTCTAGGGTTCCATATTATTTCAAGAACATAAAGAACTGATTCTCAAAACTTATGTAATAGGATGGTTAATCATTATTAAATCTGGGATAGATTATATTCAACACATTTTCACAAGCTAGACATGAAAAGCTGGAAAGTATGTATGAAGTTGGATCAAATCTTGGTTTGGTATCTTGGACACGGACTGGACATGAACTTGTTGATTCGTCTACCTACGCCTCATGATTTCTAGATGGTTCCATTCTCAGATCAGCTTCGTCAGAGATTGGTTGATTGATTTGGCATTGGTTCCGATACGTTTCCTTTTTTTATAATACAAACGCACTTCTAGACTTCACTTAACCATTAAAGAAAAGGAATAACGTAGTAATTCGCATTAAGTATACATGGCCAACCATGCACACCCAGCAAAAAAAGGGGTTCTCCCTCCATCCTACTCCACTTATTTTCTACGTACTCTTGCTCTATACGACTTCGAAGAATCTTAAATACAATCCTTACTAATTTATTTACCCAATTAAATTAAATTTGATTAGTATTTATACATATGAAAATTAAAATATATCAACATAAAATTATTTTTTTTTATTCTTTTAAATTCTCGTTCCTTTTTATTTTCTCTTCTTACACTTCGTCTTATTATTCTAATTTAAAATATTAAATTAAAATTTGAAATTAATATTAAAACTAAAAAATATTAATTTAAATTTATTTTATCATAGTAAACTAATAACTTATTTAATTAAAAATATCTAGTAGAAAATTTATTTATTATAACTAAAATCTATTTATTTATAGTATTTGTGATATTATACAAATATTAAAAGATTAAATAATTATATACATTAAATTTCAGTCATTTTACTAATTTCAGTAAAATTTGTTTTCTCATAAAATTATAAATAAATGATAAAAAATACATGTGATGAATTCAAAAATCTAAAAATATAGGATTTTTATCAAAATATACATTAGTTTTCTTATTATATTATTTGAATTATAACAGAATTTATTTTATTCTATTTTTATCCAATTTTAATTTAATATTTTTAATTATAAGAACAAGAATGAGTAGAACGGGAGGGAAAACAACATAAGATAATGAGAGAAAAAAAAGTAAGTAAAAAAAAAGAAAATAAATGAAAAGATAGAAAAAAAAGTAAAAGAATGAGTGAGAAAAGAATAAAAATAATTATTTTATCTTATGAAATTTTTATTCTAATAATCAAATTTTGTATATGAATATTAAATATATTTATTTTAAAAATAAAATAAAATTTGTATTTAAATAATATTTCTTTTAAAATATATTATTATTATGGTTGATTCATATCTCCCCTCATCCATCACTTAAAAATATTTTTTATGCATATACCTGTAAGTTTTCTGTCACTTAAACTTAAACTTAATATATTAGTATGTAATAACATGGGTTACGCATATGAAAGTAAATAAACATTTAGTTTTTTTTTAATATTTAAAAGTTATATTAATAATAATTTATAATTGAATAATTGTTAAAAAAATTACAATACCCAAATATTAAACTCTTATCATTATTATTAGGAGTTTAACTTTTAGTATGTATAATTTTTTTAGATGGTCATAACTGGTAGTGAGAAATTATTATCAACTACCGAAGATTATTACATATCATTGAAGAGTTAGGTTACTGTTGCAAGAAACATCAATTGTTCTGTGACGAAGATTAGGTGAGTGGCACTTGCGCTCTGACTAATAGCTATAACTTTTTAAGTTATAGCTTTTGGCCTAGTGTTAAATGCTTGATCCTAACAATTGGTATCAGAGTTAATGTCACGAGTTCGATTTCTAGTGGGACAATTGTTGAGGGGGAGATTGTTGCAGGTTGCACAATTGTCCCCTGGCGGAGACCGGGTGGGCCAAGTCACAATCCAAGAGTGGGATACCTTGTAGGACAATTGCTGAGGGGGAGATTATTGCAGGTAGCATCAATTATCCTGTTACGAAGGTTTGGGCCGAGTCACAATTGAATCGTAGCGCTTGGACTGTTAAAGTAAAAAGAGTTGCGCTCTGACTAATGACTATAACTTTTGGCCTAGTGGTAAGTGCTCTATCCTAGCAGTTACTTGGATGAAATTACTTGTTTTGTTGATATGATTCTATTTTTCATATTATAACTTGTGATTGATAATTTTGATACTTATTTCACACGAAGATTTAGGTTTGAAGGCACTTCAATATAGATGATATGGAAATTTTTATATTGACATCTATGTATATTTTTTAGGCTAAAGGTTAAAGTTCTAGTTAAGGTTGTTTTTAAGATATATAAACTATTGTAAATTTCTTAATATATATGTTGAATTCTTATAGATAAAGAGTAAATATTTTATATGAGTAATTTTATTCAAACAAAAAACATCATATAATGTAAAAACTTGTTTGTTTATAGTTTTCCAAACCGGTTTTAGTTTTTTAATTTTCAGAAACTACAAACAATATTTTATATTTTCATTAATAATATTTTTTTTTATTATAATTTGTAGTATGTTACTTGTCTTCATTTACGAACTCGTTTTCCAACTTAACAACTTACTTTAGGATTCTTTGTTATAATAGATATCATAATTTTTCGATTAAATAGTTTTAAAACAATAATTATTAAATATATAATTTTTTACTTATTATAAATAAAAGAAATCGTTTGAAATTTTTTATAGAACTGAATTTAAAAACTAAAAAACAAAATTATTTTAAATAAAGTTTTTTTTTCTTTTTACTATTTTTATATATATAAAAAGGAAATAATCTTATAAATAATATATTTAAAAAATATTTAAATAAAATATTTGTTAATTTATTTATTTAATTAAATTTATTTTTTTATTAATTCACTACTTGATTTTTTTTCTTTATTTAGTTTTTTTCCACTCTATTTTTTTCTTTTCTCAATCCAATCCATCCTCTTATAATTAAAAATATTATATTAAAATTTGATAAAATATATATTTTTTATTTTTTTAAATAAAAATATTTAAATAATTTAAAAATATTATAATTTAATATATCATATTTTTTTAAATATTATATAATAAATTTTGAGATATTATAAATATTATTATTAGGTTATAATTTAATATTTATTTCAAATTAATTTTTTTAATGTTTTTTTTTAAATTATCTAATACAACTAATCATCTTAAATTAATTATAATTAGATTAAATGATTAAATAAAAATTATATTTAACTCATAAATATTTAATATTTATAAATATATAAATAATTGATTTATTATGACAAAAAATTTAAATTAATTATTTATTATCATCATAAATAAAATAATTTATTATTATTATAATTTTAAATAATTAATTGATATTTTTAGTATTATTATTGATTTTAAAAACATATTTTTATTAAAAAATCAAATATAAAAAATAAATAGATAAGAAAAAAATATTTATAAAGAAAAACAAATTATGTATGAATAATAAATAAAGAAATTTTATTAAAGAAATAAATTAACAAAAAAAAATTAAATATTTTTTAAATTAAATAAACTTTCAAAATATATTATTTATAATATTTATTAAAAAATTAAATGCTTGAAGCAATGAGGGAGGATAATATATATATAGATTTGGTTGTGATATGACAGTGACGGAGAGAGATTCCAACAAAAATTTGTGTCTCTTGACTTCTGGGCCTTTTCCTCCCCGTCTAAGCTTCACACTCACAATTCAATACAAATCCATTCTTATTTTCATAAAAATCATCGTGCATTCAATTCCTCACCAAACCGTCAATGTATTTTCTGATTTTAAAAGTCAAATTTTCCTTCTTTCCAGTTTCAGGACCAATCATTTCTTTCTAATTCTTGGAACTATAATGAAAAATATGATAAGGCACAGAGAAGAATGAAAGTTGTATGAGTATTACTCAGATCCTAATCCCACATAGTAACATGTTGAACTGATGAAATAAAAGAAAAGCAATGAAAAAGAGTGGCTTACTTGAATGAAGAAAAATTAGGGAGAAAATTAAGATAAGAGGAGTTAAAGAAAAACATAATGGAGTAGTGATTATGGAAGTTAGGTAGGAGGAGGTAGAGTGGTACGTAGCATTGATGATGTATAAACTAATTCTTTGCTTCGTCTGCAACCATTACCATTACTGTAGAGGTTGTCACTTCCTTATCACATTCACGCCACCACTTCAACTTTCATTTTATTCTTTTTATAAACATTTTAGAACAAAATCAAAATAAATTAAAAGTTCTAAAATAAACAATAATTAATTAATGATTAATTTTTATAATATTAGCATATCTGGAACACAGACTGAATCATTACTTTTGATATTAATGTTAAAAGTGATGGAAAATAAGAAAACAAAAAGATGAATACCGTGGTCACTTGAAGGATTACTGAAAATTAAAGAAGAGGAATATTAAGAAGATGAAAAAAAACATTACTGAAAATTAAAGAAAAAATTATTGAGAATTGAAGAAAACAAAAACTAAGACGTAGAAATAAATAAAAAAAACATAGATTATTCGAAGAAAATAGAAAAAAAAATCTAAAAATAACATTTCAATGAGTTAAAAAATTATATATTTTAATTTAATCTTAAAATTAAAATAAAATGTCTTAAAAGTATTCATTTTTTTACGTTCATTTTTTATTTCTAAAAAATTCTTACGTATTATTATTGAAATATAATTTAAGTTATATATTATTATTGAAATATAATCTAGTTCGTTAGATGAATTAAATTTTAATAATAATAATAATAATAATAATATGTAAAAAATCTATTTAAAATAAAATAACACGAATGAAAAATATAAAAATTGTTTTTTCTGAACATTTTATTAATTTATTAATCTTGAAAAAATAATTGAAAATTGTACAATTTTAAGGATAAAAAAAATCATTGAAACTTATTTAATTAAATATTAACTTTTAATTATATTTAAATTTGATCCTATATACGTGGTAGTGATGAGAGTTGAAATGTTAATAAAACTAAAACGTTAGTTAATTGATTAATATAAACAACTCATCGGCCTAAGGTTTTTAGAAAACTTTCTATAATTTGAGTCCACAACAATTTTAAACCAAATAAACTTCGATAATTTTTTTGAATGTGGAAGGTTTCTTTCCAAGTTGTATTTTCCTTTTCATTTTCAACGAAAACTGAGAATAAAGTTAAAAATATGTTCGTTGAATTTTACAAAATATTTTCTTTGATTTTTTTTTTCTGAAATTCAACCAAATATGAAAATATCGAAAAATCTATTTAAATATGAAAAAAAATGATGTTTTAAAATAAGGTCCATTGTTGCATGATTGTATTTGAATTCTACTTGGCTTTTTATTATCTCATTGGGAGATAATCTAACCATCTTAATTTGACCGGTTTTATTTTTGGTTTAGCAAATATAAAACGAGATGAATTGTTATGTCATAATCACGATAGATTATATTTTCTAATCAGTCTCATAAAAAAATATTCACAAACTAGTAAATAAACCTGTCAATATTATATAAAATTTTGTCATATGCTTGTTTTTAAACTTCGTTCATCTAATTGATAAATTAGACTGGACATGTTCAAATTATACATCCATCTTATTAATTTAAGGTGGGTTGATGGACCAACCATGAACCTATCTCATTTAATTTTTTGTGTTTGTAGACATCATGCGATAATGTTTAATAAGACAAAGTAAAAACTTTAAATTATCTGTAATCACGAAACTGATCAAACACAGATCCTGGAAGATAAATAGCGAAATGCAAAGTGTGAGTGAGATATATGAAAAAGTTTCCTTAGACAGTGTAACATATTCACCTCAATAATTCTGGGGCATAATTGGATAACCCAAACTAGATATCTTTTCGTGTGATCGAATGTTAATCCTAAGAGTAAGTGTTTAAATCATATTCAAACCCAAAAAACATAGGTATGCCATTTCAAGAAATCTTACTCCAAAAAAAAAAAAAGTGGAACAAAGGATTGGATTTATTTTTTTTAGATTTTTACATTTGCTTACAGATTACTGAACTGGAGCGGCAAAACCCCCATAATAAATAATTATATTGGGAGAGTTGGAGAATAGAATGGAATAGTTTGAGTTAGACGTTTTACCTGTGAGTAAGATGAGATGACACCACTTCAAACTTCTACTTCATGTCAAAATTACTTTCTACGCAATCTTTCTAAATATCTTCAGAAACTCAACACTTCACGAATCACTTTCCCACTAAAATAGGTCCAACTTGGAGTTACCAAACAGAAGGAAGTTCATGCAATTAAATTATATGCATCTTCAAATATTCCCAATCCTTTGTATTTGAGAACCCTAATTTTCCTTATAAATTTTTAACTGTTATCTTTTTGGAAAATGTTTCATTGAAAACCCCATCTCTTATATAAAACTCGTCATATTTGGGTCGACTGGGTGTCACCTCTATCTTTTTCATATACTATTGTTTCAAAATTTTATCGCGTTCACACTTGTATTATCTATATATTAACATATATATGAAATAATTTATTAAATGGTATAACGCGTTAACACATATTATATGATAATGTTTAAGAAAACTGACATACATCACGACGTTACATAAATATTTGGACCCACCTCAAACATCCTTATTCTACTTCCATCTCTTAAAGAAGATAATAAATACATGGCATCACCGACAAAGATGACGATGGGATAAAACCACCATAAATAGATAAAAATCTATATCCGGCAACCTTTCATGTATTTGCGGCTTCCGTCATAACTCCTTATTTTATCAAATTTGCTGTAGGTATCTCCATAGTTATCTTCTTGAATACAAATTAATAGTGGTTTTATTTTAATGAAGAACGCCCAAATGTTGACTTCAGTTTCTACGAAAAAGGATTTAGACTAAAATATTATATAAAAAAGCAAATACGATTGTAAGATTGTCTTTTAAATTATTAATACTTTATAATTTCTAATTTAGATAAATGAAATTTCTTGTGATTCTATACTTTTAGTGAAAAATAGTAAATTTAGATACTAAATTCATTATTATAAGAATCCAGATTTGTACTTTTGATTATCAAAATTTCATTGTTTTGATTAAAAATATATAAATAAAATTTAACAATTTTTTTTTGTATTTTTATAACAAGATTTAGAAAAAAATGAAAAATACTAATAAAAATAATTAAATTCAAGTAAAATGACGCAAAAAAAAAGAGACTGTAAATAGTGCATGTAAATTCAAAATAATGTAACAAACAAATATAATGAATTATTACGTGCAAATTAATATTGCGAACTGATAAATTGCATTTAAAATGACTTGCATAATCATCAATAACATGAATATAATTAGTAGTAAATTATAAAAAAGAAAAATAGTAAAGAACAATAGGAAGATAGTTCACTAATTAAGTGATGAAAGATAAAAATAGTAAAATGGCTCATTAATTAAATGAATAGAATTTTTAAGAGTCAAGAACAATTGACAGAGCAAATGAAAAATAAGAATTATTAGAACATACGATACAAAAATGTTAAATGTTTATAAAAAATGTGTTACGTTTGTTGAGGCAGCTCTTTTGATGTAAAAAAAGTAAAAATGTCAATATGCTTGTTTTCAAATGGAAATTTGGATTGGTGGTAATGAAGTAAATATAAAGACGTAACTGCTTGTACTTGATGGTAGACAGATCCACGTCCAGAGTGGCCAAGGAGTCGCAACATCACGTTGAGCTTTAGGGGAAGGAGCATTATCAATTAAAATTAGTCCAAACCATCAAAAGAAGTTGAATTAGATGTGGTGCCCCTATAACTTATTAACTTAATTTTATTATCTATCTAACATTTCTAATTTTAAGAGTAGCAGTCCAGTCCACCTATTGCATTGCATAAACTATCTTGTGTCTACATGAGAAATTTCATTCAAACAACTGCCGGATATAATCCAGACCAACAGTAAATACTCTGGACAAAGCAAAGAAACTATTTTATTTTTCCTGAAATGCAAAAATTTGAACTTTAAACATTTAAATTCACTCAGGAAAATAAACATTACATTGTTGACAAGTAAACATGGTTACCAACGGAGGAGCTAAGAACCTAAGAAGCAGGCCGTACAAACGGTAAAATGTTTGACAATTTAGTTAAAATAAAAAATGCAATATCAATAAACTTCAAATACCCGATGGCAGACATCTCAAATAAACATCTAAAAGTGTTCACTTGGGACCTCCAAATTTGCTCATCATTTTCGCAATTACAGGAGCCACCTTTGGATTTGCTTGATGTTTGGCCAAATTAGCAGGGTTCTTCATAACTGCACCCAAACCAAAAGTAGAAAAGGAGAAGTAACTGTTAATAACCAGCAAATCAAATGTTCTCTCCACAAACAACTCTAAAATATGAACAAATAAGCAAAAAATGGGTACATGACACAGTTAGCGCAACAGGGTATTGAACTTGACATTTCCCCAGCAAGTTAAACTAATATGGATATGAAAAATAGTCACTGACAACAATAGGAAATTTTCTTACGAATTCATATGTACCGGTTAGAAACAGTTTATTTTTTACATATTTATAACCTGTTGTTTGAAACTGTCCACTGCCCCCATCCAATTCCCCGTAACCAGTAGCCAAGTCGAGCAATTTCATTTAGTCTTGGTGCCCGAACAGGATAGGAGTGAAAAAGGAGGAAGAGCAGGGGATTGTATATTTCTCAGTCCTATCAACTATGAAACAACTGGCAATTCCCATCCAAATAATATGCAACAGTAATTATTAAGAATTTAATCCAAAACTAACCATGCAAAGACAAACGCGTGACATTGCAATTTCAATTAAATCAGAAGCTTATGAAAATTAAAGCAGACACACAAGGTAGGTTCTTAAAAGTTAAAGAAAATTCAAATTATCTAGAATAGAAAAAAAATGGAACCAAACATAAGAACTGGTAATTATACCATCTTGAAGAGCAGCCATAACCTCTGGATCACTAAATGCCGTCATCAGATCAGGGTCCTGAGAGATGTGTCGAGGAGCATTCAACATCAAGACAAAAGCAAGAATATAGGCGAATGTTCATTAGGAAAAGAAGATTGTACTTAGAGCACCTTAGAGGTATAAAAACATCCAAGGTCCAGATCTACTTACATTCAAGATCTTGCTAAAATCCACATTTCCTGGCACCCCTCCAGGCATGCCCCCCGCACCTGGGAAACCTCCAGGCATGCCCCCAGCACCTGGGAAGCCTCCTGGCATGCCCCCTGCACCTGGAAAGCCTCCTGGCATGCCCCCTGCACCTGGGAAGCCTCCAGGAAACCCACCAGGCATGCCTCCAGGATTTCTACTGGAAGATGATTGCTCTTGCTTCTTAGCCTTCTCATATGCAGCCTAGAAAAATACACAGAAAATTAGCAACAAATAAATTACATGGGTATTTCAATTTAAGGTATGTTCTGTTTTTGGCATAGTATATCAGAATTGGAACCTGGGCTTCAGCACGACGATGCTGCCTCTCACGCTCCTTTTGTTTCTCCTCTCTTTCTTTGTGCAGTCTTTCATATTTCCGACGGTGTTCCTCAATCTTGTGAGCATTTGGTTCCACCTAGGCAAACCAATGTTTTAAATATGACGCCAAATGAATTTCAAGGATGTCAGTATATCATACAGGTAAATCAATATATTCACTTTTACAAGGATAAAATCCCATACTAAAGATAAACAACAGATTGCACCGGTTGTATACTAGAGGCTTAACTACCGTACTGATATCAGTGAAGGATAAATGGTATGAAGGGACAAGAAAGCAAACCTTTTTAAGTACAGCATTTATTTCCTCATCATAGTCCAACTTTGACGCCACATGAAGATCCTTTGCAGCTTCTTCCCATTGACCAAGCATTGCTAGTGCCATGCCACGTGACTTGTATCCTTTAGCAGAATCAGGATTAATCTAGAATAAAAAATACAAAAAACTCATTAATCCCTCAATCCAGTTTTCATATGTACAAGCAGGGATATAAAATAAAAACAAATAGCCAGGACTATTATACAGTTTTAGAATGGTCTTATTTAATATTTATGGAACTTAATACCTTAAGAATTATGTAACTCATGGGCAATAATTAGTTTTCAGAGCCGCCCAAACTGATAAAAAAGGTTCTTCGATCCTATATATTCCCAAAATCATGAATTTCTTATGGAAAAAAGGACACCGAAATTGAGTTTATTCAATTGAGATTAACCAATAATTTGATTGAAGAGCATCAAGATCTTAACCCATTATGTATCTTAAAGTGGATATTCTCTTTCTCACATCTGACACAATTTAACTTTAGTAGCTTGTTCTTCCAGAGAATAATGCAAAAACACATTAAACATGTTCACTTTATTCACAAGTCTAATTTTAAAGACTAGCAAGAATGTAAATTTGTCGGCCTGAGCAACATAGGGGAGAGTATAAAAACCTCCAAAGCAGCATTGGCATCACGGATTGCAGCATTGGGTTTCTTCATTTTGATGTAAACAGTGGCTGCAAATGATTTATAAACTATTAACAATGAATCCTTATCTTGATGATAAAAACAAATAACTAGAGAATGTAAAAATAAAACTACTAAGTCAAGGTATACCTCTAGTTGCATACATAATGGCAGAGGTAGGATTGAGTAAAATTGCTTCTGTTAAGTTCTCAACTGCCTCATCCAACTTACCTGCATTACAAAATCAAATAATATAAATTACAGTCGGAGTCTAAAGCAATATCACCATAGAGAATAGCCTAAACACTTAATAGAATACCAAAATTAGAGTATTTGGCTGTGAGGTTAGAGAGAGAATCAGTAACTTACGCTGTTCAAAAGATGTAGCATATTTTGTTAATGATTTTTTTCATCCATTCTAAAGATCATGGACAGATGTGAATTACTAAATTGTCTTATTATTATTATCATTGTTGTTATGTTTTCATTTCTTCCTCCTTGCATGCTTATATTGGATCCTCATACATCAATTTCTAAGTGCTATCAGAGTCAGGTTTGATTGAGGGAAGATTAGTACGTCCATGAAGGAACAGAGGGTAATATCATCCATTGACACAATGACCATCAGCTATGTTATCTAGGTGCCGCATTTCGAATTAGGGAAGAGTGTTTCCCAACACTATGATCTTTGTGTATCGCACAATGTGACAGGGCAAAAGGCATGATCTTTGTGTATATGTCTGATCATATAACATGCTACAGGATTACCTAAACACTTTGCGAAGTAGTAATTATTAGCTGGTAAGAGGTCACATAAACTTAAACGAGGAATAACTAAGAAACAATGCATCCAGCATTAGAGATGGCTCCAGACACAACACAAATTATATCAGTTACATCCTGTGAACCAGACAAACATACAATCTTCATTGTACAATATATACAGTTAAAACTAAATTTTCATCAGTGAATCTGACAGGGTTCCTTCCTGCCTACCTGACCATCTACAAGGGTTCAGAACCCAAGCCATTAAAAAATTGCAATATACCTTATGGTATAAAATTATTTTCTGTCCCCTCAAAGAATCATTGACACAGATACAAACGAACAGTTGTCTTCTTTATTGTGTTTGAATTTCCATTTTTGTGCATTGCTTGTGGATCCATCCACAGCACAACAATTAACATGCAAAAACAAACAAATAAATCACACAAATGCATCAGCATTGTACACTTTACAATGAATGATACCTTCACAAATAGCTTCCATGGCTTTAACTTTTGCCATCTGCGAGGCGTCGCGACTCTCTTCAGTGACCTCAACAGAGGGATCTCCCATCTGAAACGTGACACATAATTAGTCTTAATGAAAAGACCAAAGGCAATCTAAATCAACTAATTTTTTTTTTTCAAAAAATAAAATAAAATAAAACCTTCTGTGGAGGATCATCATCAGGCTCGCAGGTTTCACCCTCGAGCTCAACATCGGATTCAATTATTTCATCTTCCTCTACTTCTTCCACCTTCTCTTGTCCCGCCGCAACATCCTCTATGTCGTCATCGCTCTCCACATCCCTCTTCCGTACACAACACAAAACATCACATATTACGTAAAGATTCATACACAACGGGCGAAAATTAAAAAGTAGCGGCAAGTATTTATAGAACGCTAGGGTACCGATTCAGAGTATGCAGATGGGGGAAGTTTTGCGCCTAGGCTGAAAGCATAATGAAAGACAACACAAAGTCAGCAAGTTAATGAAAGTGTGATTAGGAACATGCAAATATGAGTGATAATTTAATTGAATTTATTAACCTTTCGAGGTAGTCGCGGAAGAAAGAAAGTGAAGGATCCGCGAGGAGGGAAGGGTTGGACTTGCACTGTTCGATGAAATGCTTCAATTGATTCACTTTGGATGCGTCCATTTTCTTTCGGTGTGGGAGCGCGGCGTATTGCTTTCTTCGGCTTTTATGTTGTTAACCAAGGCGACTGACTTACTCACATGACAGGGTCTAGACTGTTCTTGACGGATTGGGCTTCTAGTAGCTTCCATTGGAAATGTGTTACCACTATTTAGTGGCACTTACTAGGGGCTACTAAAGTTCTTAACGCCCATAGTTACAGCACTCTCCTTTTCATATTCTAGGAATATTGATTGGACCTGGGAAGATTCAATTCGATAGATTTAATTTTAAATGTATATATATAATTACATTGGTTTTCTCATTCTTAATTTAAACTTGTGAACACAATAAACAGTGATGTGAATGGATTGGTTGTTTACCTTTTTTTTATTTTTTATTTTTTTATTATTATTTTGTAAAGCATGTAATATATTAAAATGTATTAAATATATTTGTTGCATACATTAATTACTACAAGCCCAAAAATATGTTGTATCCAAGCTAACAAATATTTATTTATTTTTAGTCATAACTTATCTTTAAATGAAATTACAAAAATATATAATAAAGAGGAACAGATGAAGACAAAATTATAAACTTAAGAAAAATTTAAATAATAATTTCATGAAAACATATTTATTTCGTAAATATTCACTGATGTGAGGGTGTGTTACGTCACATTGCATCTATTTTTATAATACGATTATAAATTTAATGTCATTTAATAAAAATTAAACAAATTGTCTTAGAATTCAATTTAATTTTATAAAATTGATGTGTAGGATAATAACGGATCAAAATTTATAAATTCTATCCTTAATTAGAGAACTTAACAACCTTATCAGAAAAAATATCAATTCAACAGCTTAATTTATTATCATAATAATTATAATAAGATTTTATAAAATAAAAATAATTTAAATTTATTATATTATTATTAAATGAAGTTGTTATCAAATGTTTCTTAAAATGAATGTTCTCAACCAATGTTTTTTCCTTAAAATTATTTAAGTTGGAAAATTTATTAAAGACAACTTAGATTATTTAAGATTTCCATATTTGGTACTTTGACTTTTTTAATTGTCCCGTCTCCGATTCCTGTTAGGATTAGAAATTAAGTCTCTATTTCCCTCTCCGTCGAGTTTTGAATTTCCTGTCCCTGATTTATATTATTTTTAAAAATATAATTATATATAATAAATTAATTTTACTATATATATTTGTATCTTTTATATATAAATAAATATTTATAATTTTATAGTTTGTAATTATTATCAATTAAATATATATTTTAATTTATTATATTTATATTATGTAAAAGAAATATTTAATCATTTATATATATATATATATAGAATATTTATAATAATAATAATAATAATATTATTATTATTATAACACCGTATTCAAATATTTGAATACTTATAACATTATTATTATTATTATTATTATACTGAATTTAAACATTTGATTATTTATATATATATATATATATATAAATTAATTTATTTTTAATTTTTATTTAAAAATATGAAATATATAGTTTATAAGAAAATATTTAATAATTTAATTCTTATTTAGTTAATTCGAAGTAATAAAATTTTAAATTATTAATTTTTTTAATAATTTAAAATATAATTTTTTTATTAAGATAAAATTTGATATATGATAAATAAGGATAATAAGATCCAAAAAATATGATATAATAAAATCTAATAAATATAAATTATAAATAAAATAATATTAGTTACTATTAAGATTTATGTAAAATATTTAGAAAAAGATAAAGAAGAAAAAAGATTAACTTTGTGTTATAGTTAGGCAACAAGCGCTAGCCACTTAGCTAAAAGCTTAAGTTGTTAGTAAGGGTTCACACTTATTACTTTAACCACCGGTTCCACCACGCTTCGCGACTCCGATTCCCCGCTCTTCGGAATCTCGAGGGACTTACCACACGCTGCCCCAATTCAGTCCTCGGCAGGAATCGAGCACGCGATCTCGCTCGATACCAATAGTTAGGCAACAAGCGCTAGCCACTTAGCTAAAAGCTTAAGCTTTTAGCTAAGTGGCTAGCGCTTGTTGCCTAACTGTTGGTATCGAGTTTAAGGAAATGTGAAAAACTGAAAGATAAAAGAAAGTGAATAATATAATAAACTAATTGATATAAAATATTAAAAAAGACAAAAAAATTAAAAAGTGGATAGAAGAAAAATAAAAATGGTAAAATATAAAAAAATGACATTATATATAATAAAAAAAATATTTTTAAAATATTAATATTTTAAAATTTAAATTTAAATATAAAGTTGGGGTGGAGATTGCATTACCCTCCCCACCCCGACTCCGACTTTTTAAAGCGGAGAAAACCCAAACTCGTCCTTATCCCCAGATCAACTCGGGTTTTCCCATCAAATTCAGCGTGAGGACGAGTCAATCCTATGAATATGAGTTTAATTGTCATCCCTAATAACAAATACATCTAATAATAAATTAAGAATAGAATCTAATCATATATTAAAATTATATTATATTTGAATAATAATATTTCATAAAGAATCATGTGAGATTTAAAAATAATATTATCACATTATTTATTGATAATAATTTTTATTCTCCAAAATGAATTATCAAATTCGCTAATAGATTACATACGTTGCAAGCAATGATGTATGATTTTTGCGGGGAACTACAAGAGAAAAATGGTCACTATTATCTGTGCCCCTTTTAAAGCTTAATATTTTCGGTCCTCCTAACCGAACAAAGGGATTACTGATTTCTATATATATTTAAAGCTTAATATTTTCGGTCTTCCTATCCGAACAATGGAATAACTGAATTCTCTTGTTGCAAGATATATACGAAAAAGTATAGTATTTCAGTTATGAATATTTAGCTCGAGTTAAATCCAACTTAAAAAAAAAAAAAATTTAACAACTCATTTAGTCCTTATAAATTATAATTATAAACTTTATTTTAATAAATATATTTAAAAGTTATCTATTTCGCTCTTTATAAATATTATTTTTAATCTTTATAGTTTTTATGCATACAATTTTCATTTTATTCTCATATTATCGTATTTAAAATATTATATACATATAATATTTTAAATACAATAAATTCAATTGAATGAACAAACTTAAAATATTTAGAATAAAATCATGGATATGATTTGTTTTTATTAAATAATAATGAACTAATTGAGTAACATATAAATATCATTACATCTCAAACTAATGTTTTCATATTTTTCTTATAACTATATTAATGGTAGTGTAAGTGTGCTAGCAAGTCAAAAGAAAGAGCACAGTTAGAGAACATAGCAGAAACATATATAAGACAGATAGAACATTCTTGAATTCGGGGACTGAAATGTTTTCTCATTTCAACTGTTACATAAGAGTTTAATATTCATAAAATTGTTTGTTTGTATATCTCATAAGTCATCATCACTAAAGTAACGTATACAATCAAATTAACCAAGAGGCACAACCATATGTAATTATAAACAATAAGAAATTATTTCCTTGTCTGTGTCTTCTGGTTCGGAAAGGTTGCTTCTGAAGAATCATTTTTTGGTTGCACCTTCACAACTCCAATAAAATTAAAAGTCAACTACAGACATAAATAATAACCATAGCTAAATATGCATATGCCATCTTTGCTACACTGTTGAAATGTACAAGATCTATTTCCTTGTTATATATTGATATTCTACGTGTGCTCAAAGTACACCGAACTAAAGAACCTTGGCTTTCATGCTTCCATCGAGCACAATGCTTTTGCTGAACATGGATGCTTTTCTTTCCATTCTTCTCGCTTTTGTGTTGAGCTTCCATGTTCATTTTGCTCAAGGAAGTGAACTGACCTCTTCCACAAGCAGTCCGAAAACATATATTATCCATGTGAATGGGCCACAGGATAAGACACTCGCTCAATTAGATGATTTAGAGAGCTGGTATCATTCATTCTTGCCACCTACCATCATGAGCTCTGAGGAACAGCCACGAATAATTTATTCCTATCGGAACGTGATGAGTGGTTTTTCTGCAAGACTCACTGAAGAAGAGCTGAGAGAAGTGCAAAAGAAGAATGGCTTTATCTCGGCTCGCCCCGAAATGATGCTACATCGTCAAACCACACATACCCCACAAGTTTTGGGGTTGCAGCAACAAACGGGATTGTGGAAGGAATCAAGCTTTGGAAAGGGAGTAATTGTTGGGGTGCTGGATTCTGGAATCATGCCTGACCATCCTTCATTCAATGATGCAGGAATGCCACCACCACCACCGAGATGGAAAGGAAGATGTGAACTTGAAGTGACAGGTTGTAACAACAAACTAATTGGAGCAAGGTCTTTCAACCTCGCATTGAAGGTAAAGAGAGGAGCAGAGGCACCTATTGATGAGGATGGACATGGGACTCACACAGCAAGCACAGCTGCTGGTGCTTTTGTTGATTATGCAGAAGTACTAGGAAATGCCAAAGGCACAGCAGCAGGGATTGCCCCTCATGCTCACCTGGCAATTTATAGAGTATGTTTTGGAGCAAACTGCCCTGAGAGTGATATATTGGCTGCATTGGATGCAGCTGTGGACGATGGCGTGGATGTAATATCAATATCCCTTGGTCTACGTAAGGCACCTCCTTTTTTCTATGATAGCACTGCAATAGGCACATTTGCGGCAATGCAGAAGGGAATCTTTGTAAGTTGTGCAGCAGGTAACTCTGGCCCCTTCCCTGGCTCCTTAGTTAATGGAGCCCCTTGGATTCTCACAGTTGGAGCAAGCAATGTTGACAGAAGCATTGTAGCAACAGCCAAGCTAGGAAACGGGCAAGAATTTGATGGTGAATCTGTTTTCCAGCCTTCAAATTTTACTCCAACACTGCTACCCTTGGCATATGCTGGAAATAATGGCAAACATGAAGCTGCACTTTGTTCTGAAGGATCCCTGAATGATACTGATTTCAGCGGCAAGATTGTTTTGTGTGAGAGAGGAGGGGATACGGGAAGAATTGGCAAAGGAAAGGAAGTAAAAAGAGTTGGTGGTGCAGCCATGATTGTCATGAATGATGAAAGCAGTGGCTTCAGTCTCTTAGCTGATGTACATGTTCTACCTGCGACTCATGTAAGCTATGATGCTGGACTTAAGATTAAAGCCTATATAAATTCCACTGCAACGCCTACAGCCACCATTTTATTCAAGGGAACTGTAATTGGAAACTCCCTATCTCCTGCCGTTTCATCCTTCTCTTCAAGAGGTCCCAACATGGCCAGTCCTGGAATATTGAAACCAGACATCATAGGACCAGGTGTGAACATACTAGCTGCATGGCCATTCCCCTTGAATGACAATAACAATTCAAAATCTACTTTCAACATTATTTCTGGCACATCAATGTCATGCCCACATCTTAGTGGTGTAGCTGCTTTGCTGAAAAGCTCTCATCCTCACTGGTCACCAGCTGCCATAAAATCTGCCATAATGACTTCTGCAGACATAATCAATTTTGAACAGAAACTCATTGTTGATGAAACACTTCAACCTGCAGATCCCTTTGCAACAGGTTCTGGGCACGTGAATCCATCCAGAGCAAATGACCCTGGGTTAGTTTATGATATCAAGCCTGATGATTATGTACCTTATCTGTGTGGTTTAGGCTACAGCGACACGGAGGTTGGGATCATTGCACACAAAACAATTAAGTGCTCTGAGACTTCAAGCATTCCCGAAGGAGAGCTCAACTATCCCTCATTTTCAGTTGTTCTTGGTTTCCCGCAGACATTCACAAGGACTGTAACAAATGTAGGTGAGGGCAACTCATCTTATGAAGTCATTGTTAAGGCCCCAGAAGGGGTCAATGTGAAGGTCCAACCAAATAAACTTTACTTTTCAGAAAAAGAACAGAAAGAGACATATTCAGTTTCGTTCAGGCGTATAGAGTCAGGCAATGAAACTGCGGAATATGCTCAAGGGTTTTTACAATGGGTCTCTGCTAAACACACTGTAAGGAGTCCAATTTTAGTCATCTTTGCATAAGACAACACCATAGAAAGCACCACTTGGTTAAGAATCTCAAGTGTAAAATGCTAACAGCTTTTGGTACTATGTCCATGTTTCTAATCACTTCTAAACTTTCATTTTATCCTACCAACTAACTAAAATTTAAAGGAAAATATCAAATTTAAAGGAAAATGATACTTTGACAACCCAAATCCATACAACTCATCTAAACAACTTTGTTTTAATATTATAATAATAATTTTATTTTATTTTTATTTTTATTAAATCAGTCTATAGATTATTATATTAATAAAAGTGAGTTGTTTGAAGAAGTCGTATTGGTTTTCAGTTGTCAAAATATCACTACTCAAAATTTAAATTGAATTATCAAATCTCAAAATAAGCATTTAACTAAATAATAAAAAATAGCAAAATTATGCATGATATACATATAATTTGTATACATTTTTTATTTTACATTTTAATTAATTAAACTATTTTTAATGGTACCGGAAATAAATTTATTAGATCTAGAGTTCAATTGCATAATAAATAAATAAAATATTTGAAAAAAATGAATATTAGACTAAAATTGTGTTTTTTTTTAACTTAAAGGCTAAAATCATAGAAAACCAAATTTGTAAATCATGACAACTTTATTTTATAAGTAATCATAACAGTAAGAGTTTCTAAGATATTAACAACTTTACTTTTATAAGCAATGTTATTTTAAAAAAATGAAAACAAATAAATAAACTATTTCACAAAGTTTTTTTCTAAACATTTTTAATTACCTCAGTAACAAATCTCTTAAATTACATTATTTAAATAAAGTAAATTTACTATTTTTTAACGTCAATTTTATTTAAAATAAAAAAAGATAATTTTATATTTTTATTTATTTACAAAATAAGGATAATTTTATTTTTATTTTATTTGCAAAATAAATATAATTTTATAATAGTGATTTATATACTTGTTTAAATAAATTTAATTTTTTGAAAAAGTATTTTAGTTTGAATTTTACTCTTGTAAATTTTTAATTTCTATAAAATTAGTTTAGTTTTAATTTTAAATTTTTTTTAAAGAAATTACTTTTGTAATTTTTTTAAATATTAATCTTATAAAAATTTAAAATCTCTTATAAATTTTTATCATTTCATGTTGAAATATTCTATTAAATTAATATTTAATTATAATAACTAAATAATTTTTAAATTCTCAAGTAAAATATATAAAAATATGAATATTTATAAAAATTATTAATCAAAATAAAAATTATAAAAAATTAATATAAATTATTTAAAAGTGAGATGATATAATATGTCTCATTTAAAGTAGAAATATGTTATTTATAAAAATTAACACTGGAGATGCTTTATTCCTCTCATTTTTTATCATTAATATATCATAAAAACATTATAAATAATGATACGAAAAATTACAAAAGAAAATCATCTTTTTATGCATATTGTCTGTGAATACTATTAGCATTTCTAATTTCTAACTCTCCACATCCATATTTATATCTGAAATTTTCTTATGTTTATTTAAAAATGGGTTGAGAACTTTATTGTATCACGGAACCAATAAGTCCACTTTTATCAAACTTCAAAGAAAATCAACAAGAGAAAACCGAGTTTTAATAGTAACCGAAGTTTTAATCATGATTAAATTTCATCAAAACAAATTAATTTTTTTAATTTTTTTTCTCCACTTTTAAATGTATCTTTTTTTTTAATATTTTATCAATTTAATATTATTTTTTATCCACTTTTAATGTATATTACTTTCTTCAATTTTTCACACTATTATATTTTTTTTCTCTCCTCTGATATTAAATATAGAAAAATACACTATATTATTAAAAGTGACAACAAAAAACATTTATAAATTGAATATTTTATTTTATATTAATATAAATAAAATAGTTCTTAATAATTTTTTTATAAAATATTATACTACACAACATGTGATCTAAAAATTTACAGTTAAAACATGTAATTCAAATTTTAAAAACTTATTATGATTTAATGTGTATAATATGAACCTTTGAATAAATTCTAAAATTAATTTATAATACTTTTATACGAAGAGTTGTCGGTGTTCGAAAATTATATTTTTCCCTATTGTAGAGATTTACCGAGCTATATACAAGCAATGGGGAATTTTTCCTTGTCTTTCCTATAGCTGGCTTCTAGGAATCATTTCTCCATCAAATTTATGGATACAAAAAATACTTTAAAAATTTTACAAGTATTTGAAAAGCACTCTTACACATTAATTGTCATGAGTTAGTATTACGGAAGAATAGAAAGTAAAGCTATTTTACTTAGACATAAATTTCTCTTAATAATTAAAAAACAGTTCACTTAGAGAAATAGATGTTGAATTTTCACATAAGTTACCCATTTTTTTGGAAAATAAAAACGATCGAGAACCAGACAATGACAACGACGACTAGACCATGAACAATAAAATGAGTTTTAAACAAAAAGAGAATCTTGAAAACTTTATTTGAAGAGGACAAAAAAAACATTTATCGTAATGTTGGGCTATGCTGTTCATGCCCTTTCCCATAACAAATGGCTGCACAAACTCAAACCAGTAGTCAACTCGGCAGAAAATAGAATCCCTGGACACGACAAATATAACCATGCCGGCCAAGCTTGAAAGTAAAGCTATAATAGAAAAATTTATTTTTAAAGATTCTCATAATTAATTTAATATAAAAATATTTTACATATTAGAATTAAATTTTAAATCAAGTAAGTCCGTTAATGAAACGTTACTGACTAGAAGCTATTGGGTCCTCACATGCACATGCCGACCTTGTTACTAGCCTCCTTGTACATATTGATATTGTGAGTTGAGGGTGTTTAAAGCACACCCAAACAAAGAACAAAGAGTCTTTGCCTCCTTATATATTGATATTGTGCGTGTTTATAAAAACACCCAACCAAAGAATAGAGGTTTTGCCTTCTGTTACACTCCCTTGAGACTGCACGATATCTCTCTCGGCCTTCCTTGTAACAGATAGTTTATGTGGATTTAAAGCACACCGAACCAAAGACTAAAGAATCTTTGCCTTTCATTCTTCCCCCTCGAGCAGAAAGCTTCTGCTATTGTACTGAACAAGGATTATCTTTTTTTCATTGCTCTAACTTTTGTGCTTAGCTTCCATATTCATTTTGCTCAAGCAAATAAACCACCTTCAACTGCCAGCAGTTCGAAAACATATATTATCCATGTGAAGGGACCACAAGTTAAGACACTTGATCAATCAGAAGATTTAGAGAGCTGGTATAATTCATTCATGCCACAGACTATTATGAGCTCTGAGGAACAACCACGAATGGTTTATTCATACAGGAACGTTATGAGGGGTTTTGCTGCAAGACTCACAGAAGAGCAGCTTAAATCAGTGGAAAAGAAGAACGGCTTTATCTCTGCTCACCCCGAAAGGATGCTGCATCGTCAAACCACCCATACCCCACAATTTTTGGGGTTGCAGCAACAAACCGGATTTTGGAAGGAATCAAACTTTGGAAAAGGAGTAATTGTTGGGGTGCTGGATTCTGGAATCACGCCTGACCATCCATCATTCAGTGATGCAGGAATGGCACCACCACCACCCAAATGGAAAGGGAGATGCGAGCTTAATGGGACAGTCTGTAACAACAAACTAATTGGAGCAAGGTCTTTCAACCTCGCTGCAGGGGCAACCAAAGAAACAGTGGCACCAATTGATGAGGATGGACATGGGACTCACACAGCGAGCACAGCAGCTGGTGCTTTTGTTCCTTATGCAGAAGTACTAGGAAATGCCAGAGGCACAGCAGCAGGGATTGCCCCTCATGCTCACCTGGCAATTTACAGAGTATGTTTTGGAGAAGACTGCCCTGAGAGTGATATATTGGCTGCATTGGATGCAGCTGTGGACGATGGTGTGGATGTAATATCAATATCCCTTGGCCTAAGTGAGCCACCTCCTTTTTTCAATGATAGCACAGCAATAGGAACATTTGCAGTAATGCAGAAGGGAATCTTTGTAAGTTGTGCAGCAGGAAACTCTGGTCCTGTCCATGGCTCCTTAGTTAATGGAGCCCCTTGGATCCTCACAGTAGGAGCAAGCAATATTGACAGAAGCATTGTAGCAACAGCAAAGCTAGGAAATGGGCAAGAATTTGATGGGGAATCTGTTTTCCAGCCTTCAGACTTTTCTCCAACACAGCTATCCCTAATATATGCTGGAAAGAATGGCAAACAAGTAGCTGCATTTTGTGCTAATGGATCCTTGAATGATATTGATTTTAGAGGCAAGGTTGTATTGTGTGAGAGAGGAGGGGGAATAGGAAGAATTGCCAAAGGAGAGGAAGTTAAAAGAGCAGGTGGAACAGCCATGATTCTCATCAATGATGAAAGCAATGGTTTCAGTCTCTCAGCTGATGTACATGTTCTACCTGCAACACATATAAGCTATGAAGCTGGACTTCAGGTTAAAGCCTATATAAACTCCACTGCAACACCTACAGCTACCATTTTATTCAAAGGAACTGTAATAGGAAACTCTTTATCTCCTGCCGTTTCATCCTTCTCTTCAAGAGGTCCCAACTTGCCTAGCCCTGGTATTTTGAAACCAGACATCGTAGGACCGGGCGTGAACATCCTAGCTGCCTGGCCATTCCCCTTGAATAACAATACTGATTCAAAATCCACTTTCAACATTATGTCTGGCACATCAATGTCATGCCCACATCTTAGTGGCGTAGCTGCTTTGCTGAAAAGCACTCATCCTCACTGGTCACCAGCTGCCATAAAATCAGCCATAATGACTTCTGCAGACATACTCAACTTTGAGCAAAAACTTATTGTTGATGAAACACTTCACCCTGCAGATGTCTTTGCCACAGGTTCTGGGCACGTGAATCCATCAAGAGCAAATGACCCAGGGTTAGTTTATGATATCTCGCCTGATGATTATATACCTTACCTGTGTGGTTTAGGCTACAGCGACACAGAGGTTGGAATCATTGCACACAAAACAATTAAGTGCTCTGAGACTTCAAGCATTACCGAAGGAGAGCTCAATTATCCCTCATTTTCTGTTTTGCTCGGTTCCCCGCAAACATTCACGAGGACTGTGACAAATGTAGGTGATGCCAACTCATCTTATGAAGTCATTGTTAAGGCCCCAGAAGGGGTCAATGTGAAGGTCCAACCAAATAAACTTTACTTTTCAGAAGCAAACAAGAAAGAAAAATATTCAGTGTCATTCAGCTGTATAGAGTCCCGTAATGAAACCGTGGAATATGCTCAAGGGTTTTTAAAATGGGTCTCTGCCAAATACACTGTAAGGAGCCCTATCTTGGTCAACTTTGTATAAGACAACAATGTTAGAAAGCACCAATAGTACTACAATGGGACCTCGTGTAATGGTCCAACAATAAGCTACAACTTTGGCAAATCTAAATCATACCACATCCTTTTCTTTTATATTTTTGTTCCACCAAAGCATAAGTAGAATTTAAACTAGATCTAACAAAAGATTTTCAAATCTTCCTTTCAAGTTCAGTCACGTGTGTGAAAAAATGAAATAAAAAAATAACATCTTTTTTTAGGTAAATATTTGTACATACATATATATATATATATATATATATATATATATATATATATATATATATATATATATATATATATATATATATATAGATAGATAGATAGATAGATAGATATTTAGAATATGCAATTAATCAATAAATAACATGGAAAGAATAATACAACATTATGGCTGCTTAATAAGAAATGCAGACAGGAGCCAGATATTTCTTTTAACTAATACTTTTGAAGTAGCTAAATATACTATAAGAACGAACTAACTGATCAATTTGTCTAGATCATCAATTTTAAAGATGTTTATACATTCATGTTAAGTACTAACTATTTAGACAGTTTTTCACAGGAATTTCCAATCACTATCTGAGTTTGTATTAAAGACTTCTGATTAAAAGAAAATCAGTACAAGAAAAGATAAAGGCCACAGCCCTCCCCAAATCAGAGAAACAACACTCCAAGTACCAAGATATTCTCCACATGACCATGCATTATTCTCTCCTGTCCTATATAACAGAATCAGTTATCCTTTTTCTGTTCATAACTAACGCTGCTCCCTTCCCCATTTCCCGTCTGTGTAAATCTAAGATTGGCCCTGGAACTTGGGCCAACGGGTAATAAACATAAGAGGCCTCTCCTTTGTGTCCAGTTCCCTATCAGATTTCAAGCAGATATTGATCAACCCCAACAACACTTTAGCAAATGGCCACTATACAAAAGATTATATGTTTTTTACTATACACATAAATGCTTTAAAAAATAATACCCACAGTTAAAGATATAATCATAGTCAACAACAAAAATCAAATTCAAACTCACATTCACCATTAATTTAAGACATGATTAACAATGAGAATATAGGAGGTTTTGGAAAAATATAGCAAGTTAATGAAATTTTTAGGAAAAACAGAGCTGCAACAAAACAATTATTGACATGCGGAACTATGAAGTGTAAGAACACACTACACAACCTTAAAAAAATGTTGTTTCATGCATGCCGTACATAAGTTGCAGCGGACCAGCAGTTACCAGATGCAACAAAGTGAATTCCCAAAAACAATGACTTTTCTTATTAGATTGGGAAAAAGATAACAGTTGAGAAAAAGAAGAAGATAGAAAGCAAAATAAAATCTGCCTGTGGAAGCAATTGTGTTTGATGTAGAAGATAGAGAGAGACTTGACGATGATTTTGAAATAAAAAATAACTAGAAGGATGGTTAGCACGGAAGTTAAGAAGACAACACAAAAAGAAAAATGTTGAAAGGCAAAAGTAAGGCTACAAAAGGGTGAGTTGAGTGGACTATGTCTGGACTATCAGGATTTGGCCAGAAAATAAACGGGTGCAAAAAGGGCTAGCAGTTAGTGGCATGTCTGCACTGTCCTTTGTGGTGAAAAATAAATAGAAAGCACTAAAGAAACATTATTTCTAAGCCATAAGGAACTCCGAAAAATACTGAAACAAACTCTCATACCTTAAAACCAGTTTTATTTCACCCTCTTCATACAAAAACAACAAAACGATGAAAAGTATATACAAACTGTAAACTATTGATTGAAGAGCACTTCTTTTGGTCAATAGATTTTAATAAAAATCATTGTGAAGATCCAGCATCCATATCAGAAAAACAGTAGCAGTTCCTACAAAAGATTACAGGTAATAGTTTATCTTAACCTGACAGAAAAATAATACATTCAAAATTAGATTGGGATGTCAAGAGACCTTCAGACTGTCTCTTGTTTTTATCTGGTTAATCATAATCAAAAACAGAAAATTTAACACTTGCACCATCCAACGGCAGCAATGGCCATGTAACACAAAAAAAAACGAAACACCTTCCAATTCATCAACCAAAACCAGGAGGTACATCAGGGTCTTCATCACTGGATCCAGAAGGTGGTTTCTGCTCCACGTCCATTGAAAATCCAGGGGGCGCATTGGTATGAACATCATCTTCACCAAGTGTATCCTGTGATGGATGGGAATCTTCCTTCCACTCTGTAGTTAATCCTTGCGTCTGAACATGCACCTTCCCTTTATCATGGTCATCTTGATTGTTACTATTCAGATTATTATGCACAAGAGTGAAACCTGGCGGCTCATCGGGTTCATTTTCATGTAATGTATCATTAAACTCAGCGGCTGAAGCTGTTTCCCCTTGTCTCTGAATTGGCATCACATCAGATGTGGACAACAAAACCTCATCTTTCCTTTTTGGGTTTGCCATTTTATCATAGACACATTGCACTGTCTCCATGATTTCACTTTTCATGCCGTCACCCGATCGAATTATTTGCCATAAACTCTCAGATATCTCACCCATTACTTTATCACTGGTTACAAGAAAATAAATGAAAAATAAACTTCCACAATAAGTACACAAACACAAATTGGCTTGAAAAAAAAAAAAAAAAAACACCTCTATATAGCTGTAGGAGGGGGTAACTCACCCAACTTCTTCATATATGGCATCAGAAAGTTGTCTAGGTTTCATATTTTCTGCTCCAGCACGATTGAGTGCTACTGACTGCTTCACAATTGAGGCGATATGCTGTCGTAACTCTTCCTGTCATAAATTGTTGAATTTAGTATTACTGAGACGCAACCTTTTATTACTAACAATTACAAATTATAATCAATCTGAATAGTTTAATAGTATGCGGATGGTTGTGGCCAGTTAGGCAAAGTGTGATTGAGTAATTTTTTCTTCTTCTTTCAATTCATTTGATATAAACCCTAAATTGAGAAGTACAGGAATTAAGAAATAGGAGGAAAGCATACGTTATCCTTGAGCTTGCGAACGATCTTCAAACGGAGCCTGTCAAAGTCGCCATCGTCCTTCAGTTTTGCAATGACCTCTTCTTTGCCAACTACTTCTCCGCTGTTCCCCATCTCTCACATTCCTCCTTTGCACGCTACCAACTCTGTTCTGCACCCGCCAAAAAAATGTATTTACACGCTTTAAATAATTTTGAAGTTTCTGTTCCCCATTTTTTTTTGTTTTTTCGAGTATTCACTTTTTTTTTTTGTTGTGATTGATATTTTAAAAAATTATAAAATAATTTTTTGTTTAAAAATATTCTGATTAAGAAAATTTATTTCAACAGTGGGTTTCAAACATTTTATTATATTCAATATTTGTTAAAAATTAAATGAAAATTAGTTAAACTATGGGAAATGCAAAATTTTGTTATTTAAAAAATGAGATTTTTTGTGTTGCGTCCATATATTTTTTAAATTTTAAATGCAGTAAAATTTTAAAAATATAATAAATACATTATCTAAAAAAAAGCATTATTTTTTATCATTCTAAAATTTAAAATAATTATTTTAATTGAAAGCTATAGATAATAGCTTAAACAGGTGAACTCTGTCGTTAATACGATTTTGTTTAGATATACAATTAACACTGTATTAATATAATCATTCATCTAAATTTTTCATTTATCATAATTGCTAACAAATACTTAAAAACACATGTTTAAATTTTAGAGAGATAAAAATAATATGAATTTTTAGGACATTAAATATTTTTAAAAATATTTAAAAACATAAAACACATTCTACTCTTTAAAATAAAAATGTGCAGTTTGATAACAATTTTCTTAATATAAGACTTCCATGACTTCATAAAAGTGGAGTGTGATGTCTTTATGATATTAAAGAAGACTTATCAATCATGTCTAGTATTAGAGTTTTTAAAAAATATTATTATTATAATTTATGTATTTTAAAAAATAAAAATATTATAACTTATAATATAAAACTTAAAAACAAATATTTTAAAATCTATTTATCCAAAAATTTTAGATTACTTATTCTATAAAACTAATAAAGATGTTTTAAAATAATTACGGAGTAAGGATAGAGTGCCAAAAGTTTAATGCCTCAGAAGCTTAATCCTGTAAAAGTTTTCTTCACGGAATATTATATTCTGATTTTTAGAAAGAAATAGCGATAATGAAAATACAGAAAAATATGTAAAAAATAAAATTAAATATTTAATAATTTAGCAGAGTAGAAATAGGAATAAAACAAAATCATAAAAATAAGAAAAAAATAAATAATCTATAGAGTCCTATAAGTTAAAAAAAAAAACACTTCATGTTATTTAATGAGTCTTAAAAAATTGATTTGATTTTCTTGGCTTAAGGTGTTTGAAGATGATTGATTATTCATCCTTTGGAAATAATGAATTATAATATCACGAAGAATGTTGACGTTGTTCGATAGATAAGAGAATTTTTTTATTTTTATCTTTTTTTTTTATGTAATGTAATAATTAGATAGACGATGTTTATTATGATTGTGTTTGAATGGGAAGATTGATATGTGACGATGAAAACGAGTGAATTTGATATGAAAGGCAGGAAAAGTGAAGATATTTAAATTAAGAGAAAGATAATAAAAGATGAAGTAAAATAAAAAGAAAATTATAAAAGTAGGTAGTTGTTTTAATAAATTAAAAATAAGTAATAAATAAATAAATAATCAAAAATAAATTTATTTATTTTTTATTTATAAAATTTTTAATTATTTATTATAATTATATTTTTAAAAATTATTATATATCTATTATTTAAATTTAAATAATTTATTACATAGTATTTCCGTACCTTTCTCGAAGAGATGTATAAAGATATTTAAATAAAATATTAATTATTATTGAGAAAATTTATGTGAGAAGATAATTTATTTTTAATTACTTTATTAATTAATTGAAAATATAAACAAATTAAAATAAATATATTTTTTTAAATTTATTAATTTTTTTAATGGAATAGAATTAACGGGGAGTTACTCCTATTGGATGTCACGGAGACTAGAAAAAATTCTTAATCACAGACAAGAACTTGGAAAAACACTAGTTGCTTAATAATTTTTAGTTTAAAAAAGAATGTTAATTTTAAAGTTGTTATATAACTTTTTAAAAAATAAATTTTTTGAATTATTACTTTTTAATTATTTTTATTTTTATGACCAATAACATGATTATCACATTTGGTGTGGGCCATTCCTTGCCTACGTAAGGGAAAACCAGTGGCTAGAGGAGTAAAGCCAACGCAACACGTGCGGGTGCCCACAGCAGATTTTCAAAGGACACGTAATCGAAGACAAGTAGGAAACTAACGAGGTAAGCGATATGATGAGGTTGTCTCTTTTCGAAACAACGAATGAAGAGAAGGAAGAGGAATAAGCCGTTGCATTTCCCTCCACACGTTCTAGTTACCTTATCTTCCACCTGTCTTCACTCTTCCATAATCATCCTCTCCCTCCAAACAAAACAACCACCTTCAACTTTCCCAGCTACACTGCACTGCTTTGATTCACAACAACCACCGTCACCATGTTCACGGCTAGTAAACTAGCCTTCACGCTAACACTCCCTCGTCCATGTATTGCACCCTTCACACCAATTTCTTCCTTCTCTTCTTCGTCTTCTTCTTCTGGTGTCCACCTCATTCACTTCAATGGACGCCAATTATGCCTCCGTCGCAGGCTATTTCTATTTTCTCCTAAGGCCACTGCAGATCAACAAGGTCTCCATAGTACTTCATCTCTCTTAAAAATCATGATTCCTTTCTCATTTTCTAATAACACCTTCTCTCTTTGCCCACTTGTTCTTTTTTCAGGCAAGGTTGGTGAGTTTGAGGAGGATGCAAACATTGTTGACAGTAAAATCCTCCCTTATTGTAACATAGACCAAAAGGAGAAGAAATCAATTGGTGAACTAGAGCAGGATTTCCTTCAAGCATTACAAGTATGGCCCCACAAGTTCTAAATTTTGTGTGTCTTATTATATATCTTTCGAGTAATCAGTGATGATTCTATACAGAAAAAATAAATTAACTTTTGTTTATGTGAATTAAATTTGTTATTGGTTTTATTTTCTCTATTCCACAGGCATTCTATTATGAGGGAAAGGCTATCATGTCTAATGAAGAATTTGATAATCTTAAGGAAGAACTCATGTGGGAAGGAAGCAGCGTTGTCATGCTAAGTGAGTCAACTTCGCTCACAGTAGCTGCGGCTGTTGTTGTCATTGAATTTGTGTTTACACGGGTAACTTTATTTTGAAGTCTTGGTTGGTTGATTGTCAGGTTCTGATGAGCAAAAATTCCTGGAAGCTTCTATGGCCTATGTGTCTGGAAAACCAATTATGAATGACAAAGAGTATGATGAGTTGAAACTGAGGCTAAAGGTTTGAATTTGGAAGCTTACATATAAAATGATATAATAATTGTGGTGTATTGATCAATGATCACTGAAATTAGGGAATACAATTGGAATTATTGAAGTAGCTGAACATCTCCCTCCTTCTGTTATTATTTCCTGATTCATAGCTGTTTTCCAGATGGAAGGGAGTGAAATTGTGGCTGAGGGTCCAAGGTGCAGTCTTCGTAGTAGAAAGGTGCGTTCTAGTCTGTAATCTATTCTTTGATTTCAGTTTTGCTTTTATGTATAGTTGTTATTTGATTAAATCATTTTTGCAATTTTTATACAGAGGTACAGAAATTAATTTTTCTTCTTTTATTATAAAGTGACCTCTTTTTAAATTCGAATATAAACTACGAAGATATGTTCTATCACAAAAGTGTACTGACTTGAGATGTAGGATGATCTTTACATTTCTAGTCAAATGCTTCTTAGTCATTAGAATTCAGCTTTAGGATTTGATCAAATCATTTGGGATTCATGAATACTTGGATCTCCTCTTTTTAATCTTTATTCTTTACTAATTACAGTCCGTTTATAGGTTTACAGTGACCTAACTGTTGATTATTTAAAGATGTTATTGCTGAACGTCCCAGCTACAGTGATTGCATTAGGACTGTAAGTAGCTTTCCTTTCTCTCCTCTTCTCTCTAATTTTTTATTGAGTCAATGATTCGATGGATTCAGCGAAAATTTTAGCTCATCCACATTTGATTTCTTTGATACATAAGACATATCGCAACATAGAAAGTTCTTAAATAAATGCTGTAGCACCCATATTCCGATTTTCTGCAGAATAATATGAACAATGTATTTAGCATTCTTTCATATATTTAGTTTTCGAAGGATTACACCTTCTTCTACTCATTATGACTATGATGTGGCCAGGGATGGAAAGGAATGTAAGAAATGAAAAATGTATGCTGATTCTTACATGCTGCAGTCATATTCTGTCCGCTTCCACATATTTTATAATTTTCACATCGTTGTTCTTTTGACAGATAAAATTTCATATCAGTATCCACTTTTTTACTTTTTACTATTTATCCCTTCTTAAATAAAAGGTTTTTCATCCCAAAATATAGATTGAAATATGTGTTCTTGGTTTGATTGTACTGAGTCAAACTGAATGGAATGTACTGTTAGCATAAGATAGGTATTGACTTCTTGCTTTAATTTTTAATTCTTTCCCTTCTAATCTATTAGGTTCTTCTTCCTTGATGATCTGACTGGATTTGAGATCACATATCTGCTAGAGGTATGTTCCCCTCATTTTTATCGTACATTCCAACCTTGTCATTTCGGTGCAGTTTGATTCCAGAATGTCATAGTATCTGGCAGTAATTTCATTTTATGGTCTTTTTCTTTTATTCCCTTATTTTCATGGATTCTGTTTAATTGTATATTATTTGAATGTTTATTATATCTTCTAGTTGGAATAAAAGACATGGTCTAAAATGCAGAGTGAACTTCAGATAGCACAGTGCAAAGTAGCTGGCCGTTTGATGTAAAAGAAAAAACAGTGGTTTCTAATCTAATGTTTTTACAAAGTACAAACAACATGATAACAATTCCTTAAATATTCTCAACAGTGGTTACCATCTTGCACTTTTCTCTGTAAAGTTTAAGCTGGAACACTTTAGAGTTTAGAGGATCCTAACTCTTCCTAGTCGAACAAAAAAAGAGATTAACTAATATCTGAAGATACATTGTAATGTGCGCGGTTAACGACTATTAATTGACCATATTTCTTTTTATAATTACCTTTTGTCTGGCCAGCATCCCTGGAGAAGTCAGCATAACTAGTTTGGAATTTGGATTGTCCATGGATGAAGTTTTTCCTACCAGAAATCAGAGATGAGGGGTCACTGAAATAAAAAACTTAGTTGAAGCGAATGATTTTTCACATAACGCAGAAATGAAAGTTTCTTAGACATTAAAAAGTGTTACAATTAATGCAATTATAACAGATGTTATGAATTGTTGTTGAGTGCAGCTGCCGGAGCCTTTTAGTTTCATTTTCACTTGGTTTGCTGCTGTTCCCCTCATTGTGTGGATAGCTCTGACACTGACAAATGCCATTGTAAAAGACTTTGTGATTTTAAAGGTATAATTTTACTAACACATTCTCTTGTAGGTTATATTTAACTACTAAATAGTACTGACATTTGATTTCTATAGGGTCCCTGTCCCAACTGTGGTACTGAAAATACCTCTTTCTTTGGGACTATACTGTCAATTTCAAATGGTGGTTCCACAAACACTGTCAAATGCTCCAAGTATGTAAATATAGCTAATTGACCAACCATCGTTGCTTCATGTGATTCAAATTCTTTTCAAACTGATATTATTTATATATAGTATGCCATTAACTTAACGATTGAATGCAACATTTTGACTCAGCTGTGGCACTGCAATGGAATATGATTCAACTACAAGATTGATTACATTACCAGAAGGAAGTAACGCCTAAGTGGAGGTACATTCCTAGTATACTTTTGAATCTCTCTGCTTGCTTACCTTATAATTGCATATATTTTCTACATAAATAGCAATATAATATTTAATTTTGTTTTCTATCTAGTGATAAATCTGCTAGAAGTAATTTTATTTCTCTTCCAAGATATGGTACTTTGAAGAAAGGTAATGAATGGTATATGGTGACCTTCCGTTTCATTATTATGCATGCATATTCCTTTATAATTCAATCTATTGTCCACTGTCCATGTCTCGTATCAGTTAGGGACTCATTCATTACCCTCTGGTCACTATATATACCTGGCAAGCCTTCATGTGTGTTTATGGAACAACTGAATTTGAAGGTTTCTTTATCCCTTGAGTGATTCTAAACTGGATTGACTCTACAAATTTTAGCATCAAATCTGTTCTATGTCTAGTGGGAGCCAAGTGGCAATCCTAGTTATAATAATGGCCCATCATGACTTTCAATGTGCAAGATAATCTATAATGAAACCCTCATCATTTACATATTGAATTTGTGTCTACATACAGGTATGCTTGAAAAATCATATTTATTGTTCCAGCAATGGGAGATGATTATAGAAGTTCTTGTGAGAGTGACAAATTTAGCATTTGGCAAATTGTCATGTCCGGCAATGGTCTTGTAAGTCATGTTATCACTGTCACACACGACTGGTGTGGTCTCAATTGTATGTGCCACCATCGTACTTGTAAGTATATGGTCTTTGTATACTTGTAAGTAATATGGACGTTGTATAGCATACACTGGATTGTCTCTACTTAAAAGAGTTGAGTCATGAGGGTGCTTAACACCATGATGAGTCTAACTTAGAATAATGTGTGTGTGAGGATTTTGGTTACACACTTCTATTACTGTGGCTAGACTTTACATCCCCAGCAACATAAAGAACAGTAAGGAAAATTGACAATAAGTAATTAAAGCCAACTGACAATATTATTTCTTGTATTCAATTAATCTAAAGGCTTGAGGTTGAACGAGGCTTGCTAAGGTAGAAATACCTTAAATTTTAGGAGGTATTTTGAGAATTAAACATGTGAATTTTTAAATGAGTTAAAATAATATTTTAATTTTTATACGTGCAAAATTGTTATTTTTCTTTTCAAATTCAACATTAGCCATGAAAAAATATGAATAGAATGGGCAACAAATATAACTCCCGAGTCGTATAGAAACTTAAAAAAAAATTATCTTACACAAATAACTCATATTGTAAATTTAAATTATCCATAAAATGAATATTAGAAATATATGTTTTTATAATTTATCATCTTCTGAAGAAAGATACAAATACTCTTTTAAAATGTATAGAGGCCGTAGAACTTGTATAAAAATATGGTCCCTTAACAAACACGATAAATGTTTTGAAATGATTTCGACCTGGCTGTCTTCATTATGGAATTTTTTTTCCAAAGAAATAATTAAATTGAACATATGTCTGGTTGAAGATTAAAAAAATGTTTTCCAAAAACAGTCAAAATGTTTTTATAATATATATATATGTATATATATATATATATATATATATATATATATATATGATTTTCATTTTTTTTTTGTTTTCTTTGTGTTTAATCGTGAATAATCATTAGAGTTTTTCTTCTTTACTATCAGTCTTCCATTAAGTTATTACTCATTCCAAACCTCTTCAGTGGTTGTCGCCAACTTGGAAGTTGAGGATGAACCAAATAAGAAGTAGAATTAAATAAGTTTTCTACATCTTAACAAACAAAAGATGAAAACAAAAAGTGAAAATGAAAATCTTCTCACAACCAAAACCACCCTAATGGGATGAGTGAAATTAAATCTTCAGTTTTCAATTGTGTTTTTTCTCTAGTTTTTTTTTTTTTTTTTGCAAATAAGTTTAATTGAGTTTGAGACAACATTAAAATTTGAAAAAGAAAAAAATATGATAAGATATTCTCTTGCATTCGAAAATTTGTAACTTATATTTTTCTCTTGACAATGTTGAGATTCACTGGAAATTTTTTTCTTTTTATAAAAACTGGTTTTATATTAAAATAAAATCAATTATTTTAAAATCATTTGTAAACAATTTATAATGAAAATTGTTTCTGATTATAATCTATAATAATAACTAATTGTATATATAATTAATAAAGTCATTTAATTTTTTTACACTTAAGCCAAACACATCCAGTTAAAACAAATGCCAATTGTCCAGGTTCCGGCATGGGAATATTAGCCCATCTCATGCTTTATACCAGACAGGTTAGGTGCCCATTAAACTCTGTCCATTTTATTTCATTCAATTTTTAAACTTTGATATAGTATATCCAATTAAAAATATCCTTTCTAGATAAAATAATTTTAAATATTATTGTAACTTTAGTCAATCCAGGTTAGGTTCCTCTTCATGGTGAAAGGATGTACTTAATGGATATCCATCACTGGAGGTAACTAAGTTAACTTTTTAAAATTTTAATAACGATTAATTAAAGTAGAGGTTGAAGGCTTAAAACATTATTACTAATTAACAGTTCTTATTGTTAACCAGGCTGATGAATGTAATACTGTATCAGTGCCATTATCTAACACAGTTATTGTCTAACCAACGTTAATCGTTTTAAGGTACTATATATTGTATAACCATCATCGTTCACGGCAAAAACATGTTTTTTTTATTGCGGTTTTAGTCTAAAGTGTGGACTTGAAGAAATTAATATTATTATCATGAAAACACGTTTGCACGTTTTTCACTCACGTAATGATATTAAATATTCCGGAATCAATTCCTACGTCAAATAATGTTGTTTCAAGAAAAAAAGAAGAAGAAGAAGTTATATAATAGTATTGACTTGAGAGATTAGAGATGTTATATATCTTCGTGGGAATCACGAAGACAATTTTCTTTGATGTGCTACGTGCTATTAGAATTGGTCTAATCGACGTTTTATATAAGGATAAGCGTAGAAACCCCTTAGCATGCATAAATCCTTCTCCCAGAGGAAACAACAGAACCAGTTAAATGGCTGTGACTCTTCAACATTATAGCTTTCTGTTGCTTTCGTTTTCATGGATGTTGATGATCATCGGAAGACCGAGAATAGTAGCAGGTTACTTTCAGCCTAGTCAATGGACACCAGCCAATGCCACATTTTATGGTGACGAGAGTGCTTCTGCCACAATGGGTATGTTACTAAAATTCATTTGCAGTCTTAAAGTTAACCCATGTTGATGACTTTGTACCAACATATCTTTAACTTTGTTGTGATTATATAAAATGGATGAACTTGATTAACTGAAGGAGGAGCATGTGGGTATGGGAATTTGTTCATAAACGGTTATGGGAAAGACACAGCAGCTTTGAGTTCTACACTGTTCAACAATGGATATGCATGTGGGACTTGTTATCAGATACAGTGTGTCCAATCGAGTGCATGCTACTCCAACGTACCTTACACGACTGTGACTGCCACCAATATCTGTCCACCTAATTGGGCCGAGGACTCTAACAACGGAGGGTGGTGCAACCCACCACGTAGCCATTTTGACATGTCCAAGCCCGCTTTCATGAAAATTGCACAGTGGGAAGCTGGAATCGTTCCTGTTATGTACCGCAGGTAAAAGATTTTATTCTACAGCACAAATTTTTAATGATTTGGTAACTTGTACAATTTGAGCAATCATTGTTCAGAAAACGGAATATTGTAAACTTTACACCAAAGAAGTGGTGTGCAAATAGCATTATGTGAAATTCATTTATTGTTAATTATGATAGATGATGTGATGTGGTGAATAATTTGTCAGGGTACCTTGCGAGAGGAGTGGGGGGCTACGATTCTCTTTCCAGGGAAATGGGTATTGGTTATTGGTGTACGTGATGAATGTGGGAGGAGGAGGAGACATTGGCAACATGTGGGTGAAAGGAAGTGGAACTGGGTGGATCAGCATGAGCCACAATTGGGGTGCTTCTTACCAAGCATTTGCAACTTTGAGTGGGCAATCTCTTTCGTTTAAGGCTATTTCCTACACCACCCAAGAGACTATAATAGCTTGGAATGTTGCTCCCACCAACTGGGGTGCAGGACTAACTTATTCCTCCGATGTCAACTTCAGCTAAACCACCACACATCAAATTCATCCATTTTATTTACTTCATTCAACTCCTCGCTTTTGTTTATCTGTTGTCATGAATTTTCACAAGGTTTAAATGTCGGCCCAATGAAGTTCATTATATTATTGTCACCTCATTCCACCTCTCCATTTCTTTTAAACATTCTTTTTTCACCTCTCACTTGTTTTCTTTTTCTGATCTTAATTAGGTGAAACATTTTATATTTTTTTGTGCAAATTTGATATTAATTAATCGTTTTGGTATTCAACCATTATGACCACCAAATTAAACAGTGGAGGTATCGTCTTAATAATTCCCCCTTATCAATGTGTGAATTATGAAAGCTATGGTGTTAGTTATGATTGAGAAGTTGGGTTGCTGATGGAGGTAAAACAATGATTATTTGTGTTGGTGGTGAAGGGAGGGTTTGGTGGCCATGACATGTGCTATGCTACCATGGCAGTTGGCATGGTGGAGTTATGGTTAAGCAAGAGGTTGTGGGTTGAGCAGTGACCTTGCATGTTGGATTCATCAGTTTTTTGTTTTTTTTTTAAAGCCATGTGAACATTTTTGGACAATATTCTACTTTAACTTTTTTATGTATATTGGTGTGAGTTAAGCTCTTCTTAAAACAACAGAATAAGTTAAGTAATTAACCAACTTGACACGAAATGAAAAGTTAATTTACCAAATTGTACCAAGTTAAGAAAAAAGTTAGAAGACCAATCGAATTTTGTTACCAATATTTAAGAAAAACTCTTGTCAATAATTTTTTATTCGTTATTTAGCTACACATTTTTTAACATTATTTTTTATTATTGAATAGAATTTATTAAAAAATATGATTTCAGTGTAGATCTTACTAATTATTTAATGAGTATTTTTCCTTCTTTAAAAGCGAGATTCACTAAAAAAAGTGTGATTTCTAATAAATTGTAACCATTACAAGGAATGTCTTGGTTTATCTTTAAAAATATATTATAAATTCAATTTAAACGAAAAACATCGAGTCTTCTAGTTTTCTTGTGACAGATAATAATTTAAAAACAAAATTAAAATAAATAAAAAACTTTAAAAATTCTTGCTGCCATGCATGTTAATTGAAAGATCCAATCTGATATTCAGAAAAACCAAAAAAAGATCTAAATCTGATTTATTCTGGAGTATGCAGATACAAAATAGAGGCTATCTGTTTCAAATCTTGGAAGGTAGTAGGCTACACCTTGTTGTTTTCTCCCCAGTGATTAGCAGCTTGGGCTGGACTTCACCCATGGCTGTCTGCTCCTAACCATGATGCCATTTTAGTTTTCATTTTTTTATATTCATGCCACATACTTTCCTGCTACTACCAAAATACCAACAATATTTTCCATTTATAAAATTATACTTTTCATGCTATAAGACTATTGGAATATATCTATTCCCAACTATTATTATTTTTTCTTTTAAACATTATCCTTCATTAGATAGTAGTCATTTTTTATAAACATTAAAAAAAAAAAAACCTAGATGGGGTATAAGATACGTACCTCCAACTTAAACAAGAAGAAGAAATATTACTTACGAAATGTGCCATATATCACATGAAAACACTATACGGGTCTGTTGTTTATTCCACATTCTTCATCATCCAACATTTCACATCATGTCTATGAATCTATCAATTTCTTATTTTTCTTATTCTCCATCCTTTAAATACAAGGACATCTTCAATGAATTTACTTAAACTAAATTTTAATAAATCCCATGTGAGAAGCAATGACATGTTTTGATTTTCTTTATAGGTCTTGCCTACGTTGGATTACTTGTTCAACAAATCAATCACAATGTTTTTGCCATAAAAACTACATTTAAAAATATTTATTATATTTTTATAAATTTATTATTTTTTAAAAAGTTAAATATCAATAATAGAACCCAATTCAATTAAACTATAAATTTGGTTAAGAATGTAATTATCTTCCTTTTACTAACTCAACGTGAATCTGGTCAAATTTTATCTTAAATACATTTCACTCAGCCTCGTCCATGATCATTTATAATAAAAACTCATTATTGCATTTTAATTTGGTATTTTTATTCTACATAATGACACGCTCTAAACATCCAAGTAATCTTAATTACAAATTAAAGGAAGCGTGAAGTAGATAATTAATGTGTTAAAATTTAATATTTATCATTTATGGTAAAAAATAAGTGCGTAATTATTTTTAAAAGTAATTGTGTATATCTTTTTAAGAGATTTTAATTGTTTTTCAAGAGTAAAAAAAAACTAAAAGTAACCTGCTCTGAAACTCTATTGGTAAAAAATTCTAGCTCTTTGCCATTTCTTTAACCAGAGGTACTTTTGCATGATACGTGCATAAAGCTCCTTTCAGTTCATGTAAACAACGTTGTTTAACCACTTTGAAGACAGGAATAATTATAGTAAATAGTTTTTTTTTTCAATTTTATATCAATACTCAATTGTGTGTTTTTCTTTTTTATTGTGTTACTATAGAAGTATAAAGTATAGACACAAGCAAGGGACAAGGGAAAATATATGAAGAGGCAGAGTTCATGGAAAGTTATTTACTATATTATATAAACGAACTAATTAACAGCTAATAAAACGATTAGACGCGCAAATTGAAATTAACGTCATGAAAAATATAAAAAGATGGAGACAAAGTGAGAGCGGCTATGATAAAATATAGATATTTAAGTTTAAATATATTTTTATTACATAAAGACAGTTAAAATAAAACTTGCTTTTTTTCTCTCCACATTTAATAAAACGTCATAATTTAAATATTTAATTCAACATTAAACATGCATGTAATCATAGAAGGTAAAATTAAATAATTTGTTTGAAAGATAGAAACTAAGAGAAGGTTCTTTAAGAGATATTTAATATATTATCCAATGCAATCTTTATGATATTAATGAAAGTCAAAAATATGTTTATGCAAGAGGGATATATTCCCATGGGAAAGTAATAAAGCACATGCTTAATCTCACAGAAAAGCATGCAGGAGAATAAATTGAAGAACAATTTACCAAGATCTTTATTTAAGTGACAGTAGAATTAAAAGAGTTTACATGTAGAAAAGAAGAAGAAAAGGAAAAATAGAAGAATCTAGGAAATAGAGTGAGAGGGTGTGATATCTTTGATATGCTTGCATGTAAAAGTGTATAAGAAGGGGTGGAAGAGAGGGCTATTGGGGCCGGTGGTGGAGCCAGAGGGAGGAAACAGAGGGGTCCACGATCCACGGTGAGCGTGCACCAAGACCGAGGCATCTCACGCCACTTCAAAATAAAACAACACAAACGGAAAAAACAGCTGCAACCTTTTACTGGGTTTTTTCCCGGGAAAATATTAACAGCTTCGCCAGCACTTCATTCCCAGATCGCGAAACCGGAATCGGCATGGACCGCTCCTCCGCCCGCCTCAATGTTCCTCCGCCGGTCACCTCCGGAGGCTCCGCGGAGGCGACTCTCCGCCACGTGGACCGCCTCATAAACTCCAACCACTACACGTCGCCTTCCAGGACAATCTACTCCGACCGCTTCATTCCCAGTAGATCTGCCTCGAAATTCGCGCTCTTCGACATAGCCACGCTCCCCGAGGGCCGGGACGACAGCTCCAGCGCCTATACCACGCTCCTCCGCACAGCCCTCTTCGGCCCCGACGCTGCCGGCCTTGCGCTACCGCTCACGCAGCAGAAAACGGCTTCCCTGACCATGACGCTCCCCAGCCGGAATATTTTCCGGTACAAGACCGAAACGCGCCAGTCCATGCACTCGCTCTCGCCGTTCATGTGCGACGATTCCGTGCCCGGAGTTAATCACGGCCCGGTCAAGGCTCCCAGGAAGGTTCCGAGGTCGCCTTTTAAGGTGATTTTTTATTTAATTTAATTTAATTTGGTTTAATTTTTTTTTTTTCTATCTATGGATGTTGCGATATTAGTGTGTTTTGGTGTTTGGAGTAGGTTCTGGATGCGCCTGCGCTACAAGATGATTTTTACCTGAATCTAGTGGATTGGTCTTCGCATAATGTGTTGGCTGTTGGTCTGGGTAACTGTGTTTATCTCTGGAATGCTTGTAGCAGCAAGGTAACTTTTTTGGTTGTTGCTTGATTTGGGAACTTTTAATTCGCTTTGGTTGTGATGTGAATTGGGCGATGTTCTGTTTATGCAAATTAAAAGAATGGTCTTTGTGATTTCCTCTGTATTGATGTGATTGTGCAGGTTACTAAATTATGTGACTTGGGGATTGATGACCTCGTTTGTTCGGTAGGCTGGGCTCAACGTGGTACACACCTTGCTGTTGGAACTAGCAATGGTAAAGTTCAGGTAAGACTGTAGCTCCGATCGTGTCTCTGTCACTTTTACGGATTCGTATTATGGGTTCCCAAAGGATGATATTTGATTGCCGCGTTTTAAGATTTAAACTGTGTTTGCGGGTTCGGTTCTGTTGCGATCGTTTCTATTGTGAAAAATGGTGGAAAAATGATGCTGCAAGCATTAGTCATGGCAATTGATATATGTGTAGTAATGCAATTATGCAATGATGCGTGATAGTCTTCACCTAGTGGAGCACTATAACCATTTAGCAATATTGATATGGGGGTGATTAGCGTTGATCCTGGAGCCCTAAAGAAAGATCTCAAAAAAGAAAGGGGCATTGGGGTAAACTGTCAGATGATAATGCGATCCTTCATTCTTGGTTGGAGAGAAAAAAGAATAGTAAGTAATTAATTAGAACTTGCTCGAGTATATGGTAAGCAATTGAAGATAGCTTCTAAGGGTAGTCAATTAGTTGTTTGACTTCCTGTACGTGAACTCAGTCTTTCAGGAGTCAGAGTGCTTCCTTGTTGGATTCTTAGCTTTAAAGAAACGAGTATCAAATGGCATGCCACCATAAGTTTATCTCTGGTTGTAGTAATTGATTACTTAAACACTGTTATATATCATTACATATGGGACATCAGCAATGTCTCTGTGTCGTGTCTGGTGTCCATGCTTCATAGGCTCTGTCAGAGCTAGCCAATGCGGATTGTGCTTGTGTTTGTGTCAGTGAATCATTTGTTAAATATGTCAGTTCGTGTCTTGTTTGTATAACTTGTATTCTTATCTCTTGACTTGGAGGTTATACTAGCTCTAGGAAATGTAGCCTATTTATGACCGTGATTCTAGTCCAAATAGGCTCCATGTTTTACAAATTGTACTAGTTTGATATTTGTAGTTGACTTTAAATTTAGAAACTTGATTTGCTTGCTTGATTGAATATTAATTACCTTTATGTAGTCCAATTCCTTTGCCCTCAAGGGTGAAAAAATGACAAGAACTTGCTCGAGCTAAATTGGGCCTGGAGAGATATAGGTGGCTCAGTTTCCTTTAATTTTTTATATCTCTGCTTAACTGTTTTGTACGATCAAGATATGTTTTTTTCTTATAAAACTTGCTATTTCATTTTATTCTTTCTTCCATTTACTTTATGTTCTCTATTACTGAGTCACCTATTAACCAATGCCTGGGTCTAATTTTTATCCATGTAGATTTGGGATGCATCTCGTTGCAAGAAGATAAGGTCTATGGAGGGTCATCGGTTACGTGTTGGAGCCTTAGCCTGGAGTTCATCTCTTTTGTCTTCTGGTGGCAGGGATAAGAATATTTATCAAAGAGATATCCGTGCACAAGAAGATTTTGTCAGTAAACTGTCAGGGCACAAATCAGAGGTTAGTCTTGTTTTTATTTCCTCCAGTTTCATCTTGTCTAACTATTCTACTTTACATAATATTGAGCAAGATTTTGATTTTCCTTCGCGGTTCTTCAAAGGTTTGTGGACTGAAGTGGTCTTATGATAACCGTGAGTTGGCATCTGGAGGAAATGACAACAGAGTATGCAAGTGCACACTTAATCATTCTTCTAAACTATTATTCTTTACTTCTCCTGCATAATTACTAATTATTAATTTTTTTCAGTTGTTTGTTTGGAATCAACACTCAACTCAACCTGTCCTGAAGTACTGTGAGCACACAGCAGCTGTCAAGGCTATTGCATGGTCTCCTCATCTTCATGGACTTCTTGCATCTGGGGGAGGAACTGCAGATCGATGCATACGATTCTGGAATACAACCACAAACTCACACTTAAGCTGCATGGACACTGGAAGTCAGGTAAAAGTACTTGTGTTTAAAATTTTTATACTTTTATGTCAAATTCACCACATTTTAATATTTTCTCTAATATGAAAGGGGTTATGTGTTGGTAGTACAAAATTTTTTACTAGTTGCTATAATATGTTTTCCTTCTGAAGAACGGTAATTTTGATAACTCCTTTAAAGTATGAAAGAACAACGAACTGCTTGAACCAAAATCTACAATGGAAAATGGAAAGAATAAAATAGTTCTTGAAAAATGATTCACGATAAACTAATGAAGAAAGATAAAGATGTTTAAGAAAGAAAGGGCATGGTACAGCAACGTTGGACCTCATGATGAGCATGACTCCGTTAATGCAATCGTTATGATTGATTTTGAAAGATAAGATCTGATGATTTCTTGCAGAAATGCTTTCGTTTCCAATTCTTTTTTGTGTGGTAATAAGTCGTGATAGCTTTGTATTAATGTGAAATAGGGGCTTAAAGCCTATAAACAGAGTTATCTCAAATACATAATAGCTGAATAAGTAGTTACCATCAGAAAGAGGTAGAACTAGGAGGTCAATCATTTACTGCCTATAGGTTATGACCAGTGGCAAAGTATAACGTTCACTATTTGCAATGGACCAACTCTCTTAAAAGCTTAGACAACTATTTGAAGGTTTATGAATGACCATCAGATCTCTAACATCATAACATGCCCCAAGTGCCCTTTAAACTTGACGTGTGATCAATTCATGAGCCCACTACCTAATGAAATTCAACCTTAATCTAAAGGAATGGGTGTAACAATTATTAAACCCTGACCAGTTAGTCAAGGAAACTCTAATACTATGTCAAACTATTAAAAGCTTAAGCTATTGGATAAAGGCTTGAACTGTTTTGGCGCATCTCTGACATTATTATTATACCATAACTCCGGGATTGTACCTAGTTGAACAGGGGTTGTTCATTATTGTTATTGTTATCATTATTATAGCTATGGGCTGGGAGGTGTGAAAGAAGTTGACTTGAGGTTCCTCTTACATGGAGGCAGTCACGTCCCCTCCCCCTTAGAAATTCAGTTCTGGCTGTAAAATCATTATTTGCTCTATCATTGTATAGAAAGTGAGACATTACAAGAAAAATAGCTTCAGTCTAGTGTTTCTTATACTATTGTAAAGTTTTGAAGAATACCTAAATTAAATGTAATTTTAGTTGACCATTCATAACTGCCATGTTAGATTCTTTAAGTTTCTTTTCAACTTATAAATTGTTTAAAGAATTTGTTGTATTTACCACTTCAAATATTGAGAGAAGGATAATAGAGTTTTCCGGCTCTGCCTTTTCCCTTTCTTTGAACACAAATAAAATGATGTTCAACCTTGATATTTGGCAGGTTTGCAATCTTGTCTGGTCTAAAAATGTCAATGAACTAGTAAGCACACATGGCTACTCCCAGAACCAGATAATTGTTTGGAGATACCCCACCATGTCAAAGGTAGAATATCTACTGTGATAAGGTGTATCTCTTTTAGTTTTACTTTATTCAATCCTGTTTTACCATCATTTTTGGTCCTTTGATGCAGTTGGCCACTCTTACTGGCCATACATACAGAGTTCTTTATCTTGCCATTTCTCCAGATGGACAGGTATTTCAGTTCTTTACCTACTCCTCTTTCTATCATTCTGTCTATTATTAAGAAAATGATTTCTTTGTTGTATCACCTATGCTGTGCTTCTGGTTGTGATGAGGTGTATTGTTTCAGACTATTGTAACTGGAGCTGGAGATGAAACACTTAGGTTCTGGAATGTATTCCCTTCCCCTAAATCACAGGTAACTTACTCATTTAAAGATGGATAAAATCAATTTGTGATGTGGACAGCCTTTCTGCTTATTTGTATTTGTGAATATATTACGTTTAGTCGTACTTGGAACTGTATCACTATTCCTTTACTAGAGATGAATTAAATTCGCTTCAAATAGTTTTTATGACAGCTGCAGTTTTCGTTTCCTTGTATTTTTTAATTTCAAGTTGTTTTGCATTGTTAAAAGGACTGGTGCATGATTCCTTGCTTTTATCTATTTTATGTTTTTTCCGGTAAAGAAACTGAATATATAAGACAAATACTGTTTGTGCGCATGGAAAATGCTTTGTATATCTCATACACGTGGGATTAAAAAATGCTTTAACCAACAATACAATTACAAATTGCCATAAATTTGAACAACAATTATCATGCCAATCCATTTACTTCATGTTATATATTATCATGCCAACCTCAGTTGAGTGATTTATTTAGTGTTTAAATTGGATTGATGGTTATTATTCTCATCAAATGATGGGAATAGAGCCTTTCATGTTAAATGGTCACATGACCATATCATGTAAAAAATATGTTTATCTCATTAAATGACATTACCTATTTAATCAAGGCAGGGATTGACACAAAAATTTCCGCATGATATGGTCATGTTTAATGAGATAATTCATTCCCTTTACCTCATTGTTTATATGGTAATGATTGACAAACTCGACGTGACCATTGATGCAGAATACTGACAGTGAAATCGGAGCATCATCTCTTGGAAGAACCATTATTAGGTGATCGTTGCTGCCATTTTGATTCAACCATGTGGCATATCTCAAAGTTTTGCCTGTTGCTGCACAGAAAGAAATTTCAGAACACAGAGCACCATGTTGAAAAACATATCATGTGAAAAAAAAAAAAAAAAAAAAAAATTGAAATAGGCATGCCTTACAGTTTAGACAGCATTGCAGGGAGCTATGAAAGTTACATTATGGCTGCCAAAGGCATAGACATTCATGCGATTCGTGTGAAGTCTCATTTCTTACTTAAAATAGGGTCAATTTTTTTTTTTTACGTCGGAGTTTTATACATGTTAATGTTGTTGTAGCTTCCTCCTTTACCTTTCCTTCGATTCTTTCCTTCTTTCTCATAATGCTCTCCGATGTTATATACTCAGGATGAGTACACAGAGAACACATCCTCAGCAACCTTGTAACAGCTGTTGTAAATAATTATTCAATTTTAGGAGTTTTGATACTTCCTTCAATTTTTAAACCATCTCATTGCCTCTGATTATTTAATGAAGTTTAATATGAAACCATAGTGCTTTGTGGATTCTGTGCTCCCATCATATGGTGTACTACCTATCGCAAGGGCCTGTAAAAGTTGAAACTGGAGTACAAAATTTAACACCCTCACCCACCCCTATATGAAACTAGTCCGGTACCGTGCCTATGCCCACTATATGAAATCAGTATTTTACATTGATTTTGAATAATGTAGAATGAGATCAAGTTGAAAGTAAGAAAACTTTACATTATTTACGAATTGTTTTTTAACACTGAATGAGATATAGTTGAAAGTCAGAAAATTTAACATTTGTTGCCAATTGATTTTTAACATTGGTTTTAGCATCAAACCAACAGAGAATATATGAACTTTTTTATCAAATATTAGTTACAACGGCAACAAGTATAATATATCAACTTTCAATATCAATTATGTAAATAATAAGTGTTCAAATTTTAAATATGCTGGATATGACTAACAAATTCTAGCATGGTCAAAGTGGATTTTCTATATTGGATATAATATCACTATAATTTATATAGAAAATAGGATTTTTTTAATGCACTGTCTATATTTGAAAGTACTTTCAATTAGTAAATTTAAAAAAGCAATACCAAATAATCAATAATTTAAAATTTTGAGTTATTTACTTAAAAAATAATTAATTACAATTTGCCATTGATCATCACTTAAATCTATATTGAATGATAATTTTTATTGAGTTATTTACTTTAAAAAAATAATTAACTACAATTTGCCATTAATCATCACTTAAATCTATATTGAGTGATAATTTTTACATCATATTAATAGAAAACTTGAAAGTTATTACACGAATGTTATCATATTTTGTATATTAGTTACACGTAGAAGGCCGTCATAGTGGCATGGCTCAAATTCATGTTCACAAAAAATAATACACTCCTTATTTTATATAGTATTTATCAGTCAGAATCAAGCAGTACTCTGTGATTTGTAGAGACAAACTCTAGTTGTTTCAAAATAAATTTCTATTATAGATCGACATATTTCACCATTTGCATTTTGATGACAACAATCTGCAGACAGTTCCTATCAATTATGGTTCAAAATTTAATAAACAAAACTTCGATAATAAAAAACATCCATATCTTGACGAATAGGTTCGTAGCTTCATTTGGATAATGTACTGCTTTCAAACAGTTGGAATCACATCCACCATGCTTTTAATGTTCTCGTGAAGGCAAAAGCCGAGGAAGCAGAATGTGCTGTATAGTTGGTTAGCAGTGCACGTAATGAGTCTGTTTGAATAAACGTTTGTAAAAGTGCCTATAAGATAATAATAATAATAAAAAAAAAAACTTTTTCATAAATTAAGATAGTTTATATTTTTAATAGCAGTGAATCCAACTTTTTTAAGCTGTTGCTTCAAAATAGAGCCAACAAGATCATTCCCACTTTATTGTCTCCGAGTTCAATCAAGAATGACGAGAATAATGATACAGATTTTGAGACTTGAAAAAGTGGCAACAATCAAGTATATATCTGATCAGTTTTCTCCATACTTCTGCGGAGCACTTTGTTTTGCTTTTGTGCAGACTGTGCACGGTTGCTGTTTTCAGTTGAAATGGGGAGCTTTAGCCTAGTGATTTTACTGGTTGTGATAATCAAAATTATTTTTTAACATTGTGATGTGATGTTATGTGATACATGTACTATAAGATTAAGGTCTTCTTTTAGCAAAAAAATTCATCTGCACCTATAGAAAAAAGTTGCAGAGGTTCTAGTTGTGGCAAACTTGGGTTCAATCAAATACGATCACACTTCCTGATTATTTGTTTCCCATTGTTATAGTCCATTTCAACATGGCAGAGACTAAACACACAGCTTCTAATCAAATAAAAAATTCCAAAACTGATATATTAACATGAAGTACTCTCACGAACAGCTTTGGAATGAGTGTTGTACAGGAATTATTTAGGTAGACGATCACAACGGCCATTGTAATTAGTGGGTTACAACAAGAATTACATATCTTTATCATACACGAGTACGACAGGTTGCAGGTGAGCTAGTATCTATATATGTGGGCATTGTTAATGTTCAGTCTGTACATTACATTATGTACTTATGAGCACTATCAGGGCTTGCAGGTTTCAACTTTAGCGCCATTCGTTTATCCGGTCTTCCTATGAATAACTCCGTCTCCACCTCTTCTTCCCCTTTTTCTGTGACGACTTCCACATCCTCACCACTCAAGAACGCTGTCGTTCAATCCCACACTACAACAAAGAAATGATGTTGGAAATTAACTTCTAATCATGATGGAAGAATATGAAAATGAGGCTTAATCTTTTTTATTATATAGGCGTGTATTATATGACAGGCGCTACTTGAATTTTGCATTAATTTGATACTTCACGGGAAACTTTTAGTAAAGGAATAGAGTTTTGATGGGAAAGAGACGAGAAAATATTTTTCTATCTCCAAATGAAAATAGAGACAGAAAACAGCGAAGAATGATAATAACCTGCTCGCGTAAGCGTTTATTTACTTCGAGTAAGCACTTTTCCTGAAATCAGCCCAAAGAACATGGTAATTCTAATTAGTGAGCAATCTAGAACAAATTAATTAAAGAAAATATGCGTGCAATCATAAAGTTAACATTACCTCTTTTTTTAGCTTCTCAATTCGCTCCCTGAGCAATTGATTCTGAGCACATCACGGAGTTCTTGAATGTTAGGAGTCTTGGTTATTGATTAAGAGTTGCTATGTTAATTATACTAATTAGGAGTCTCATCAAAATCATTGTTATAAGTAGGCTTTTTTACGGTGTTAGATGCTCTGCTCGTTATATTGAGACGTTGATTCAAGAGAAAAGTTATTCAGATCTGCCAAGGCTATGGGACTCAAAAAAATCTTCATCTTGGAGAGAACTTTACCTTATTGATGAAAGTGAACATTCTAAAGCCCTTAGGTTTCAACGATAATGTCACAAAGATGTTAGGGTGTGGTAATAGCATTCAATTTTGAAGATGGGTGGTATTAGATCCTTTTGTATGGTGGTAATAGACAAATGGGATTGGATACAGTTTTGTTCAGAAATTTGTGGAATGATTGGACTCCATTACATGTCCTAGCATTGTCATGTCATGTGATGTTGAAAATGATTCCGACTATACAGAATTTACTTAAAAGGAAAATAATTGCAGATCAGTAACAAACTATTTGTATTGCTGTCATGAACGAGAGACGTCTTTACATCTTCTATTCATGGAAGGAGAACTTTTCTAGTTCGGTATTTTTTCTATCAATGGCTTGGATTTCAAATTGTTCTTCCGTGACAAGCTCTCATAAGAGGCAAGACGGCAAAAATGGTGTGGCAAATTAAATGATATCTGTGATTTGGTCTTTGAGGTTGTTGCATTAGATTTCAGAAATTAGGCTTCTAATTTAATTTCCTTGTAAAATGCATTAAAGACATATACATGCAGTCATAAATATGTTTTCCAAATAATTGTAGTTTATTAATCAAAATTCTTGAATTTCGCTTTGTCTTCCTTAATATTCAACATTTTGTGTCTTAAATGTTCTATCTTGATAGTGCTGTTAGCTTCCATTAGATTTCACTTTCAACGTAATTTATTTCAACCTTGATAAACAATAAATCTTGTACTATATATTATTGGTACAATAAAAACACAAAAAATTGTGGGAAGAGTACCTTTCTTGCCCTAATTTTGTCCAAGCTGTGTTCGAGCTGGTTCTCTAGCTGCTGTAGCTCGCCAATACTGCATGTCTCCAATTCGTCTCCCAAAAGCATCCTTCAATATCAAAGAATATCCGTTGTTGGGTTAATTTAGTGTTTCTCTCAATGCCAGTAAGAAAAAAACTAGTCGATGGTGTTCCGAAAACCTTCTGAAATTTTCTAGGTGCTCGATTTTCATTGCCATGCTCATATCACCGTCCTTCATAAGCTGCATTTAAACACAGAATATAGGACACTGAATAAGCGTCATATGATGTGTTCTGATGAGTCAAACTTTGATCCTAGTGTTACTTTTCCTTTCTTTCGTTGCGTTAAATATTCTTAGATGAAAATGAAAAGCTAGAATAGGGTTTATTAAACCCTTGCTGGATAATCATTCTCATGAGACGGTACAAAAGGATCGAGAGTCTTAGATGAAAATAAATTGACCATCTCGAGCATAATGTTAACTTTTGAACAAAATTGACGCACATAACGTAAACCATATACAGAAAGTTTAAATAGGACTGGAGAAATTCAAATATAGAAGTCGTGTGGTCTGTGCATGTGTGGAGATGGAGCATCAACATATAAAAATTGAGAATTCAAAATAAGTGAGGAAATCTTATATCAGAAGAATAGTTGAAAACTGTATAATCAGACGTACTTAAAATTAATTATTCACAATTTGAATCTATCTGGTATTCAACCCATAAACACTGTTTCTTGCAACACCACAAGGGCTTCGGCTAAAAGATGCTTAGTGTATAAGAATTACGTACATAAGTCAAAATATCCACGCGTGTAAGTTGGTAAAGTATACTGCTTATAGCATAATTGATGTGTCATGATATGTTTGAGGTGAGTCTCAAAAGCAGTTATTATACTCCACCAACTTCCATTTATGGAACAGTTCATTCCAGACACAAATAAAAACAATGTCCAAGGGCATTAGTTGCTGGATTTGCCTGCAAACATACTCGCACCATCGATTGAAGTTTAGATTATTCATGACCGTAAATTAAAATTCTTGAAGATGCATATATAACTCTTTTTAGGAAGTTAAAAATGGGGAATCGGTCCGGTTCTAGCATGATAATTTTTCATGGACAATGTTAGCATTAAACATTTATTCCTTACCCTATTATCAATCATCCCTTAATAATAGTAATAATGCTTTTTGTTCCTGAAATGGGTGAGTAGAGATTAATAATAACAGGTATTGCTTGCAAGGGTGGAGAAGGAAGTTTTCATATTCATTTATATATCCTAATTTGAACATATTTTAACTTGATGTGAAATGTTTAAAGCGTATCTTTCTTGATAATGACTTGCCATCTCAACTGAGATTTGTACGATTAAATATTTGTAAGTAGTCTAGTACGGTTTCATAGACCCAACAAAAATAATCACGATAAATGTTAATATCATCTTAATAAAGTTTAAATCTAACCTAATCTTAAAATAAACTAGTTTATGAAATTAGAATTATTCATCCCTTACACAATAATTTAACTAATTCACATAACATGACATAAGACTTTTAACAATAAGTAGATTTGATAAATGTCTTGATTTTTTGTTTATTTGAGCTGGGCTATCAATAACTTGTGGCGGGAGGATTTATTCAGAATTTGTATGATTAAGTTAGCTTATTCTTTATATAGCCAATTCTTGTCACCATAAACTTGCAATCTTTATTTTTTTTTCAAATTTCTACAAGCCCCTTTTAAAGTGTTTGTCTTATCTTGATATATCATTTTTAATTGGGTTTCAACGACAAGCTCCTTTTTTTGGCTTTTTCTCTAAGTTAATCATGACCTCTTTAATCTACTGTCGAGTGATAAAGTGAATTTGGAATTTAGTATATGATTTTCTTAGATATCCAAAAAATCTGTTTAATGGTTTTTCCCGTATTAGTTTTATGAGAAGTTTTAGGAATATACATTTTCGCATACACTGTTTTTAATTGATTAAAAAATTAATTAAATTACAAAATCAAGAAAAAAAAAACATTAACAAAGATATGAAACCCACCAACTTAATAATTTTTTAATAACTTCTAACTAATAAAAAGAACATATTTCTATATTTCAATTTTCTACCCCTATTATAAGAAGAAAATATCGGCTTTGTTTGTCATTTTGTTTGACACGAAATTAGATTTACTTAAATTATGGATAATAATAAATTTCATAAAACTATACCACATGAGTATAAAAGGCTTACAAGGTCAAAATAGATAGTGTTCAATACTTCTTTGTATTTATTTGTGTATTGATCCTTTAATTAATCTTTTGTTATATTTTTTTAATTAGTATTATAAAACTATTACTGATGAGTTAGAATCAATACTCTTTTATATTATTTATGTTTCTTAATAATATTTTGCTTGCAATATAACTATACAATCCAAAGAATTTCATTGACATGTACTCCATAAAAACATTATGTAAATATATATACTTGTGTATGTCTTCTTTTTTCATGTGGATTTGTGTGGGAGAGCTAACCTGTGTATTTTCATGGATTCCTTTGTTGCTGACACCCAGGTCCTTGGTTTTCCTTTGATAGCGTTCAACTGTTTTGTTTATACTGGAGCATCTCCAATAGACAAGAGCATTAAAAGTTTCTTAGGAACCATTGATTTGATCCGACAGCATAGAATATTTACTATGAATGTTTACTGAAGTGAAGATAAGCATATTTCACAAGAAAATAGCATTCATCGACGACAACATTTGCCATATATATTTGACTATGAATAATTTACTGAAGAGAACAAGATAGCATAAAACTAGTGTCAGTTTTACTTTCATTTGTTGAGTTTTATTGTACTTTTAGTCTTTAATTTGCAAATTTTATTCATTCATTAACTTGACAAGAATTTTATTTTTTGTTTGGGATAAATCATGTTTTATTAAACATATGAAAAGTATGTTTTATACACGATACAAAACAGAGCTGACATGATTTTTAATTTGTATGATATATTATATTATTGCCAAAGACTTTAAATGTTTACATTGCTATATTTTTTAAATTTACGTTACAAGTTCATATATACCAATATAATTAAGCTTAAAGACTAACATCCATTTTTTCTGTTTTGTGATATTTTGTAGTGTTAAACTTTAAAATGGTGTGTTGTCAAGCCTTTCAATATCCAAAACAATTAAAAGGATTATAACAGAAGTTGTAATTTTTTTCAGATGTAGGCTAAATGTACTGATAAAAGGTTATAACAACATACATAAACTCATTAATATGGTATGAAGTTTAAAAACCAAGTAGAAAAATGGAGGGGGTGTATCCTTTCAATCTTATATATAGAAAAAGAACATTGGAATTTGGAAGATGTTTTTAACATTTTTCTTAAAATATGTGGCTTAAGAAACTTTATGAATTGACCATAGTTTAGACATGGGACAGAAAATATAGTTATATGGTGATGGTATAACACAGGCCAATGCCCTGGGTTTCTGTAACTACAGTTCACACCTCAGACAATAATTTGACAGATACAAAAGGGGAGGAAAAACCAGGAACGTGGCAGAAAGGTTTTGAATGCATTGGTTGATCAAAAGAAACAAGACTAGAAAATTATTACACGCTATTAACAAGGATAACTTTTACCAATAGGTGATACTCATGCAAGCCATAGAAAAAAGAGAAACCATTTGTTTTGGAAAAAGAGAAACATATTTTAATATGATACTAGTAGTCTATGTTAAATCAAGACCAAGCTCTTATTTTAATGTTTATCTTATTTTAAGATTCCAAGATGGTCGTATCATACTCAAACCTGTCCCATGCTTAAACAACTTCTTGTTCTCAAAGATAATATTGTATGTCCGTTTAAATTCTTATTTAAAACTTGTTAATCCCATAAGTTATTATAATAAAGAATTTTTTATTAAAATATCCTTATATAATGATGTGATGTGTAATTATAAAAAACAAATATTTAAGGGCGATATTAAGGTGTATTAAGATGTGCATGAGAATAGGGTTATGCTATAACGAAGCTCCAGAGTTAACAAGTTATATATAAACTTTGTAGTCGTAAAGAATGTAAAGTAAATAAATGTTACCTTGTCTTGAATATTATGATCTTTGATTGAAAATTGAATAAGTAAAATAACACTCTTTCAGGTCTTTTATACAATAAGTAAATACATATATTTCCCTATTTTAAATATAAATATGCTTTTAAATAATTCAGATAATAACATTAAATTTGTCTCAAGTTATAATATCTTTTATAAATTTATCCCTAAATAATGAATGTACAAGAACAAAATCTTATGATAAGGGGAAAGGAGAGTACTTTATTTTAACGAAATAGTGATGAAGTTTTTATTATATTTTTTTCATTTTTACGTAACAATTAATCCATATAAATAAACTAATTCATACTCATGTAAAAAAATATATCATTTAAAAATTAATAATTAATAGATAACATTTAATCAGATTTTTTTGACAAAAAATTGTTACGAACAAAGCAATTGGGTACTTCAAACCAACAAGATGATGTAAAATAAATAAATAAAAACAATTTATTTTCTTAATCTCACGGTTAAAAGAAAATAACAGGTTAATTGTTAATTTTTTATGTTCTTAATTTATTATGAAATGAAACAATTTTGTTTTTTATTTTTGCAAACAATACATTGATTGATTTTTTAAGAATATAAGTCACTCATAAAAGAAAATAAAAATGTGAAGTACGTTTAATGTAATCAAATATGAAAATGCTAAAACAATACAATTCTATAACTAATATTGGAATTAAAATTGATTTTATGATATTATTAGTTAAACTTAATACACTTTACTATTTTTTATACCTTTTAACAAATTAATTTTTCTTTTCTTTCACATTAGAACCGGAGAAGGTACAGTTTAGTTGAGTTACGAAATAAACTTTGTTTTGTAATCTATGCATAATACAACTAATTTTGAGGATGAAACAAGTCAGATTGTTGATTTCTTTATTAAGGTAAATGCGACGTAGCTAAATAAACAGATATTTATTAACTCTTTCTGCGATCCAAAAGTATTGATGGAGTTAAAAAATAACCTCTCAAAGTGTTAAAACATATATTTCGTATACAAATGCTTTTTTATGCAGTCTGTTTGAGAGAAACTTTTCCATACACACAAAATCAAAATGAAATCAGTCTCTTATTATTTCATTATATACTTGTTAAACTCATATTTTCTTCTTCTGTTTTTATGGACAATTTATATTCAAAAACTGTATCTTTTCACGGGAAAATGTACCAAAATAACTCTTTTGAAAAAAATAACAATAATAATAAACTGGCTCGTGTAGCTAGCTAAATATATGCAGACCTTCGATTGAGGTTAATAATAATAATTATTATTATTATTATTGTAATAATAATAGACTATTCATTTCAATATTTACCTTTCTTAATTCACCTTGAGCCTTTTGACAATCCGTCAAACTTGTCTTCCTCCATCATCATATTATGTGAGAATTCTTATTCTTATTCGGGAAAGAAATATTGGGATAGTTTTTCCATGAATTTTTTTAGAAGAATAAAATCACAAAAACTGATTTATATTAGAAAATAAAAAATAAATAAAAGATTTTTAGTTCATATGTGAATTAATTTTAATTCATAAAAAAAACATTTTAAATTTATTTTTCTCTTTAAAAAAATGATAAAATTTATAGAAAAGCCTAGGATGATGATAGTTACAATTCCTTCCCTTTTAGGCAACTTACGCAGACCATATATACACAAAACAACCATGATTATCCTGTTTAGCTTGTTTCTTTTCCGGCGTCAGAATTCACATTCGTTGTCTATAGCACAATGAATCTCTCTTTAATATTATATTCCTTAAGCCAGCAACAATTAAATACGCTGCTTTAAAAGGATCCACTAAAATTCACATACTATTTAAACGATCGACAACAATCTTAATTAAGAACATCAAATAACACCGACAAGGGTGTCGGCTCCATGGTACGACCCTAGCAAACTATGCCCTGGTCACTTGTACCCATCATATTTGATCAGGGAAATTTTTTATCTTTATGGCTTCAAATTAAAAGTACCATTTGGGCAGAAAAGGATTCATCCAACATTGAAAGGATACACAAGTAATGAATTAATTAACACTGAAAAACAAGTTAGTGAGCAACATACCTTGAACTGGAGAACTCGTAAAGCCTCCCTCTGGTGGAGAAGATAATGAGTGCGACTTCAGCATCGCACAGCACCGAAAGCTCGAAGGCCTTCTTAAGCAACCCGTTCCTTCTCTTGGAGAAGGTCACTTGCCTACTCGTTTCATTTTCGATGCGCTTCATCTGAGTTTTCCCCCTCACCATTTTCCCTAATTGTGTGGACACAGATATAACAGGCGATATATGTATCAGATTGTTGGTGAAGATCTGAACTGAAGGAAACGGAAAAGGAGATCTAGATAAGCAAGGATTATTAGAACACAAGTGGGGAAAAGCCTATACGTTTGGTGTTTCTAAAAATAGAAATCAAACCTGACAAGATTTGAATGTGGAAGGCAACCACGGAGTGTTGTGCCCTGAATGGGTAGACTGAACCTTTACGAAGGAAGGAAGTGTTTGCAGGGTGTCTCACAGAAACCCTAACATAAATTTCCTGGAAGAAAGAGAAAGAGGGGCACGAGTGACTGATTGATTGATTGATTGATTGATGGATGGATTGCTGGTTCGACCTTTATGACCTAGCTTCCTCATTGGTCTTTTTCCCTATATATACATAATATATAATAACAAGAAAATAATAGTAATAGTAATAATAATGGAGTATATATCCCATATATCCCAAGAAAATATTCTTGCAAAATAGAGATAATAAAGGTAGTGAAACTAAAAAGAGTGGAGCGCCTAGAAAAGAACCTGATCCTATTTTTTCTTTTTTGGGTAAAGCCCGAGAAAAAAGAAATTAGGCCTTTCCCAAATTGAGAAAACTTGGAATAAATGCTCCCAATGGCACGTGAATCCACACTTGTTTACTAGGGCCATTTCTCAAAAGAATGACGCTCGTGTTGGAGGCACAAAACCCTCACTGCCATCGCCTATTCTCCTCACACGTGTCCGTGGGCACCGACAACCCATGCTTCCGGTGACATTTACTCGGACAGGGCCACTCTTGCCAGTTATTTTCGGACAAACACGAACCACGGAGCGCAAGTGCCATGCCCAAAATACTTTTAACGTCTTTATAAAAAACTAAATCATTACTTTTACTACAAATTAAACACAATACTTCATTTCTAGATAATATAATTATGAATGGATATAATTCTTTCTTCTTCTTCTTCTTTTTTTCCTTTGTGATGAAAAAGTAGAAAAACAAAACAGTGAGAACTTTTACAAAATTTGTTTTCCCAGTCAAACAGAGAAAAATTCTAGAATGGCTTTGTTTTTCGTGTCTTTTCTTTTCTTTTTTTTCCTTTCCTCTGGACTAAACAAAAAACAAAACATGAAAGTCATGTTGCACCTTAAGCTTCTTTTCACGCTTCTTTTCACGATTATATAAATGATATTATATTGACATGAAAAACTGTGAGACTAAAGGTGGTTTCCGTACGAATGATTGAAGCATGTAAACTTTTCGCAGTGTCTGATGGGAATTTAAAAAGTGGCCACTAAGGCCCTACGCAACGCTGAATTAAAGGAAGGTGCTTCCAATAAAAAACACCCAAGCTTAGGGTTCTTGGATGCTTATTTTTACCTTTTTTTTTTCTCACATTTTTTCTACTTTTCGTTTTTTTATTTCCTTCCCTCATCAAATTCCTGAAGGTTGCCTAATGTTACAGTAATTCATCTGTTTGTTTTTTTTTTCTTTTTCTGATGCTTACAAAAAATTCACTTATCACTCTATCTTCCTCAAATATTTCAAGAATTCGTAACTCAATAATTACCAGCTCAACTATCACAATTTTTTTGTTCTTAAATTCATTTCAAATTCTAAATCATAAACCAAACATTCTTACCCAATATCAATTCAATACACATTTAGTAGCGGTTACATTATTGTGAAATTACAAACTCATCAATACTAGAATGGTTTCTTTAAATATACTTTAAAATTTTCAAAATCACACCATAATCACCATTCAAACTCCAATACAATACTCCATACAAATCATCTCAAATCTCATATTGCAATTTAATCTTCATAATTTATAATTAACTAAACATTTTGGATTTCTAGTGAGAAGGTAGAGAAAAGTTAAATAATAAGACTGAATTATTCAACTTTTTTATTTATAACTTTTAAATCTCAATTAAATTTAAATTTCATTCTTTGAACTCTTTTATCTAATATTCATACAAGTTTAACCTTACACCAATTTTATTTACTTCAAATAGTTTGTTTAACTTATTTTCATCCAATAGGATAAAATAAAAGAACTCCAACAAAAATCATCATTTTGAATATGTTTTTTATTATTTTATGCAATTTTAACGTCATCGTAATAGCGTAATTTTAGCTGTTTTAATTATTTTAAATATAATTTAATCCTATTAAATATGTATTGTAGTTATTTTTGAAAAAAGGTATACATTTTTAAAAAGTAATAAAATAATATTTTGTAGACTTTAATTTATAAATAAAAAACTATAAATAAATGGTAATTAATAATAGATAACATAAGGTGAAATGTGTTTAAAAACCTAAAATAAATGTTGGATTAAAGAGAAAAAATTAGATATAAATAGTTAATTTAGAGCATCTCTAAAAAAAATATTATTACGAATTATCTAGAAATAAAGATAAATATTTTATTATGAATTTTATATCTACATTATTTAAAAATAAAAAAATTTATTTAAAATGTAAAAAAATATTTATATAAATAATTCTGAGAAATGTAAATCTTATAATAAAATGTTCGCACTTGAGTCGGTTGAAACCTGGCCCGCATACTTACTTAAATTGGAAAATGGAAAAGTGAAATGGGAAGGTGGACCACTTTCGCACCCGATACAACCATCCCTTGCCACCTCATAAAATGGGACCAAATACAGAGAGGCCTCACGTGTCACGTGTTACCACCATGTCACATGTACCTGTTATTCCCCACCATTTCATCATTCTTTTGCTTCTACCTCCACCACATGTAGCTGTTATTTTCACTCATATTTACACCTCATATTTCATGCCCCAGATTCTATGACAGGTTGCTCCAGTTATAGTGGTATACTCTTACAATGTAGACAATTTTCAGTGAATTCAGTAGATATATTGAGATTAAAATATCGTAACCTTTTACGATATTTGAGGAGTGTGTGTGTATTATCCAGCATACATTTTATGGATGGAACTAATCTCCAGATTTTTCATCCTTTTAGTCTCTCCCTTCTTTTCAAGCTAAACCAGTTTCTTTGGTCTTGGGACAAGTGTGCCTGCTTCTCGTTCAACAAAACCCTGTAACAAACAAACCCTAATTGCAACTTTTTAAGCATTGCCTTGCCTCCATTTCAACTTTGTTTCTCTTCAAACATAATTCACACATCTTAAACAACAAAAACACTTTATAGACAATGAAATCTATCAGGGGTGATTTTGTTCTTTTTTTTTTATCTTTTTAAAATTCCTATAAATACACTATTGAGTTTATTCATTATTATATAATATACACAAGTTATTCCATTAATGTAGTTGCTATTTTTACATTGTTTATAATATAACTGATGTGATATCAGTTTTCCTAATCATAACCTAACATGTAAAAAGTTATGCAAGTTATATGTTACCAAAATTTAGATTGTTTTTATTGCACAACAAACAAAATGCTTTTTTCTCATCTAGAAATAATAGTCTCCTACTATCGAACAATCTTATACTTCAAAATCCTTCTATAATTGTAATAAAGTGAATAGTAGGTGATTGTAAGGAAAGAGAATTGTGAGACAGAATAATCTGAAGGGAAGGTGATATCGAGAACATGTTCATGATAATAGTGACAAAGCTTGAAGAAAAGAGATAACAACACCAAAAAAAACATATAAAATGAAACAAAGTGATAAGAAGTACTTTTTTTTTTTACATTTATTACATCAATTTTTAACTAAATGAATGTAATGTGTATATACTACATTCTAATATGATTATCTTATATTAACTATATGTTATAATTGATATATATGTATCAATTTATTTAAGAAATTGTCATCATATTTAATTTTAAATTGATTTTTCATTAATTGATATTTTTTATCGATATAAAATCATATTTTTAAATTAGTGATTTTAAGAAAATATTATTTATTAGTAAAATTGAAACAATAATTTAATATAAATACATTTAAATGCTAAAATAACAATGAATTTGAATAACAAATAATAATTAATTCTACCTCACAAATACCCAAAAATAAATGGTCAATTTTTACTACGAAACTAATTCAAACACTTGTAGGATCATTAATAGGTTCCTTTTAGGTTGTCCATTAAGGATGACGCAGAAAAACCTTCGAAAATCAACTCAACCCATTTAAAATGTCTTCCAGATTAATGTCTTGGATCTTTTCTCAATCATTTGGGCCAATTACCTTTCTAGTTTTCAGATTTGGGGCCGATCTCTTCCAAGCTAAACGTACTGAGGTTTGAGTAATAAGGCTGGCTTGTTAAACTTTTGGCCCAATAGACATGATTGGACTTCCCCTACCAGCCCATAGTCACATTAACATCTCCTATACTTTTTTTTTTCTCAAATCAAACTTCCCTAAAATCCCCCAATTTCTATTATATTATTTCTCTTTTGTTATTCCTCCCATGGATTTCTTTCCTCATGCCAAACACATCCTTAAGAAACATGGAAGTAAAGTGAAAACTTGAAACTTTGTGGATTGAGTGGAAAGTATATTAACAAATACATCGGACTGATGTTTAAATCAATAAATTATTACTTTTCATTTTTGTTCTGATTACAGAATATTATTTTATTCTTACTTTATTCTTTTTTTTTCTAAATTTTACAAACATAGAGGTACAAATAAATTTAAAATTTTGCTATTAAAATAATATAAATCATATTAAAGACCACTATGAATCATTATTTGAAATTTGATATTTTCAAAATTTATTATTACAATACTCATAATACATATGTTTAATGTTTTTAATTTAAAAGCTAATGAAAGATTATTATAATATAATAATAAGAAAGAATGTGATTTAATCTTACCAAGGTTGTATTTAGATAAAGAGTAGTGATATTTTGATAAATAGTCAATGATATATTTTTGACAACCTACTTATATGAATATAATTATAATAATATATAATAAGTAAATTCATAGTTAAAAATAAAGATAAATAATTATTAATTAATTGTCTATTTAAACGTGAGTTGTCACAATATCTTTATCCTTATCTAAATATTAGATTTAAATTAACTACCGAAAGTGAAGTTCACACACTTTAACATAAATCAATTATAGATTAAGACCTCTAAAATCAACACATGGAACAAGTTTGACGCTAAAAATTTCTTAATCTCAAATTTTAAAAAAATGACGAGATTAGTATACGAGTCTAATTTTAAACTTAACAAATATATTCGGATAATTTTCTTTTAAATTCTGTGTGCTTCATGAAACGCCACGAAACTTAGTATGTCACATTTTATAAAAGTTCCTTGGTTTGAAATTTTAATTTGTGGAAATAATTATTGAAAAATTCTACACATAATAATATATAAACCAATGATATATTATCAAAGAATTTATTTGAAAACTTATTAATGGGAACAATAGTGTCTAATGATCAGTAATAAATCAAATAACATATTGAAGGTAGAACAGCATATTGAAATATTACTTGAAGAAAATATGTTGAAAAGTAGCAGATAATATATGCATTGCATGATTATTTGAAATGGGAGAAACTCACCTTTCTTCACCTAATAACACACATTTCAATTTCTAGGTTATCAATGACACAAATCATAAAGTGGGTAATTCAAAGTCGTGATAATAAAGGAAATTTAATCCAATTATTTACAATTTTAGACACCTCTTTCCTTGAGTTCAGTGGTTAGATCTACACTTTTCTAATCAAAATAGATCTATTGCCATTCTCACACCATCATAATTAATATTAATGAACTTAAGTATAATATAAAATATTAGATGTTTCTGACAAACTTTTTTAATAATATATAAATTCCTATTAAATAATACAAAATTTATTAAATAAAAACATGATTATATTAGTGTGAATTAAAATTTCAATAATATACAAGTAGGAAAAACTGCATGTGAAGATTATGACAGTATGGTGTAATCTCCAAATACTAAAGTATATGAAAAATAATTAGGTAAAAAAAAAAAAAAGATACTGAAAAATTGAAAAGCATAGCAGCACCAGAAAGTGAGATGAAACAGTGACAGCTCAACCATCTTAAAACTATCAAACTACATATCATTGTCTTCTTTAATTAGTGGTGTGCATTGGTGCATCCTCTATGGTTAAGATTTCATTTCTTTTTATACATTTTGTTCACCGTATTCGTTGGAACTGCAACCATTGGTGGGTGCACAAGTTTAAAACATTTTTATATTCATGTCTCTCATTTTCTTCTTGGTGCAACTAACGATCAATAATTTTGTGCTCATCAAGTTTGTCCTCCATAAATTCATCGCTCACCCATCATACACATGCTTAATGCTAAACCTAATCTCCACACTTTATTCCTTATTTTGTTTCCAACCACAATCCTCTACATTTAAATCTTCACCACTTCATTGCCAAACATTTCCATCTCAATTTTATGCAAACCCTTTCAAATATTTAATATATAAAATAGAAATATAATATTTAGTAAAAATATCTTTCATATATATAATATAATTACAGGTTTTCACTTTATTTTTTTAAAATGTAGAACAGTTGCAGCCCATCATATTCACGTTTTTAAAACACTATAAAATTTATTGGTAGGTTTTATAAACTTTAAGAATTATAAATGTACATTTAAGGGAAAATATTTTAAAGTTATATGTTTTTAATGTTGTATAGTCATGTTTTATCGATTTAATTATGAATTTTGTTTCAGTATTATAAATTTATTTAATATTGATTATTTGAGTTAAATAGAAATACATGTATGAATACACATGTATGTATGAAATATATATGAAGATAATAAGGAATAAAATTATTACCCATACCCATACAGATATTAAATCATATTTTGATTTTTCAAAATGCTAGTATATAATATTGTACCTGGACATTATCAGTTGTCATCCCATGAGTATTATGATTGATTAGCTTCGAATAGTTTCTTATTATTATTTTAAAAAAATCTTTAAGCCATCAATAGAAAAATCATATTAATGATGTACTTACTAATAAAAAATATTATTTGACGTACAAAAAGATTATGCCTATAGGATTTTCCACCCATATATACGGTATTTTAACATGGTACATGTGGAATCATGAGTATATCATATAATGCGTCGAACTACCGTGTTTGGCATGAATATCCTACTAAGGTTCAATAACTAACCCCGTACATGTGGATTATTTAATTTTAGTCTAAATACTAATTTTTTGAACTGAGACATGATCAAAATATTAGAGTGTGATGTAATAAATATTATAATAATATAATAGTCAAAATTATGTTTATTTAAAAAAAAAGTAATATAATAAATATAATTTAATTTAATGTAAAATAAAAATAATATAAATAATGTAATGTAATAAATAAAATAATATAAAATATTATGTTTAATTAACAACAGATAAAAATAAAAGCATTTCCAACCCAAGCTACTTAAGTGTAAGTATATATGTATTGGAGTTTATTTACAATAAGAATAGCTAAAATATTAACAAAATTGTTTCAATAAGCAATATTGCTTAATAAAAAAAATAGAAACAATTTAAAAAATTATCTTTTTTTTTTTACTTAAACATTTTCAACTACTTTAAATATCAACCTCTCAAATCACATTTATTAAAAAATAAATAAATTTAAGAATTAATTAACGTTAATTCTGAATAATAATAATAAAAAAGATAAAAAAATTATATTTTTATCTTATTTATAAAATAACAAAAATGTTATAATAATGATAAATAATATTTATTAAATATTTATTTAAATTTTTGTAAAATTTGTTTAATTTTAATTTAGATCTTATAATATTTTTTTAAAATAAATTAGTCTATAAATTTATTTAAAATATATCTTTTTAAAATATTAAAACTCCTCTAAATTTTCATCGTTTTAAGTTAAACTATTATATTAAATTAATATTTATTTATAATAATTAAATTATTTTTAAGCTGTCAAGTGAAATATAAATAAAAATATAGGTATTTATAAAAATTATCAATTAAAGTAAAATTTATAAAAATTTAGTATAAGTTATATAAAAGTGAAGTATTATAACACGTTCCATTTAAATTAAAAATATGTTGATTATAAGACATAACATTGAAGATGGTCTAAATAAATCTCACCTCATTTGAAAATAAGTTTAACAAATACTTAAAAGAAAATAAAATTTTAGAGGAAAAAAATTATAAACTAGCCTTTTTAAAAACACAAAAAAATAACAAAAATGTGATAACAAATAAGAATACGTTACAGTCTACTACATAACTTGTTTATCAAACATGCTAGATAAAAACAGTTAAATATACTTTTTCACTGTATAAAAGTTATACTATACCAAAAAAACAAACTTGTTAACTGTTCAAAAATTAAAAATTAACTAAAATGATTATCAAACATATATTAATATATTTTTAGACTAAGTTCTTCGTAAATACTTTGGAAAGAAAAAAATTAGAAATTAAGATCAATTATACACATATTAAATATATATATATATATATATATATATATATATATATATATATATATATCATGATTTTAATTAGTACAAATAAATATTCTGATTTTTTTCTTCTTTTTTCATAGGATAAACTTTTAGGATAATGAGTATTTAGCTCAATTCACATTGCTCCGGATAAATAAACTAATGAAACTAATTTGTTAATTATATGAACCTCATAACAAAATTGAAAGCTTTGAAAAATCTGTTGGTGAAAAAATTAAGTCTAACGTAAAATTAAGAAAAGTTATGAAAAAGATACATAAAAAAGAACTAGAAAATCTAAAAGAAATATTATTGATATCACTAAAACGTTAAATAAACATTCAATACATTTAGTCTTCACATAAAATATAATAAAATACTAATAAAAATTAAAATATACTAATTAAATATTTTGAATTAATCAATGATGAAATGTTTCCATAAAAGATAAACTAAATGAATCTATAAACGTATGCGTATATTCAAACTCATAATGCATTATAATTATCACCACAGAGACAAATTAGTATGAATGAAACTAAATTTAAATCTCTTAAACAATATCTTTATCTAAAATTTGTAAATAAAAATTATAATTAAAAATACTTTATTAAAGATGATCTCTCTCTCTCTCTCTCTCTCTATCTCTATCTATCTATCTATATATATATATATATATATATATATATATATATATATATATATATATATATATATATATATATATTCACAATTATTGATAACGTAAAAGAATTATTACAAGGTAAAATCAGGCCAACATTTAAGGCCCCGTATGCGATAAAAGAAAAAGGATATACAATTTATTTGAAACTCTATTTATTATAAATAAATATATTACTGGATTGGAGAGAGAATAACACGAACTTAAATTAAAAAATAATAAAAGATAAAGATGTATAGTTGGGAAATCAATTAAGTATGTGTTTAGATGAATTTGATATTAAATTGATCAAATTGAGATTGAATTATACATTTTGAAATTAAATTCTAAATTATAGAAATTAATTTATGGTTAAATTAAAAGATCAAATTATTGTTGATTTACACTTAAGTGATAAAAAAAATAATTTTTTCTAAACAATTACTGAAAATTTCATTTCCTGCTTTTTCAATGCTATTGTAAAATATTTAATAAAAAATAAAATACCCATTGTAAATGTGTAATGGTAGAATCCACATTTTAGATACATTAAAAAATAAGATGAAAAAGGAAAAATAGACACAGCATGATCATCTCCTTTCCCCAAGTTCAATTGCATATTTCATAGAAATTATTCCGTTCATTGTCTCTCTCAATTCATATAAAATAAGTTTTTTTCTTTATATTTTGTACATTTATGTTACAATATTATCTTATTTAATATTTAATATATATTTTTGACTGAAATATCGTTTTTATATTCATAGTGGATTTTCATGTGAAGTGTAAGATATTCCACTTATACCTATTAATTCTTTAGTGAAAGATAATTTTTTTATTTATGAGTTATTGATCAAAAGTTTTTTTTTTATATTTATGAGTATTTAAGAGTAGAAAGCCAAAAATAATTTATATATATTATTTTCTTTCAATTTATTAAGTTATTTTTAAAGATAAAATTATGACGAATTAGAATTTTAAAACATATAATACTTATATAGTAATGAACTTTAATCATGTTATCATAGTGAACATGAGATCATAACAATCTCGTTCCTAAACGGAATATTTATATTTTTTATTCTTTTAAAAATCGGATTAGACCGACTCAGCTTGTTGAGAATTCAAGTGTGTTTCAAGTCTCATATTAATTAGAAATAGAAAAATTGAGTAATTTATAAGTGAGAAAGATTCATAACCTAATGCCTTAAGATTTTTTTGTTGAGAGTGATATCATATTCTCTTATATACTTTACAAGTAAAGTCATTATTATTATATTATGACGTGAGAATCTTGTTAGCCCAAAAGACCTGTCAATTAATTTTAATTAAATCGGGATAAAACCTAAAAATTTAATAAAACCAATTGAGTTTTGAAGTAAAAAAAAAAATTAAAGATAATTTTTTTTAATATATTTTAGTTTTTTTTTCTTATTTTTTATCTGTTAATTATTAATTATGTTAAGTAATAATTATTTTATTGTATTTTTATATTATTTTAATAATTATTCATTTTATATCTCCTATAATATATTTTATATTTATAATATTTATTATAATTTGTGATAATAATAAAAGTAATCTTTATATTTTTATAAAAAATATTATTATTAATAAAATTATTAGATATATAATATATTATAAAAATATGATTTTATTAAATTGGTTTGTGTATTTAATCTTTACGTCTGTATCTATATTCTTGTATCGGTTTAGTTTTAAAAACATTGATATTTTTTAAAATAAATAAAAATTATAGGTTTAACGTGATAATGGAATAATAAAAATGAAGATGTAAAATAAAATAAGATATCCTAATGAAACCGGATAATATTGTTCCTAAGCGGACCATCTATATTTTTTAAAATAAGTGTGATAATAAGATGTGAAATAAAACGAAGATGGGAGTTATAGATAGAGCGAGAACATTGTTACCCCTTCTCTTGTCTTGTCTTTTTATTGTTGCATCTAAGAGAGAGGTTTGAATTTACAGTTGTCATCACTTCTTCGGTGGTAGTTCACCCTCTTACTTAATAACATCATTACATTACCATTACCATAAACATACATAGAGTGGTCCTCAGCTCAACCTCACTCTTATATCTTAATCTCTCTCACCTCACCTCCTCCTGCAGTGCGGATGCAAGAAGCAGGACTGGGAATGACTATGTTGAGCGCAGAAGTCTCAGCCGCCGACCACCACCACCGTCAAGTGAAGGCGGAGATAGCCACCCACCCACTTTACGAACAGCTTCTGGCTGCACACGTGTCATGCCTCCGAGTTGCCACACCCATCGACCAGTTGCCACTCATCGACGCTCAGTTATCGCACTTCAACAATCTCCTCCGCTCCTACGCCTCACACCATTCCCATTCCCTCTCTCCTCATGACCGACAAGAACTCGACAACTTCATGGTACATCTTTTTTAACTCCTCGTCTCACCCCTCCTCCCCTACGTACGTGCCTTATTTCTGATTTTTTTACGCTAGTTATTTGAAGAGATAATTTTATACGACATATTTGATTGTGAGTTAAATCGCATTTAAACTTTTTAGCCTCAAATCTGATTTGGGAAGTGGAGATGATTAGTTTATCTATTAATTAGTGCAGGCACAATATTTGATTGTGTTGTGTACGTTCAAAGAGCAGCTTCAGCAACATGTGAGGGTGCATGCCGTGGAGGCTGTGATGGCCTGCCGTGACATTGAAAGTACCTTGCAAGCTCTGACAGGTTCTCACTCACTCTCCTCTTTTACTTCGTTGCTTTCTCATTAATATATTTCTCATTCCCGGTCTCTTACCCATTTCTTCTTCAATTTAATTTATTGGTTTCCCCGTTGTTGGCTTTAATCATTCGGAAATGGGAAAGGGGATTACTTGATTTAGGTATAACAACACCAGTGGTGCATTAAATAATTAATTAAAAGGAAATAAAATGGTTAGGTATATGAAAGTATTTGTGGTATGAGGCTGGGGTTTGTTTTGGTTAATCGTTTCTTGTCTTGGAAGCGATCTGAGAGAAACCGTGGGTATATGAAGTTAAGGGGGGAATGGAATTGGTTGTGTTATTGCTAAGGTTGTGCAGAGAAGTATTCGCAAAATAAGAATAGAAATGGAAAGAGTCGGTTAGTTTGGTGGAAGGTGCTCATCTCGCCCACCGTGCCATTCCCAACAACCTCTCATGTCGTACCCTCTTAACTCATCTCTTTTTCTTCACAAATTCAAATATATTCTACACTGAAACTTTACTCCACTGCCACCCTAAATTTTATTTTGGATAAATTTACATTTATTTTTACTCATTCTTTCGTACGCATAAATAATACATTTTTATTTTATTTTTTCTACTCTGATTATTCTTATTCATTAGTTTTTCTTCAACATTGAATTTCGTAAATACTTTCGAAGTCGCTGTCCAATGAAAATCTTAAACTGTATGATACTTGTATTTATTTTTTATGTATAAATAGAACAAGCACTAAATATTTTTCTTCCTGTTTTCAAATTATTCACAATGTCGTAATTGATAAAAGAGTTGATATCTCTTATGTTGTGTCTTAATGAATAGTTCTACGAGAGTTTTTTTTATTAATTTTAAATGTTGTGAAATTGTAAACTTGTTTGCAAAAAAAACATGAAAATTGAAATTTGTTAAATTATAAAAAAAATTCCTTGGTTTATGGTAAATTTCAGAATTAAAAAAAAAAATCATTATACGGCCTCTCTTTCTATTTATCCTTTCTTTCTCGCCTCTCTCTTCTCTGGATCATAATGGTCTCATTCTCTTCTCTCTTATTTATCCATTATCGGAAAAATTATAGATGGATAATAAAATCATCCAACAAATATCAAATAATAATAATTTAAAAAACTTAAATTTTTATATTTATTCTTAAAGGCAGGTTATATGATAAATGTTTGAAAATAAGAGTTTTCTACTGCGTGCTATTTTCTATCTCCCCTTTTCTCACTCCATCTTCTATCTCTTTTTTTTTCTCGTCTATTTTTAATTCTCTGTAACAATATTAATGTAAAATATATTAATATTATCTTTTTGAATTATTAAATATTAACTAGTATTTAATTTTAAAAGCACTAACTGTATAAAAATGAGCTAATATTAATCATAAATTTTAGTATTAAATTAAAAAAAAAAATATATATATATATATATATATATATATATATATATATATTTAAAACATAAAATTTACATACATGGTCAAAATCAAATTACTTTGTCCAAATTAAAAATAACAAATATAATAAACATGGATTGACTTATCTATAACTTTAAGAAAACGAATAGAATTTTAAAAAAAAAAAAGCATATGGCAAGTATTTCAAATTTTCTAAAAATTTTAAAATTAACTTTGAGGTTTTTTGAGATTGTGTATTTTGAGGAAACACCTTAATGTTTAAAAAGAAAAAAAAAAAAAAGAGTTAATATATTCATCACAATGTGAATACTCAACAGAGACGGATCTACGGGGCGTGTATATATATATATATATATATATATATATATTATTTTTTGTTTTCAGATTTATATCTTTCTTTTCTCTTTTTTTCTATAAATTTTTCTATTCGACACCAATTTTTTTTTTATATTTTAATCTTTTATTTTTACCACTTATTAACTCATCCTCCAACATAAAAATTATAATTATTTAGTTTTCAAATTTATCCTTTTTTTTATAATTTCATCCCTGTAACACACAAATTATATATTTTTTTATTTTTTTCTTCTATTTGATAAGACATATTTTTTTATAATTTCATCTCTATAACATAAAAAATATATTTTTTTATTTTTTTTCGTTTAGGAAGACATTTTTTTTAATAATTTTATCTCATGCAAATTATATTTTTCTTTTTGTTTTTTGTTTTTTTTTCACCTATTTAATAAGGCACAAGAAAATTAAAAAATAAGGAATATATCTCACAATAATAATTTTTTTTAGTAAAAAATAATAAATAAAGTTATTTTCTTTATTACTATAACAAGCAGGTGTAATATAATATAAAAATATGAAATATTGATATAAATTTTATATTTTTTATAAATTAATTAATTATTTTAATATTTTATGATGTTAAAATATGAAAAAAAATTTAAAAATATCTAAAAAAAATTTATGAACTATTTTTTAAAATAAAATAAAATTTATTTTCTAAAATTTAAATTTAATTAATAATATTAAATATATAATATATTTCTTTTTATATAATAATTAATTTTTATATATGACCTTATCTAAATTTATGTTCCGAGCCCATGCCAATCCATTCATTCAACACAAAAAACGTTTGTGTAATTTTATGAAATATTAGAAAATATTAATATATTGTTTTCAATGTTTAATTTGTACAAAGTTTTCCAACACTAATTAATTGAACTATAAAGATAGAATTGATAAAATATAAATATCCGCAAAGACATTAAAAGTGTCAAATAAAAATAAAATACTCTTAGATATTTTAATAAAATATAAAATCAAATTGTTCAATTTTTTAATACACATTTCATTAATTCTCATAGTGAATTGGAATTGATTTTTTTTACTATTGATTATAATTATATTAATTGATATAGGTTTAATTTGGTAAATTATTTAATAAATACTGCTGATAAAAAAAGTAGATAAAATAAATCAAGAATAGGGTTGCGATGGCTTTTGAAAAAAGTTGAATGAGTTCAATTTAACAAAATATGTACATAAATAAACTAATTGTGAAAGTAGTTTGGTAGGATACATTCTATTCAGATCAAGGTTAAGATGTTCCACTTGTAAAAAGAATGATTAAGATCTTTCAAATTAAACATTCATCATATGATAGCATGCCACACAACAATGAATCATAAACTAAATAACAAGTTATTGATTGTATGTATACGTATGTAGAAGAAGAAAAATTCAGGACTGAATTTAAGTATACAAATTTTATATTGAAGTTTTTAAACTAATTTTAAAGAACATCATCCACAAAGTTTCTAACTCCAAGGCGAGTATAATTTGAAATTGGATACAATTGACTAAAGTAATGACCTTGCCTTATTAGACCCCATTAATTAAATAGTTAAACTTTGAATAAATTAATTGAAAATTCAAACAAATAATTTTTACTTTTAGCAAGAAAAATGATAGGATAACTACTTGGAGAATAGAATGAGTCTCTTTAATTATTTTGACCTTATTCGTAGCTATTCTTCTTTATAATAGTGGTGGTAACATATAGGTAGTTACAAAACATTTTGTGTTATAAAGTGGTAGTTGCATGTGCAGGAAAGTAAGATTTTTTTTTGAAAAAATGATATTTGCTACAAAGAAAATAGGAGAGAAATAGAGTGAAGTTTAAAAAAAGATGTAAATGTTAATTTTTTTATTATTTATTTTGTCATTAATATTAGTTATACTTATTTATTATTTAATTTAATTATTAATTCTAATTTCACTTTTTTTATTAATAATACAAATTTTACTTATTTGTTATTTATTATCTTTATTATTAATCTTAATTTTAATTATTTATTAAAAAAATGTTCGTTTTCAGTATTAATATTAATTAATTATTTTTATTATTAATAATATTGTTATCATATATAAAACATGAAAACCTTTATAATCGATTATTAAAGACCTCCACGATCAATTATAAAGCCTAACTAAATATATTTTGTAAACAAAAATGTATGATTAAATGATTATGTAATTTATGTTAGATTATGTTTCACAATATAGTTGCACTTTAATCAGTAATGTGACATATTTCTACATTTATTTGCAAAATTTTGTATAATGTGAATCGCACTCTTTTCGCAAAAATATTCTCTTCATTTTCTTTTCTATGAAAACAAACAACCAATCTTCTCCACTTCCACCCATATTCCATCCTCCCCTAGATTCGTTCCATGGTTCGATCCTTGCAAGCAAAACGCGACACCCTACCAAACATACATACTGTAAGTGAAAAAAAGTAATCATTAAAAGAATTAATGTGTTATTACCACTCAACTTACATCTAGTACTTTTGTATTGATATTAGTTACACATCAATAATTCATCCTTAATATTCAACAATTATTTATGCTAATGATATACTAGTATGTATGTATATGCTCAATTTTAGTTAATAAACAACTGAAACACTTTTCCCCCTCCAAACTTGTTCAAACTCAATATATCAGATTCACTGTATGTAATTCAGGAGTAAGTCTGGGAGAAGGATCAGGTGCAACAATGTCAGATGATGAAGAGGATTTTCAGATGGATGGGTCTTTAGATCAGTCTAGCGCTGACGGGCATGACATGATGGGATTTGGTCCTTTGCTTCCTACAGAATCTGAAAGGTCTCTCATGGAAAGAGTTCGTCAGGAGCTTAAGATTGAGCTCAAGCAGGTCATTCTTAGAAATCAATAATCAATGTGCATGCCGTTCCTGCAAGTGTGCCATTGGTAATTTCTTTTTTCCTCGTTAATTAGGTTTCAATCACAAACCAGGTTTAATATCTGCAGGGTTTTAAGTCAAGAATTGAAGATGTTAGGGAGGAAATATTAAGGAAACGGAGAGCTGGGAAATTACCTGGTGACACAACATCGGTTCTAAAGGCATGGTGGCAGCAACATGCTAAGTGGCCCTACCCAACTGTAAGTTAAGAATAAACCATCTTCTACTTGAGCAATTGAGTATCAATCATTGTGTAAGCCAACTATAACTAAGTTCTGTTCCTTTATCTTTCATCCATCTTCTGTATGTCTTTTGATGATACAAGAACTAGAGTAGTAAGGTTTTTTATTGCTTCTATACATTACATGTATATTCACAAAAAACATGTTATGTTTGTGTGACTTAACAATAAAGATTTACCCAGCTAAGTGAGCTCAGTGAGTGGATAAAGTTGCTCTAACTCATCTGACATTGAACTTGAATGATATAACGCATTAGTTCTAATAATGACTTAATATTAACAAAATATGTCGTGAGTGATTCATGTTCAGTATATCAACGAGTTTCATGTTAGTTGTGGCAATGGCCTAACACAACCCTTCTCTGTTAGCCGGGCTTAGGACTGGCTATGAAACCAATGCCGGTGTTGTTTTCCCAAGTTAACAAGAGTGGTAAATTGTCCTGTGAACAATTAGTTGTACTAATATCCAGCTAAACAGTGTGACTTATTTAGGCTTGATAATTGGAGGCTAGTAACACAGTGATTATCTGATGATATAATACCTCTTGCTGAATTCGATTGTTGTTAAATTTGTTATTCTTTCAGGAAGATGACAAAGCAAAACTTGTGGAGGAGACAGGGTTGCAGCTGAAGCAAATCAATAATTGGTTCATCAACCAAAGGAAACGCAACTGGCACAGCAACTCTCAATCGGTCACCTGTCTGAAGTCCAAGCGCAAGAGGTAGAGATAGATTTAGTTCCCACCTGATTGGAAAAGATATAGCAACATCTATAGATCTATATGGACTTTTAATTACTTTATGCTGATTGCTGACAGGGAGTATTCCCACTAAGGGTTTCAGTCTGGTGCAGGAGATAATAGGTGATGTGCTATACCATAAGATGGCTTACAAAAGTAATGGTTTAAATTCTTGAGATTATATAACGGATACAATTTTCTTCTTCTTGTGCGTTGCTTCCATTTCAAGTCTTTCTTATATGTAAATTGTTTGCTATTGTTTGACTGGCTGAAGAAAAAGTATTAATTTTGTTTTTTCCTAAACTTGATATGTTTGGATGTATCATTGTGTAAATTGTGTTGTACTTGATCTGCAACATTGACGAGTACCAGCATCTCCATACAAGTACCAACATCTCCAATCTTTGAAGGAGATAACTAAAATTTTTGGCCAGTGAGGATGCATGTTTTTGTAAATGTTTGTGCTCTTTGGAATAGGAATACTGGTGCCTTTAGGGTAGGATTACGTATGCAGAACAACAAAAGGTATTTTAATGACGAATCGGCTAATGAAATCAAAGCGTTTTGGTTTCCTCGGTCAGTTATTACATGAGATACTGATACTTATAAGATATGTAAATGCCTAGACAACTCATTAAGCATTGTTAAACGTTAAGAAAGAAATGGTGAAAAGAAAAAGACATTTGAGAATTTAAAGACGAAATATTCTGCCTTTTTATCCTTGATTTTTTCAAAATTCAGGAAAGATAGAATTGAAGATTACTTTTAAAAGATATAAAGGAGACATTAAAAAAAATATTTAAGAAAATATTAGTACACCAAAATCAAATTTTTGCAACAAATTTTACAATATTAAAAAGGTTTATATTGATTTGATTTAGTATCATGATAAGTATATCGGGGAGGCTTTGATTTATAAATTTACCTACGTAACAAATTTAACTATAAACTTTGATATAATATTATCCAATTTATATTTATTTTTCATATATGTTGAAGTTTCGATAATAGAAATGATAAAATTGCTCAATTTGTCTTATTCCAATTTTATTTGTCTCATTCGTTTTTTATAAAAATATCAATATTATAATTAATAATATAAATAATTAAAATGTGAATAGTAATGAAATTAAAAATAAATTATTAAAATTAAATATCAGGTAAAAATACTATCCAAGTATATTTTTTGAGTAATGGGATTAAGTAATAGTCGGGGACTTAATATAACTTAGACAGTTAATAGAATAAAATAGCTTTTAACGTATAGATGTTATATGAAAATACAATATTTGAAATTATTGATAATGTACTCAATTAAAATTAATTTGGATAATATATTTACGAGCTTTAAATTCAATGAACTTGTAGCTTTTATAATTGATCATTAATATTTTTTTTATAACTATTATGAATAAACATTTTGTAGCGCACATCTTATATATTATATCTTCTCTCAAAATCACATTCAAGTTAACTGTATAATCTAATATCTTAATGTTAAATAATTTTTTATATTGATGTTTACATTATAAATATAACTGTTATTATAAAATGTAATTAACATTAAAAATATTGATTTTAAGATGTATTTTTATAGTTAAATAAGTCATTATATATTTTTTATAATTACATATTTTGGTGATAAATTATAGTTGAACAAAACAGTATTTATAAAGGAAAGTCTCTCATGTTTGTTAAGACATCATTATTAGTTACCTTATTACCTTATTGTATTTAAAATATTATCTATTTTAAAATTTTAATTTGTCATGATTTTTTTTTTAATCTCAAGAGTTTTATGTAATATGAGATGTTGAATATACCAAAATTATATAAAAAAAATATGCTAAAGCAGAACAATAAACAAAATAAAGAAAATAGATATCGATAAAAAAAATATGCCAACAAAGAAAAAAATAACAAAATAGATATCGATGGAAAAAAGTTCGTTCTTATCTACCGTTAGCATTTCTTTTTTAATCTTTTGGCTTAATAAAAATTCTTTTTCTCAACTATATTAATTGACCTAATATTATATAATAATATTAAATGTGTTACATCAATAAATATTTTAATGTTTTATTTTTTAAGGTTATTTGTAGATATTTTAAATCTTATAATTTTAAAAAAATAATTTTTATAATAATTTAAAAACATTTTTATAATTATATATATATATATATATATATATATATATATATATATATATATTATGACATGTATAAATTGAGTAAGTTAGGAAATAGTAACACACTTGAATTTATGTTTTCTTATTCAATTTTCCTTTATAAATAATAAGAGAGTTTACTATAATCAATAGATTATATATAATGAATAGATTATATAAGTGTTATTAATTGCCAATTCTAATTTATAAATGAGTACATAAAATTACTCTTAATTACCATTTAATTTTTCTTAAATTAAAACATAAATATTATTTGATATAAAATGATTTATTGTTTAAAACAAGTACACAGTCTTTTTTTATGTACAAAAACTTTTCATACAGGAAGAATATATTAGATGATTTCTAGGTTTGAACACAAAAACTAAACATTTTTAGATTTGGGAGCGCTTCTTGTTATAACTTCTAAATTATTTGATTTTATAATATTAATATTTGAAAAATATAATCTGAAATATATTTATTCTCTGATATGAAATATATAAAATAAAATATATATATTCTATTTATAAATTATATTTTATTTATAAATTATAAGATATGTGTAGGCAATTTTATAATTTTTTTTCTTTTAATTTTTTTTAATAAAACATTTATCCACTTCAATATATTTTGTTACGTCGTGTTTTACTAGATTATGAATAATATTACAAATAATATTATTATTACAATATAATTTAATAGGTTATATAGAGAAACATCTAAGATCTTGCAAGAAAAATGTTAATCATAAATTTTCATAAATTTTAAGTGTCAAACCTCTAAATTCAGCTTTTGTGTATGACTGAGAAATCACATTTTTTTTTCTTCTCTATATAACAAAATTACCAGAAACAAATGTAAAATAACATAAGGTTGATCATCTGTCTTCAAATAATCTAGCCCAATCAACATCAGTATATACATTGATCTATTGATAATTTGTATTTTTTGTAAACAATAATCATTTTTTAGGTGCTAATTTTATATATTTTAAAATGTGCATAATTGCATTTATATGTTTTAGAGGATTATGCACAATTTGACTAATAATATTTAATGCTTAGGTGAGATCTCGTCTTGTGTGCTAAGTACATAAATCTTTATACAAGTCTTTTATATCTCAATTTATTGAATTTATTGACTGATACTTGATATAATATAATAGATAATTTCAACCATTTCTCCATTGGTGTATTTGTTAGCTGACATACATGTTTTTTTAACAAGTTTAAGATATATTTTGTTTGAAACAAAAAATTTCTTTATTGAATCTAGATACTTAAATCCCAATAAAATATTTTAAGGAAGCAAGATCTTTCATTTGAATTTTTTTTATAAATACTCTTGTAAAATTTTACTTTCCTTTTGATCATTTTTTGTAACAATCATATCATCCACATATATAATAAATACAGCTTATCTTACCTTCTTGTTCTTCAGGAATAAAGTGTTATCTGAATTACTTTAATGATATCCAAATGTTGTTATAGATTTTGTAAACCTTTCAAATCATGCTCATGGAGATTGTTTTAATCCATACAAATATTTTTTTTCAATTTGCATACCTTTCTATTGTAATTTTTAGGTACTATGCAGCTTGGTGGGAATTCCATGTGTACTTCTTTATTTAATTCTCCATGTAAGAAAATAGTATTTTACATCAAACTGTTTCAATGACTAATATAGATTTGCCGCTAAAGATAATAATACTAAAATATTATTAACTTTTGCTACAGGAACAAATGTTTCTGTGTAATCAACCTCATATATTTGAGTATATTCTTTTGCCACAAATCTTTTTAAATCAGTTTATTGTATCGTCTGTTTTGTGTTTGACAAAGTAAACTTATCGATATCCTACTAATTTATTTTCTGGTGGACAATCAACAATGGTCCAAGTCTTATTCTTTTGAAGTGAATTTGTCTCCTCATTCATAACGATCTTCCATCTTTGATCAGTTAAAACTTCCTACACCTTGTTAAGAATAACTGCAATAGATAATTGATTTATAAATATTTTATTTATTTTTGACATTCTATGATTAGATACATAGTTACTAATAGGATATTTAACTTTACTAGAGAGTTTAAGTTCATAAGTAAGTTTAGAAATATCTTTAGTGAGACAATTTGACAATTATTTTTTAACCAACAAATTATTAATAAGATCTTCATCAACAATTTCATAGTACTTCAATATCATCTTCATATAGAGATTTACTGAATTCTTCATTGTTATCCCCGTTAAGGGATTCCTATGGTGCTTCAATATTATCTTTATTAAGATATTCTTTTGATGCTTCAATGTTATTTCTAGTGAGATACTCTTGTGATATTTCAATAACACTTTATTCTTTCTCTTAAAGGATAATGATATGAAGTTATATCGCTTAAATTCATATACTCTAAAGTCTGAATTTTCTAGATTTCTTGTTGGTTCCCTCCTTGAAAATAAAACTCAAAGCTTTCAATACTCTTTCAAAAACATGTTACAAGATACAAATGTCATAGTTGAAAAAGGAGATATTGAGTGACAAACAAAATGAAAAAGCATGCACTAGAAGCAACTCTAAATAATAAGACTATTAATACTTTTAATTACAAATGGAAATAAATCTCAAATTATTGGGGAAGGATCTTTAAATAAAGGATGATAATATGAAGTTATATCACTTAAATTCATATACTCTAAAGTCTGAATTTCCTTGATTTCTTTATGATTCCCTCCCTAGTTTTTAATACTCTTTTAAAAGCATGTTACGATAATTAGAAGTGGATACAAATGTCAGAGTTGAAAAATGAGGTATTCAATGACAAACAAAATGAAAACGTATATGCGCTAGAAACAATTTTGAATAATAAGAATGTTAATACTTTTAATTGCAAATGGAAATAAATCCTAAATTATTGGGGAAGAATCTTTAAATCTTACTAGTACTTTAAATCTTGATTTTGTCTATTCTTTTTTATTTAAATTTTAATCATGTATCTGTTTCTCAAATAACAATTAATTTATTTTGTGTGATAAATTTTTATCCTGATTCTTGTGTTATTAAAGATATCAAAACAAAAGAAATGGTAAGATACCTAACTTAACCCTTCAAAACTTACTCAGTATGGTGAGGAGTGTACTCACCTCTATACTATAATGTTATTGTATCTCTAGTTAATATGAGAATTGTTGAGAATCCAAGTGTGATTCTAAGTCCCACATTATATAAGAATAAGAATGTTGAACAACATATAAGGAAGTATGACCCATAACTTAATGCCTTAAGGTTTTGGATTGACAGTGGTGTCAATCCTTATATGGGTTGGACTCATGTCTCATTGATGTGTTTCTCTCCTGGGAATCTCCCTCGAAAGACCCAACAAGACCTTCGACTATAATACCACTTGTTGGGTCTTTCGTGGAGGAATTCACACTTGAGGGGGAGATTGTTGGGTAATCTAAATGTGATTATAACGAAGTATAACTCATAACCTAATGTCTTAAGGTTTTGGGTTGAGAGTGTGGGAATCTCCCTCGAAAGACCCAACAAGACCTTCGACTATAATACCACTTGTTGGGTCTTTCGTGGAGGAATTCACACTTCAGGGGGAGATTGTTGGGTAATCTAAATGTGATTATAACGAAATATGACTCATAACCTAATGTCTTAAGGTTTTGGGTTGAGAGTGTGGGAATCTCCCTCGAAAGACCCAACAAGACCTTCGACTATAATACCACTTGTTGGGTCTTTCGTGGAGGAATTCACACCTGAGGGGGAGATTGTTGGGTAATCTAAATGTGATTATAACGAAGTATGACTCATAACCTAATGTCTTAAGGTTTTGGGTTGAGAGTGATGTCAATCCTTATATGAGTTAGGTATCAGAGTCAAAGATTGATTTGCATGGGTCAAAATGGTCTTTGTATCAAAAATTTTCCTGATAGAGTGAATGAACAGGACCTACCACAAGAATATTTTTTTTGTAGGACGATATTTGAAAAGACAAATTGCTTATCTTCTCTTTAATCTCAAGCAAAATACGATCGGGGGTGCCAATTCGAACAACTGCTTCAAATAAAGTATCAGGAAGTACTGCTTGTGGAACCTCAATATCCACCGACTTATTAGCTAAATGATAATTGGCACAGACAATACAACTGATTCCTTCTCGGGGATTTTCATAACCCTGTGCAAATATTGGATATGCATTTGAAAAGGGTGCTCGAATTATTATATATATCATGACCGATATGAAAATGGATCGGGTAATTCCTTCCTTTATACAATGAAAAATATTTCTAGTTTACATGGTCTAATCATTGATCCTAAAAATTTCTACAATAGATTAAGTTGGTCACTCCGATAGTTCCCTATCCAAGGTGGGAACTCCTTTTTAATTTAAGGGGGTTTCAAATGGAAAAATAAAAATTTTAAATTAAAATTTGAGAAGTAAATCGATTTTTTTGTCAATCATTCATTGAATGATAAATCACTACAAGTGATGGAGATACGCGATTTAAATAACGGAAAATGAAATATTTTAAAACTGTATCTAAAATAACTGGAAAAGTGGAAACAAGACTCGATATAATTTGATTATTTTGCGCAAATCCAAAATCTTTATAAACGAAACATATAAGACAGAGTGAGTCAGGTAAGTCTGTCCTGTTAGAATAAACGAAAGTACATGAAAGGGTCACTGATGAGTTTGAGAGGGATGTACCAATGTGGAGGAATTCAAAGTGTGATTTTAAGTCTTGTATTAAGTAAGAATGAAAAAGTTAAACAATATATAAGGAAATATGACTCATAACCTAATGTCTCAAGGTTTTTTATTAAAAGTATTGTCACTCCTTATTTGAGTTGAACTCATGTTTCATTGGTGTGTTTATTCCCTGTGAATCTTCCCTCCCCTCAAAAGACCTAACAGGATTTCATCACATCCTCTCACCTCGAGAAGAATTTTCATCATATCCTCTCATCTCGAAAATGATTTTTCATCATATCTCCTCATCCCGAATAAAAAAAAATTTCATTATTTTTTTAATATAAATTAAAATATTCATTCTCTAGTATAAAATAAAATATATATATCCTATTTATAAAATATATATATATATATATAATTAAATTATTAATAAACTATAACATTTTATTATTATACCAAATCTAATAAAATAATATACTATTTATACAATAATATTTTATAAAGAGAATAAAAAAAAACTCATAGTTATATCTTTTGTAATTTAAAACGAGTTGTCTTATATAAAGTTATGGAAAGGTAACCGTTTAATAGCAAGTGTTTTGACATGGTGCAGGTCTATTAATTCACGACCTTTTGTCGGAGTGTCAGTTTTATACAAACATGTATAATGTGAGCTTAGGGTCTCCCACGATTTATGATTGTTCTGCTCTACTTCTAAGCTTTAACTTGTGAGTAAAAACATGTATAATGTTAAGACAAGTTAAAACCACATGATAATTTTTCATTGAACTTTGTTAAAAAGACTAATTAAATGTAACATTGGTCGAATTTTGACCTCATCAAATAATTTTATAACACCCAGTTTAGCATGTTTTTACTTTTTCAATAATCTCAAAACATGTTATTAGCAAGATGAAATTTCATTATATGGACTAATATCAAACAAGCTAATGACATGTAACTTAATTATATTATGGTTTTTCAAACTACTAAAGACAATTGAGCGACACAAATATTTTATGGCATTAATCGAATTTAATTTTATAAAGATGAAGTAATGACTTGAAAAAGATTTTATAAAATTTTTATTTATAGACTCTATATTTATCTTAAAAGTATTTTTAAATGACCTAAATAATCCAGTGATATCAGATAACATATTTTATGTAAAATAATAAGAATACTTAACAAATAATACATTATGTAGTTCTTATATTATGGACTAAACGGTCTAATGAAATTAAACTAAATGCTATTTAATAGACTAATATGACAGATTCATAAATCGATTTGTCGAATTTCTTGAGTTGAGTTAGTGATGATGTCTTATAAACTGATCTTGTATAATAAGTATTTTTAAAACCAATGATATTCTTGTTGGGTATTATTTTATTTTTTATGTAATTTATTGTTGAGTATTATTTTTCAAATAAAGAAAGAGTTTCTAAAATAAAAAATAAACATATTAAAAAAAATATTTTATTAATAAATGAAGTGTGTGCTCCATAAACTTGGCAATGAATAGGAGGGAAAGGGAGAGTGAGATACCAGAAGAGAGTGCAGAGATCTACCTTATTCTCTTACTCTTCCTTCTCTCTCACTCTTTCACTGTCAGACACATGGGCTTCCCAGCCAAGGGTGCCTCAGCTGACCACCCGATCAAGTTCCTCATCTACGGCCGCACGGGCTGGATTGGTGGCCTCCTCGGCATCCTCTGTCAGGCCCAAGGCATCCCCTTCCAGTACGCCTCGGGCCGTCTCGAGAACCGGGCCTCCCTCGAAAGGGACATAGCCGAGGTCAAGCCCACCCACGTCTTCAGCGCCGCCGGTGTCACGGGCCGGCCCAACGTCGACTGGTGCGAGTCTCATAAGGTGGAGACCATCCGAACCAACGTCGTTGGAACCCTCACTCTCGCCGACGTCTGCCGCCAACACGGCCTCCTCCTTCTCAACTACGCCACCGGTTGCATCTTCGAGTACGATTCCGATCATCCTCTCGGATCTGGAATCGGCTTCAAAGAACTGGACACTCCCAATTTCACCGGTTCCTTTTACTCTAAGACTAAAGCCATGGTACGAGTAGCGCAATACAATTTATATGATAATTTAGATCTGGTTCATTTATTAACTACCTTAACTTGTTTTCGCAGGTAGAGGATCTGCTTAAGAACTACGATAATGTGTGTACCTTGCGAGTGAGGATGCCTATCTCGTCTGATTTGTCGAATCCGCGCAATTTCATCACGAAGATCACTCGATACGAGAAGGTTGTGGATATTCCGAATTCCATGACTATATTGGATGAACTTCTTCCCATCTCAATTGAGATGGCGAAGAGGAACCTGACTGGGATCTGGAACTTCACGAACCCTGGAGTGGTTAGTCACAATGAAATTCTAGAGATGTACAGAGAGTATGTTGACCCCAACTTCACCTGGAAGAACTTCACTCTTGAGGAACAGGCTAAGGTGATTGTTGCCCCCAGGAGCAACAATGAGCTTGATGCCACGAAACTGAAGACCGAATTTCCAGAACTGTTATCTATCAAGGATTCACTCATTAAGTATGTCTTCAAGCCCAACCAGAAGCTTAAAGCATAACTGTAAAGGTTCCCACTTTTATCATTATTATTGTACTCATTGATTTAAGTGTGTGTGGATTTTGTAGATGTTACTCTCCCTTCTTATGCCTGAGGCCTGTATTTTTATCTGTATGTTGTATTTTGATTTTTTTACCCACTCGTGATTGAATAAATTAGCTTTCAAATTACTTGCAAACAATTTTATTTTTGGATGATGTCTCTCTTTTTATCATATTTGAGTACATTTGAGTTTGAGCCTCCACATATTTCCAATGATTTTTAGAATTAGTGTATTGTAACCAGTTAGTCAATAGATAGATATTGATTCAAAAATAGCCTCTTCATATGTACATGGCTAAACATGACCCTTTTTCTTATCTTGACAAAAAAACTGTGTTAGTTGATAATGCCCATAAATAGCTTTTATCTTGTGGTTTGTAACGGTGTATTACACACTGCTTGCCAAGTGATTATGATTTTGTGAAGTAAGAATTAGAATTCTCCAGTCCCCCATGAGGAGTGAAAAATATTATTCTTTGGTGCTCCAAAATGGCGATGCTGGGACAGTGTCATTGGGATTTGTAGAGAGAGTGAGAAAGGGCAAGACATTCAAACACCACTCAGTCTCCATCCAGTAGGAAGTGTCTGCACCCCTCCCTTCACTTCCAAAATGTTAAAACATTTTTCACTAGTTTTTCAACGCGTTTCTTACTTATATTTTGCATTTCAATGTATGAAAAATTGCTATAAATGCGCCATTCACTAAGAATGTGTTTGGATAAACAGGTGGTGAATGCCAAAACATGCTTTAACACGGTTTTCGTTTCTAATTATATCATCGATTCATGGGTTTACATTTGTAAAAAGAACGTTTGCTAATTTAAATTTCACTGCTTTCTGCACTCCCACAACTGACAAAAACAGACGATATTTTTCTTAAATATGTCTCCGGTCTCTATTATATAATTTATTTTGGTTTTGAATAAACAACAATTTTTTTTAAAATTAGATACTTATAAATTCTAAGTCTGATTTCAGTATTTTTCGTTGCTAGGCAATGGCTTGTGTATTAAATGTTTCCGTTACTTTTATTTAAATAATGTGATAGAAAATATCAATTCTTATTATTAAAAAAATATTGAGACTAATGATAAATTTACAAATACTTATGGACTAAAATCAAAGTAAATAAAAATGAGTATTTTGTAAGCTTAAATTATTATTTTTTTAATTTGTTGAAATTAAACACGTATTTTCGTCCATAGAAGAAGTTCAAGGTGACAAATAGGTTCTTGAAAAATTTATCTTTGATTATGTTAGTTTTTTCGTGAGGGTCTATTACTATTACTAACTTTGTTATACAGGTGAATGGTGAACAGTTATAAGTGTATATGCGATATTGATTATTTATCTACCTCTTGTTTAGCTCATATAATTTTGATATTTGTTACGTTTGTTTTAATTTAACATTTCATTTGGAACATAATTTTTGTGATGTAACAATGCAGTTTTAATTATTTTTTAAAATCTTATTAAGCAATCTCTAATTTAATTTGGAACATAAAACTCATGTTTATTTCATATATTTTTGTTTGTGTTATTTAATGAGATTCTATATTTTATAAATCAAAATATTTTTATTAAAACTAATTCAAGGAATATAGTATAATTATTTTTAATAAAAATATATGAAATTTTTGTTCTAATAAAAAATATAGAAATACTATTGTTTTATCCTTAAATTAATAATTAAAAATAAATAAATACAACAAGTATGTTTACATTAAAGTGTTGGAATCTCCATTGCATACGACAAGTATTAAAATTTCAATGATATGATCCATGTGAATAAAATATAAGAAAGAGTATTTTAAAATAACATGTAAATTGCAGGTGAAAAATATATTTAAGTTTTATTTTATAATGTAACAAGCCAAACAGTACCATTTTTTAAAATAATTAATTTACGAGACAAGCCTAATATTAAAAAAATCAATTGGGCTCAGTGTTATTGGACCCATCAGTGAATTACCGAAAAAAACACTTGGACCCATCAGTGAATTACTTAAACGGGAATAAGTTACATGAGATGAGTTGTTTATTATTTAAAAATATATAAAATATAAATTTATTGTACCATAAGGAACTCATTATTGATTATAACTTAGAAAAAAAAGTTTTGTAATAAATTTTAGAAAATTTATTCTTTCTATTCATTTATTTTATTTTGATTATTTTTACAAAATTACTTAATAGAATAACAATAAAAAATAGTTAAACAACTTATTTTGTCACGTGCATTCCTCAAATGAAAATTTGATTATAACAACTAATATTATACTTTAATATTTCACCTGACTGGAAGAAATAAATAAAACTATATTATATATGTACAATATATATATGATACTAGGAAGATTTATATGTAAAATTATGAGTTTATATTATAGGCGTTTCCGTACATGTTCTAGTTCAAGACTTACTTTAGATTATAGTTTTAGGTTATAAGTTATTGATTAGATTGTTGCGTAATAGATGTTCTAGCTCTCACGAATCTATCATATTTATAGGCATAATAAAGAATCATGTGTCCTTGTTTAGAGTAATTTCATACGGAAGCATTCTTTCACGGAGTCAAAAAGTGTTCCACGATGCTAAAAATCTTTATCTATTAATAAAACTTGTATTTTTCCTGTAACTGCTCTTTTTATTAGTCTACAAATTTTGCTTATCTAAAATCTGCCACTTTTCTTAGAGCTCTTTAATGTTTGTTTGAAAAAACCCCCATTCAACATAAAAAAAAAAAAAAAATGATATCGATAAAACAGAGTCAATCCAAATTCTCATTGCCATAAAAAATTCCTATCTTTTACAACCACAAAAAGGTTCTAATTATCGGAATTAGGTTGTTTGCATTGTAATTACGTGGCTCAATCTTTCATTATAAGTAACCATGTTTTTGCACGTAAATTTCTTCTGAAGATATTATTCTTTTTCCTTTTGAAATTTCTTTAATACAAACGTTTAGGACTTATATGTTATTCAATAAAAAACAATTATGTTATTAAATAGTGTAATAGAATAGCCTTCATACCCACAAATTTTTCAAATGTGCATAGCATGTAGACATGACATGGGTAAGTATTAAAGTATTAAAGTAAACAATACTAAAATTATAATTCACCATTTACCAAACAATAATAAGTATTAAAGTATAATAAGCTATTAAAAGATAACAATTAAGTAAAATATAAACAATCTTAAAAAAAATATGTTAAAGCTAAAAAACACTCAATTGACTTAATTACAAATATATTTGTAGACACATATTAATTTCACTCAGTTACAAATATATTTACAGGCATTTCAGTAGCAAGTTCTGCTCGTTTTACAAAAAGCTCTGCCTCCAACGACTTTTTAGTATTCCAGTGACCAAATCTTTTAGGTTTTCACTAAAACAAATTTCACTCATAAAAAAACCTTTCATATTTTCCTTAAAATTAATTTTTGAATAAATAACGGTTGTCTAACTACAAAGCTCTTTAATTTTCACTATAACGAATTTAGTTTAACCAAATAGAACCACTTATACAAGTGAAAATTTGGTTTTCCAACTCATTCAAAATATATATTTCAAATTATTATGAACAACTTACTTTAATCTAGATTTTCTACCCTAGCGTGTTATTATTATTAATAATATTATTATTAGAAAAAAAAAACTATTTGCATTTCAATTTTTCCTATTAAAAAAAATTCTCAAAAACTCCAAAATACATGAGAAGCTAATTTCAGCTGAAAGAAAAGTTTAATTAACAATTAGATATATCATAATATTCATAAATTAATCAAGATTTAATTTTGCCAAACAACATACACCTTAAGTTTCACATACAAATACTCAAAATATGCACAAACCATTTATACTTTCAACCTATTTTTAAAGAGTGTTTACCAATGAACTTAGTGACCTTCATATATATATATATATATATATATATATATATATATATATATAAAGAAAATAAAATTATTAAAATAAAATAAATAATAATAAAAAATATATTATTTGAATATATCAATATGCAATATTATAAATACTTATAAATTAATCTTAAAATTACTAAATAATTAAGTTAATATATATATATATATATATTTAATATATTTATTTAATTTATTTAATAAAATTATCAATTAAGAGTAAATACTTGAAAAAATATATTTAGGTGATAATATATGTTTTTTAAAATAATGTATAAAAATTTATAGAAAAAAATAACGAACCAAATTCGTTAAGCCACACCTTATTATGATTAGGAAGAACCATTTCACTTTCTTTTAGGCTAATAAAAATAATATAGGCTAATAAAAATAATATAGGCTAAACGAGACAATTTTGTGAGTAGTGTAGAGAGGAGAACATGAGCTTAAAAAAAAAGTACAATAAAAATAAGAATCCTAATACAGAATTTTGTCCCATGGGTGAACATGACGACTATTATAAATATGGGGGAAGAGTATTGATATTAATATAATAATAAATATTATTATTTAATTAATAAAAATGAGTATTATAAATAGATGTACGGGAATGCAATAACACAGTGAGTGTAGATGGAAGATGGTGGTGAAAGAAAATGCAAGGAAGATGAAGTTGGGGGATGAATGGACCCACAGGCAAAATGGGAAGAGACGGTGTTGTTGGGTGAGACAATTACTGTCATGTCGGCTTTGAATTTTGGGGTACCCACTGGCCCACCCACTTTTACACACTCCTTCTTTACTCCTCGCTCCGTCACCCAAAACATTTCTAAAGTAATATATTTTTTTGGTTTTATTAAGTTTTGTTTAAAGTAAGTTTTTATTTCACTTAGTTTTACATAGTTGAATTAAAATAAAAATTCCACCTACTTGTCCATGTAAATTGTTTTTAATATACATCTAACTTTTAAAAAAACATTATATCAATATTTTTAATGACAATTATATTTATTTATAAAAATTTATTCGATAAATATATTGATAAATTCTTGGCATGAGTCGTGTATCCACCATCATAGCCTCACCATTCATAGATGGGTCACCCTCTCACTGCCTCAGTCCCCCTCCCCACACGTGTCACACTTTCGACTCATATGTCGTAAAGGTCAAACTCTCCGTCCCCTAGTCCATACTCCTCTTCTTCCTCATTTCCTCTCGGTCTTATCATTTTCATTTGCAAAGGGCATCACACATTATTTCAAGCCTCTTGAAGAAAACCATTCATATGAGGCAATCATATACAACAAAGATATACCAACTATGACTAGGACTTGACACTTTAATAACAACACAAACACTAGTCACTTTCTCCATTATTTGCACAGGGACACATTTATTCAATTCAAGACAAACTCTAAACAGAGGGAAGAAAAGAAAGAGGTTCCTAATGCTGGCTTAAGGTCTTCTCATAGATTGGGCTGAGTCCCAGAGCAGCCCAACAATTGCAACTCTTGCTTGTTGTAAACTTGGAGGGAAAAATCCCTCAACATCTGACTCTTGCCACTGCTGCTGCTGGAACCAACAGAAGGGGCCATGATGGACCTGGTTGCCACCTTAGCACCCACCGCACTCTTTTTCACCGCTGCTGAGTTAGAACCGTTACTGCACGTTGTCATCAGAGGCAATATGGGCCTAGCGGCCAAGTTGAACACGGAGGGAGTCGGAGCCCATAGCTGATGCTGCTGGCTTGCCGGGCTCATAACTCCACCCAAGGGGTGGCTTGTGGACGCAGCCTGCGAGATCATCCAGAATGTGTTAGTGGGGACCACCATGCTGGGGTTGGTTACCGCCCAGACCGGGACCAGACCTTGGGGCACTTGAACCGGAGCAAGACCCGATGTCTGCGACACTGTCTCCTTTATGTCCACTAAGTCGCTGTTGGAAGGGCGTTTCCGTTTCTTGTTGGATGTGCCTTCGTTGTCAGATATGGACGAAGTTGGGATTTTGAGTGTGCCGCCGATGGAGACAGCTATGGCCGGAACTGTTCCAGTGCCGGTGGCTTTTATGATGGCCTGCTCGGAGTGCTCTAAGAGCCACTGGACGGTTTCACCATCGGATTTATGTCCCAGCTCTCGGGTGAGCTGGAAGATCCTAGCGGCGCAGGCAGCGGGTATTCGGATCCTGCGGCCGCGACCTTCGATTTTGGTGTGGTGGTCCTTGGTGGAAGAGCGCCTGCTTGGCGATTTGAGCGAAAGTGGTATAGAAGGCAGCGCATTGGAGTCTAGGTCAAGGTCAGAATCCATTGGGTCCTCCTTTTTGAGAGGCAAAATTTGGTAGCCTTCGGTGTTGTCTTGGACGTGTTTAGAGAGCCCAGTGAGGTTGGTGAGTGGGGATGAATCTTTGTCTGCGTCGCAGGTACTGAGGTCTGTTGTTCCACCGTCTTCATTTCGATCCATGTCGTGATTGGATGCCATTTACCTGTGCAGAACTGGAAAATTAACCTGAAGCAACAGGAGATAATTGTAGCTAGAAATGCTTAAAATTTGTGTTGGGTGAGTTCATTGAAACTCAAGGAAGGACCCCAGACATTTTCAAGACCATGGTGGCTAAAACACCATAATACAATACAACAAATGGAATGTGATATAAATACTTATAAATTAAATACACAGATTAAAAGGTAAGATATCTCCTCTTCATACAGTAAGAATCTGTCCTGTTATGTTCAGCTGTCAATATATATATATCAGCTGTTACTAAAATGTTTAAATTAAATTATAATTTTAAGAAATTATATATATGTGTTTATATATAAATTTGTGAAAAGATATATATAAATTAAAAGTTAATTTTATAAAAATTACATGTAACTCTAATAAAAATGTCTTATTCACATACATTTATATGATATCCTGTCATTATTAAGTTTGTTAAACATAAGATTATAATATATCTATTTTTTCTATCATAGTTTTTATTCAATTATATATTATTATTTTACTTTATATAAAATTATAATAAGTTTTTATCTATCATAAAGATTATTGAACTAATTTTTAAAATAATAGAAATAGAATGATATTTAATTTTGGTTTTTCAAATAAAAATCTTATTGAATTTTTTATTTATAAAATATATATATAAAAAATATAATTTTCAGAAAAGAAGTAAGAATACCATTTTATATATTTGTAAATATAAAATATATTTTATTTGAGAAAAAAAACTTATTTTTGAAATGATAGATTAACGTCAATAACAATAATGTTATTATTATTGATCCAATATTTTTCATTAATATCTTATTAACTGAATTTAATACATTGTATTTATAATTCTTTTTATACACTAACAACTTGTTTATGCCACTAATACTTTTGGTAGGTTAATAAAAAAAATTGTAGGGACACGGTGGGGACGAGGTGTAAATGTTTAAGTGGAAGGTTATCTATGTTTTTCGTCCAACGATTGTAATTTGATCAAATGTTGGAAAGTAAAAATCAATTGACATGTGTCGATACGTATTTGCTGGGTTTCACCATTTGTCATGCATCTTTTGGTGGACCACAGGGAGGGGTGGTCTCGGTTTTGGACCAATAAGGACACAATATGAGGTGGAGGGACTTCCAAAAGTTAGGCACCACTAATTTATTGTGTTTCATACCCCATCAGAAAAGTATAAAATTTAATATAAAACATAAATATTATGAGCATTCTGAAAAAAAAATAATAATAATGAAATCTTCTCCAACTCAAAGTGATTAACCTTATACATTGCACAAATCTCCTTAGCTGCTTAATTATAGTGCATTCCTATTATTGTTATAAATGTTAAAAAAAAAAAAAAAAAGCAAAAAACTGTTTTAGAATTCATAGATATATTTTTACTGAACGATAATGCAGAAACTTTTACATTAAAAATACACGTATACTAAACCTCTGAAAACTCAAAAGTTATTATTCTTTTTAATATACTTTCTATTATTCACAATAATTTAGTAAAAAATGTAATTATCAATAAGATTTAAAAAAAACAATGATTTTCAATAAATTTTAAACAATATTAAAAAAAACTATATTTGAAAGAGAGTATTATTAATATTTTTCTATTAAAACTATATTTTATTCTGCTGTTTAATTTTTTATTTTAACTTAATTGAACTATTAGACTTCTTGTAATGCTAGACATGTAATGGTGTTTGAAGATAAATTTTGGGCTTTCTCTTACATTTGCAAAAATATTACAACTGCTAAATAGAAAAGAATAAAAAAGTACACTTTTATAGATAAAAAATAAACATAATAACATGTTCAGACAAATTTTAAGAACATGTACAATTTTATAGATTGAAGAAATAAATATTTTAATGAAAACATTTTTCATCATTGAAAATATTTTATTTTTTCATAATAAATAAACATTCTTTTCTTAATAATTAATTAGTCATATAGTCGATAATTTTATAAAAGGTATTTTTTTTATCGATAAATTAATATGATATATCATAATTATTTCTATTAAATTTAGTTAAAGTTAAACTATAATAATATGATAATAAAGTAATTTTTATTTTATTATATTTTAAAAAATATATATTATATTAATTTTTATGAGCGAGACATAAAATATATTTTGTATTAATATATATTTTTGTACGTACAATTTAGGGAAATTAACTTTTAACCTCGCTAAACATAATATAATTAAATGAGATTGAAAAGAGTAGACGGATATGATTTAGGATATATTTGTTTGTGTTAGTTATTTATAAAAAATAATTTATTTTAAGTAATTCTTGTATAAATAAAAATTGATATATATATATATATATATATATATATATATATTAAGTATTTTTTAATTAATAGGTATAACGATGACGAGCAAAAGAAGCCTTTGCAATGTCCAAAATGAGAAGAATCTTCAAATTATTTTAAAAAAAGACATTAGTTTTCTTTTCTAATTCTATTTTTTAAAATAAAAATATACAATCACCATAAAAATTATGATAAAATATTATTTTATTAAAAAAATAAATGTATAATTATTTTTAAAACAAACATATTTTTATTTCTCTTTCTTTAGAAAAAAGAATATTGTAAAAGTTATAAATTTTTTTACGAACAAAGTTTTAGTAAAATTAAAAATATTATATTTTATAAAAAAATTGTATTTAAAAGAATTTAAATTTATTATTATTATCTTACTAAAACTTATTAAAAAATAATTTTTATAATTTTGTATTACAATTCAATTATTGAAAAATAAAAACTAAGTTTTAATCAATCAATTTAGTTTGATTTTTGAAACAGTATTCAAAAGAATAAGAGCTATAAATTAATTTTTAAAACAATGTTCAGAAGCATAATAACTATCAACTAATTTTTGTGAGTCATCTAAACTGTAAAAATACATCTTACAATATTTAAACTAACAACAACCTCACTTTCATAAACTTAATACATCATAACAACCTTGTAAATGCTAAACACAGTTGGCTCCTAGCTTATAAGGACTACACGTCCTATAAATAAACATCATCAATGACCATTAGTGATCAAATCATTTTCACTGATTTTCTTTGCATAGAATCTTCTATACATGGAAACTTCAATGAGATAGAATGTGCCTGGAGATAAAAGGCTGGTGTCCTTGCTTGTTACATACTCCTTGGCACCATACCTGTGTTCCATTAGATTCATGGTTTCAACAAATTTCTCTGGCGGAAACTGCATAAAAAATTGCACTTCTCAAAAGTCTAATAAATTGTGTAACCCACAAAGGTTCTGTTTTCTGCATCTTGTGGAATGTTAAAACAAGATGGTTAAAAAAATAAATAATCAAATATTCATATTAAAAAACGGCCATAAAACCGACAAGATAAATACCTCATGCCTTGACTTCAATTTTTCAGTAACATCCATGACTTTGACAATGTTTGACAAGCTAAATGGATGTTGACCTTCACGTAGTTGCAAGGAGAACATTGTGGAAGCTAAGCCACTTCCATATGAGAACAATATTACCCTCTTACCATCCTGCAAATTGTAAAATGTAAATCTAGCTCAGAAAGCCCGAAACTTTGATGAGAATATACTTATATTTAACTAAGTGTTTAGAACATTCACCAATGTGCTATGTTTGTTGTGAATAAGTGAAATAAATGCTGCATAAAGAGATGCGGTGTACATGTTGCCAACTTGTTTTGGTATCAAGGTGCTTGGTTGCACCTTTGCATCGAATTGAGGCTTTGCAACTTGCTGGGATGCCTGTAAATCAAAGAATACTTCACACCATCAGCAAAAATTTCAAATTGTCCATTTTCTTAGTAGGTACATAGATGGAAAATCACAACTTTTCTCTCCAACCCAGAGGAAAAATGAAAAATGAAAAATAAGAGTGCTAAAAGAAACAGAAGAATATTATTTTACTTCCCAAACTATACTTGGGGCTCTCAGACCTTTTCTAGATCCCGGCTTTGATAGCTCTCATCATTAGATAATGTTGCAAAAGGTTTCAGCTTTTCTTTGGCAACCTCATCCACAGAACTGTAATCATAATTACCAACTTTTAATCACCACCGATACATGAAGAAATCAAAATTGAAAACGTTTCCAGAGGGTGGAAAAATGAAACAGAACCTGGAATTTTTCAAGAAGTCATTGAACACCAAACGAGCAAAACTTTTCTGTACAAGCTGCAATAAGTATTAACTAGATATATAAACAGACAAAAAATATGAACATGTAGGCATCAATTAAGATAGATAATCATGAATGATTATTATACAAAACATTCTTCTCTGTCGGGGGTGCTGCGATGTTAAGATATTAAATGAGATCCTTATAGCCTTACCTTGTTATATGGAGAGTGAAATACAAAGTATTCAGCTTCAGAAATAGAAAATTGTTTTCCCTCTAGTTTCTCATATCTGCAAAAGAGCAATGCTATGATGTGTTTGGTTGACTTACAAACCAAATTTCAGAAAAAAACTATATTAACAGTAAAAGCTTACTTGTGACTTAAGTTATTATAGCAAGAATCAAGGGCCATAAGGTAACATGTTTGAGAAAGCTTCCCATCAACAATCTATAAAACATAAATCCCGTGGATTTATTTTAGTTAGTCGAAACTCAAGTAAGGGAATGCACACAGTCAAATGACACCCGTCATAGCATTTTCTCAAACCGAAATAAAATTGCAATTATTTCTTTCACACTAGCTGGGAAAATGGAAGTTAGCTTTCGAAGCATAAGATCCCATAGTCAAAAGTTCTCTGACACAAAGTGCAAAGATACTGAACAGCTTACTGGATATTCACTGGCAAGATTAGGCTTGTAAAAGTCATAGGCATGAGCCATATGACTTCCCCTCAATTTGCTTTCAAAAGCAATGGGAGCATCAGGACCTATTAGCATGGCAACAGCGGCAGCTCCACCAGTAGGCCGTGCAGGTCCTTCGGCATAGACCTGAGAAAGGAACCCATCAGTGACACACGCATGAGTTGAGACTAACCTGACCTCAAGTTACAACAGAATCTAGGATATGCATCTGAGTTCATAACTTTTAGATCTTAAAATAGCTCATTTAAAAGGGAATGTGAAACAAGTTATATAGTCCATAGGCCATGAATATTGAAGTGATCTTACAGCGCTGTCTGTGCAGACGACAAGTCCATAGCGACCATCCCATGAGCTGCTCTCCACCCAATTGACACAATTGAACAAAGCAGCAGTTCCTCCATAGCATGCATTAGTTGAATCAACACCCTCGATATCGGTATTTCCATATTTCTGCGTATTTCAGACGAAGTAAATGAAAATTCTACTCAAAATCTACCGAAATAGATAATTTGATTAGCAAAGTTAACAGAACCACACAATTCTGATTATTAACAAACTTATTATATTCCAGACAGCGGAGAATTACTCAATGAAATTCAAATAAAGAAGCTTGTATCCGATCTGGCTATATAATTAAAGATGAACTGAGCCCAGATAGTTATGAAACACCTCAGCTATGCTCTCTACTTGATGATATACCCAACATTGACAGCTCAAAACCTCCAATCCAGCACTAAAATACTTGAATATAAGGTTTAATCATCCATATTACACATTATTTATGTATGTAAATCAGTTTAAGAGTTTCTAAACTGCCATCATGTGGTGAAGAAAGTGAGTTTACACAAACAAAGAGAATCATCTATCCGCGCAGTTTACTCTGAAAGCATACCTCAAAGATCTGCATCAGGAAAGTTTTGATGGATTTGCTTTTGTCAATCACAGTCTCACTACCTACTTCCAGCCGACCAATTTTTATAGGATCTATCTTATACTTCTCTAGAAGGGAAGAAACTACTGTCAAACTGAAAATGCAAGAGTTAGTCCTCAACAACAAAGTCCTAACATTTAACCCAAAAGCAAACAGAGCAATATATCAATGTGGCTTTGGTGGGCATGTCTAATGTTATACAAGCAGTAAAATGAAAACAACATAAAAAATATAAGACTACAGAAGATTAAAATAAATTAAATAATATTATGAAATTGAAATATATGCTGTGCATAATGCAATAATTCATCTCCTTTATATGGTTATAAATAGTTTATGATACAATAAAATGGTTTCAAACGTTACATTCGTCCTGAAAACTTTTGCAATGTGCTGAACCTTCATCGTGGTTATTATTTATCAGAATAATAGTTCACATATTTCTCAGTTTCTGTAGCGGACTCCACAAGCCATTATAGGTTACTTCACTATTTACAGAACCTTTGAGTAATGATACCCTTAGCAAGCAGAGGCAGAAAGAGGCCACGGGTTCATAGAATATATATATATATATATATATATTCTATGTTCTCCTTTATGTATGTGTTCGGTTGACCAACATAATATGAATTTATGAATTAAACTTCTAAATGGTATTATTGGAAAAAGTCTATGCAAATGATACAACATTTCCTATCATATGACATTAATTCTAGCAAACATAAGAGAAAAAAAAATCAAGGAAAAGGAAAACAAAGGAACTGTTTCCTCAGTGTTATATATGTTTTTTCTGTCTTTCCTCAAATAAAATTTCTTGCTCAGGTAGCAGCAATGATGACTATATCCAATGGCAAATCCACAAAAAAGTAAGCATCTAATATCTACTACTGCCTGAATATAAACTATACAGATTATAAAATTTAAAACAGAAACCTCATCGAAATGACATCTTCTACTTCTGTACAAAATGCCATGCAATCTTGACCAAGTCCAATAGTATATTTCCCTTTACTGGCACCATCATGAGCCTCCAGCACTTCCTGCATAAGTGAAGAAACTGAAAACATCACTTTAAAGGAAACAAAAAAAAGACTGTAAGTAACTTCAATTTGCATCAATCAGATAATAAAACAAATCGCTGCGTAACGTATAAGCCATAATAATCCACAACAGTAAGTTCTGTTATTTTCCCTCCCTTCACCTGTCGACAAATGGAGAACCGTACATGCCATAATTTGGATTTTGGATGCAGTTTAAGGGGATCTCACGATTTTCCCCGCAGAAAAAAAAACAGAGATATGTTATGTGTGTCCCAGAACACGATATATGAAAACTAGAAATCGTGCCTCGGTTAGGCCTAGTCCTTTTCAATAGCGATAAGAAAAGAGCATAACAACTTTTTCAGGCCCTTATGCAATCGGCTACTGAACAGCTATGAACATGTTTAATGCTCATGAGCCGATATTCATTACAAATCGGAAAACGAAATGGGTGTATCGAACTTAACTTCTATGACAGTTTTCTTAAACTTCGTTAATCGACATAAATTATGCAAAGAAGAAAGGTCAAATTAAGAAGAAAAGGAGAGTGGATTGAAAGAGAGATGGGTTCACCTGTTGAATACAGGTGGAAGGGAAGTAGATGTCTATAGCGAGAATCCCCACATTCTTTGCCATCACAGTTAGTAGCAGTTCCAGAGAGAGAGAGAGAGAGTTGAATTGTGTGAAGAGCCCTTACGTGCAAATATATTTATATATAAGCAGTTAGCAGCAACGAGGTGGTTTTGTCCTTTTGTTTCTTACGTCGGATAGTGTGAAGGTTGAGGTAGTTAGGTCTCAACTAATGCAGAATTGGCTGTTTTACTTCAATAATCTCACCTTTGCGTTTCCTTCTAATTACCGGGTCATGCCATTTATCCGCAGGACCCTAGCAACTCGCAATCCTTCCCGACAGTGACGGAATTCTATACACATGTTCCACGGTATGACCACACCCAAACCAAATAATTAAATGTTTTTTTTTTTCCTTCTTGTTTGCATTATCATGATATTATTTTATTTATACAATTAAAACAAGTTATTTCTACCAGTAACTTGAAGCAGATTTTTTTTTCTTTTTTTCCATATAGCACATTTTCCATTATATTTACAGTTAGCATACTTTTTGTTCAGGAATTTGGATTTTGGGAAGTCTTCATGAGAATATTAATCCAAAACCCGAATTCTGGTTTTCCAATTTTTTATTTTTAAAAGATAAGATAAAAAATATGGGGAGAAAAAAGAAGATAATATAAGAAAATTATGGGAATAATATTTTATAATTATGATTGCTTGTATAAAATTAAAATTGCTAAATGTATATTTATTTAGTAATAATAATTTATTTAATCATAAATTTGGAGTAAAAAATTAAAAAATAAATTAAAAGATGATATAAGGGAAATTATTTTAATTGAATTTGAATTTTATAGTGGTTTAATGTAAAATTAAAATTGAGATTGAGAAATATAATTTTATTTATTAATAAAAATTATTTAAAAAAAAGTAAGTAGTGAAAAATTAGTAAAATAAAAATACAAAATAGGATAATTTTAGGGAAATTATTTGAATGAAATTTTAAAATTATGGTAGTTTAATATAAAATTAAAAATGATAAATATATTGTTATATAGTAACAGTAATTTGTTTATAAATAAGTTAGGAGAAAAAATTAGAAAAATAAAAATAAAGAATAAGATGATTTAAGGAAAATTATTTGAAGAAAAGTTTAAATGTGTGATTGTTATTAAAATTGAGAAATATATTGTTATTTAGTGATAATAATTTATTTAAAAACAAGTAAGTAAATAAAATTTTAAAACATTATTATTTTGGATAGTTAATAATTTGAAAAGTAAATAAAATAATTTTGTAAGTTTTTTAAGTTTTTGTAAAATGATAATATGATTAGTTGTAATTTTATAAATAAAATATTTAAATGAATTTTATTGTATTTAATTATTTAAATTTGAAGCTGGATTTTTATTTAATTTATATATATATATATATATATTAATAATGTGATATAATAAAATTTAGAATGAAGTTAAATTTTAAGATATTTAAATATTTATTTAAAAACAAAATGAAAATTAACATAAATAATCAGTCAACAAAATACACATGGATGAACATTAATTAAAATAAAATTAGATAAATATATGGTTAGAAATTTTTAGACTTTCTAGTATTGTGTGGTTAATATATGTATTTTTTTCTTAAGTCACAATAATTTCTTAAAGATTGGTGGTTATAGATATTTTATTTAGATTAATAATTTAATAGTGTTCATGAATATTTATGTTATACAGTTGAAGGTAGAAGTTTAATTTTTTTATTATGATTTGTAAAACATCAATATTATATTTGATTTCAACTTAATCGTACTCAATTTGTTAAATGACACTAGTTGATTCTTGTGATTTGTTTACTGTCCACATTATATAATTTGGGTTATATTTTGTAACAATGGATTAAATGACCAATGATGTTGGATCAACAATATCTTTGAGTTGTTATATTTATATGTAAGTTATTCTTTGGATAGATCTTCTCAAGTAAACTATTACTTGTGTGGAAGGGATGATGTTCGAGTTTGTGGAAGAGATTGCAAAATGTGGATTTATAACACTTGGTATTTGTTTAATATACCTTGTGAACTTAACATCCAATTCAATGATTTTGTTATTACATCATTATAGTTTATTTTCGATTGTCAAAAATACAAATTATTGAATGATGTATTGTTTAAAAATTTTAAAGTTGTGCAGATTTTTTCCTTCAGGAGGATAAGGATTTAGTTATATGGAGTTGCACATTAAAACCACACATCATCTTTATATTGGTTGATTTCATCATTTGTAATTAAAAGAACAAGATAAAAAATTGAAATAGTTCTCTTTCTCAATGATATCAAAATGTTTCATTTGAAAATCATGAAGTGTAATATTTGATATATAAAGAGAATGAGTTTCAATTAGGTTTGTTAAGAGACAAATTATTGTAATTTAGGGTTTAAATGTAGTGTATGATATATGTTATAGGATTAAACCTATCTTATTTGAGATTGACAAGTGTACGTGCATAGTAAATATTAATGTGGATATGAGTGTGTCATGTGACTTTTATGTGTTCCTAATAAAGTTGACAAGTTTTGTCTTTGTGGCAGAGTGAATATTGAATTGTTGTCATGTATCTTGAGTAATCTCGTCCATCTAATATATGTTAACGTAATATTTCATTCAAGGCAATATGTGTGTAACATGTAGTTCTAATCAAGTTGAATATAATGTGTCATTTAAGGTGATTTATGTATAACAAGTATCCTTAATAAAATTGACAAGTCTTATTCAAAGGCACGTTAAATTGTTGATATGCGTTGAGAGGTATCCTATTTATCCAATATATGTTATTAGTGATAAATCTTCACCGATAATTTTATAAAAAGTCAAATAACATATTATTAATAAAGAATAAATAAATATAAAAAAATATATGAAAAATATAAGAGAACAAAAATATTTTCTTATTTAATCTATTTAATAATTTGATTTAATATTTATAAAAATAAATAAGAGGCCAAAATTATAAAATTAAATTTTAGAGTTAAAATGATAAATATATAAGCAAATTAAAAAAATTTGGAACACCTATCACCTTTCATCTCTAAAAAAACTTTATCCATTATTTTTTTTAGTCACATTAAAATTATAGTTTGTTTTAAAATTATAGTGCATGATCGATGAAAGGGTTAAGAGAGAAAAACTGATATAAATACTGTGCTGGTGAGCGTAGGAACCATTATTATCTTTTATCTGCGTGAAGTCAAGTACATTTAAGTAAACCATATTTCCGGTTACATCAACTGATTGGACAAGATAGAAAAATTCACCAACCATTTCATTTGTAGTTAGTTAGTGGGGACATGCCTAATCACTTTTATTTTCCTCAGAATCAGATCTTCTCTATCTTTCACCATCACACTTATTTTATTTTGATACTTCAAACTATAACAAGCAAATATAGATGGTTGGACTTATTTCATACCTCAATGTTTGTGTGGTTGAAGAAAAATAAGTACTCATACTCAATGGTTGAGGGGAGGGAGAAAGATAAGAGAGGAAGAGAATTCAAGTGATGTAAGAGAATAAAAAAATGATATTTATTCTATTTTTCAAATTTATATTAAAATAATTAAATTATATTTTTTTATATAAACTTTTCTTTCCGTTTTCACCCACTATTACAATTTCAAACCATTAAACATTCAATTTTATTTCTTACATAATTTTAAACTTTTTGTCTTTGTTATTATTTTCTTTATTTTTTTTCCTATGTTTTCTCTTCGAAGTATCGAACTACATTTTCAAACTAGTCTTTAAATATTAATAAATAAAGAAGATCTTGTAAAATAATTTTTATATTAAGTCAACTAAAAACTTACATAATATATTTAGTTTAATCCGTATATATATATATATATATATATATATATATATATATATTAAATTGTACTTTTATGAAAATATATAAAAAATAAATTATATTTTAATGATAATGTATATAAATTTACCTAAAAATAAAATAAAAACGTGAGATATGAAACTTACTTCTACAAAATTCTTTTATTTTAGTTCTATTATAAAATTAAATTAAAATATATCTTTAAGGATACATTAATTATTTTACCCTCTTCAAAATTAAGCAAAACTAAAAAGGGGAAAGAAGAAAAATATATAAAGCTGAATATACTTGACAAGAAAAAATAAAATATATATAAAATAAAATAGAGTAATATTTATTATTTATTTTATATTTTCTAATATTTTTATTGAAAACATATATTTACTTGTATTGAAAACATATATACTTATATTTATTAATCTTTTTTAGTCAAACATCTATTTTTTTTATTCATCAAAATTTCCATATATTTATTTTCTTCTTACTAAACACATCCTATTTTTAACAAAATAAAACTGATTAAAACTACGTAATATTATTTTAATAATAAAATAATTAAATTTAAAATAATTTAAACATTCGTAACATATAATTTACAACCAATTTTACTTATGTGGATCTATTTGTACATATTTTATTAATAAATACACTAAAAATAATAAACACAATGTAACAAATATTTTTAATTGTTTTAAAAAGAGATATTACAAAAGTTTTATATTTTTAAATGACAATTGTTTTTATTTATAATAAGTATATTACGTTTATATATTTAACTAAGATTTAGTATTTTTATTGATATATAATATTATCTTTTTTAAGTTATATATAGTCAAGAATCTACTCTTCAAAATATACGTTGAAAAATGTCTTCGGTTATGAAAAGGTACTTGAGTTCAAGGAGAAATAATATATATAAAACATGAAATTGAATAAAGAATAATAAAATGCAATTGATATGAGATTAAAATCACAATCATATCTATAAAATATCATGGAACCTCAATTACAAAAATTATATATTTATGATACGATTGAAATACATAAGAAATTAGAAGTAAAAAGTCAATTTATTAATTTCATATTAAAAGTTAAAGACTTATTTCTTATTTCTATTATTTTGTGTTAGGAGTATAATAATTATAATAATTAGTATTTTGAAACATTAAATTACAATCTAAAAAATAAATTAAGTTTTCATCTCTTATCTCTTATATATGCTTAAAATTATTTACTCTTAATAAATAAGTATTTTGAAAAATTACATTTAAATTTTGAATAAATAAATATTTTAAATATATAGAATATATTTTTAATTATAATAAATTAGGATACAAAGTTATGTTTAAATTGAAATGTATAATCGGTTAAAAATTAAATACAAAGATAGAAACAAATAAAAGAATGATAATTTAAGACAATTAGAAAGGATTCGTTTAACTAATTGGAAAAATGGTAGGTGAGATACAATTCTGGAGGAAGAATGTTCAAATTGAGAGAATTAAGAGAGAGAAGTTTCACTTATATAATTATAGAATGAATTGATTTTAGATTTCATCTTCCCTTAAAAAACAGAGATTTCACCAAAATTAATTATAACAAAAAAAATCCTAAAATAAAGTAATTATTTTCATAGAACAAAAGTTAACAAAAAAAAATTACAATTAATTATATAATATTTGTTATTATGTTTTAAAAAATACGTAATTCCTAGACAAACTTATTTGAAAATTTTTTAGAAAAAAAAACTTTATAAATTAAAATTGTTTTATATACAAACTAAAAATAATTGAAGAATTTAAGTATAGGAGTTTAATTACATACAAACTAATTTTAATTTTTAGAGAATTTATTTTATTTTTTATTTATATATTTTTTAAATAGAAAAAATTGTCTAAACATATATAATTTTTTAATTAAGTTTTCTTTCATTTTTTTCTTTTAAGAACATATTTTAAGTTACTATTTAAATTTAGTGAAAATATTAATAAAGTGTAACTTCAGCATATTAAAAGAATAATATATTTATTGGAAAATATGACATGATTAATTTTGGATTATACAATATGAATTTCAAAAGATGATAAACCCACATATTTATATTTATTTATTACAAACTTATTGAATTAGTTGACTGCATCAATTAGTTAGGCAACTAACATCACAATTCCATATTATAATTCAGCTGCCTTGAAGTGATTGTAGTTTCATTTATTTTGTACCTAATAACTGCTTTAGCAATGACAAACTAGTTTAACACCTGTGACCAAATTACCTAAATTACATCAATTACATAAATGAATCCCACCAAAACAATTAAATTGAGGTGGGTCAACTTTGAGAATATTGCAACCATTTAATTGACGAATATGTCATTTAGGTCTGAAAAATATTTATGATTTCCCCTTAAATTATTTAATTTTATGCATAAATTAATTTGTTTTCACTGGTATTGTTGAATTAATTATTCGTTATTTTTTCATAAAAAATTAAAAATATACCAAGATAGACGGTATTAGATAAATTTTGATTTAGTATTGTTATTTTTTTTCATAAAAAATATTTGAATAAATACTAAAAGAAAAATAGAAAATCAATACTAAACCAGAACTATATTAAAAAAATAATTTTTATATTTGTATTCATTAATATCGATTTTACAAATAATAATTAAAATAATTAGTGTACATAATTATAAATATTATATTATTTCTATAATTTATTTAGAATATATATACATATATATATATATATATATAAAATAATTGAAGAAAATGATCAGCTTATTATTAAAAAAATAAGGTAATTATAAATTTATAGATAAAGTAATTTTTTATTCATGATAAAAATATAAAAGCAAAAATTTATCCTTAAACAATTATTTTAATAGACAATTAAGTATTTTAATATAAAAAACTAAATAATTTTTTCTCATCAGAAAATTTTAATTATTAATAAAATTAATGTTTAAATATGTTTTAATTCTTATAAATTAAGTGTATTTTAATTTTGATTTATATAAAATATATCTTTTTATTTTTAATCCTTTTAAAATTAATAAAAAACTTTTAATCATTAGTAATGCTTCGTGTCAAATAAAAAGCCAAGCGTTCATATATATATATCTTATCTATCTTATAAGATGAATATTAATTAACAATAAAATTTAGAATTTGGAAAGTTTTTTTGAAAACAATTATATATATACCTTATCTATCTTATGAGATGAATATTAATTAACAATAAATTTTAGAATTTGAAAATGAAAAAAATTGAAAACAATTTAAACTAAATTCACATATCTTACTAGATGAAAAATAATTTAATAATAATTTTAAATTCTATAGGATGAAAGATAATTTTTTTTTCATAGGGACGAGAGTTAAGACTCACTCATTAAGTCTTATGTACATGAATTTTCTTTTATGATATAGAGCGTAAAAATATAAAATTTAAGTCAAAATTGGATATATTTACGTAATAATCTTAAAAAAAATAATATAAGATACCGATAAAGAATAAACTCTCGTGAATTATATATTAAATAAAAAATCTATGTAGAGATACATTTATTGTACAAAACTTTGTTACAAAACATGAATCGAAACTAAAGTAACCATAAAAATGTTAACTAATGAGACAAATAAAGAAATAGGAAGCAAAAAATTCATAATTCAACCGTGTTTTGATTTAGAGCTTTGTATCTCCATCTCTCCTTCTCCACAAAGTCCGCATCGAGGAACCTAGAAAGAAAAGCCCATAATTTGTAAATATCTTCAAAGTTTGTGAAGAGGCCCAGCGCAGAAGTCACAACGTATATCCCAGATTCATGCCTTCGTATCTTCTTGGACAGGCCCAACCCTTCAACCTCAGAAGCTCTTGTCTCTAAGGCCCAATGCCTCTCCTCTTCATTCTTGTCGGCGAACCTTATATTTGTCAAAAATGAGCTACTTAAAGAGATGTTGTTCCTATCAGCTAGCTTCTGCACAAGTGCAGGATCAATTTTTTCCCCTTTCCAATCAAATATATTAAATGCTACAGCGGATCCACGACAAGAACTTATCTTAGGCCCATAAATCCTAATTAGGGAAAGCTTATTTTCATGATGTGGATGTTTAAGACTCATTAATGCATTAACCAGCCAATTCACCAAATATTTGGTCCTATTACTGATCAGTAATAACCCCACTGAATCTGCATGGTCTAATCCTCTACATTGAATCTCTATGGCTTCTTTTTTAGTACCTACGTTGTTTCTATCCTTAGATGAGTCAAAGGGTATGCTTAACTCCTCTATTTCTGATGTTGGTGATGGCCCCCCTGGCGGATGATCCCTTTCAGTTTCAATCACTACTTGTTCAGTGTCATGTCTAAATGCTGGGATAAGGCTTATGATTCCTATGCTTGTAGCATTACCAGGATCTTTCAAAGTAGAGACACTAGATCTTTTAACAAATAAGCACCCAAAACCTGAAGGGATTTCACCAAAAACTTTGTAAAATGAGCAAACCATAAAATCAGGCTTAAAAAGTGACATACCCAAGGTGCCCATTTCCTTAGGTTTCAATGCACACACATCAAGCAAGACACGCCACCCATTTTCCTGTGCCGTGGACATCCAAGCATAGGAATATGGTGCTCCTGTTACCCTTGAATGAAGTGGGAAAACAAATAAACCTCCCTTTCTCTTTTCCCTTTTATTCATGACCATCTTCTTTAGTTTCCTCCACTCGATTCCGAGATTGGGCCAGGAGAATTCTGCTGACAATACATGCACCCCTTGCTTCTTGCAACTCTCAATCATCACATTCAGTGCCTCACTGCTATGGTCATACACTGTGAGGAGCCGTCTATTAGATTGAAATTGGAAAGAATCGGCTAAAATTTTAAAAGCAGATACCTCATTGGCAATGAAAACAAGCGTGTATTCAGCTTCAGAGACATTCATGAACGACATGATTCTCTTTCTGATTCTGGATTCCAGTTCTGACTCATGGCCACCGTAGAGAACCTGGGACTGCAAGTTCACTGACTTGTAGGATATATCGAAGAAGGAGGCGTCTGATGAGAAGTACGACAATGATGATGAAGAAGAAGAAGCCATTGAAGTTGTGGGATAAGGTCTCTGTTGCTGAGCGTAGGAGAAAAGGCCATATCCAGTGTAATCGAAGCAGGCGTTGGAGTGGTTCAAGTGATGGTATTCTTGGGCTCGAAGTTGATCAACTTGAGAAGTAGAAGAAAATTGAGGGAATGCTTTGGTGAAGCTGATGTACGAGTCGTGTAAAGATGGAAGGGACTCATGGTTGGTGAATTGTGTGTGCGGATGAAGGGTAGAGGATATGGCTGTGGCGAATTCATCGTGTGATGAAATTACATTTGTGACTTTAGGCTTATGGGGTCTCTCAGAAGCAAGAAGTGGAGATGGAAAACAGCCATTAAAGCAGGGTTGTGATGCTGCTGCTTCAGCACGAGATGGGTGCATTTTGGTTCTTTGGACTCGGTCGTCCCCTCAAATTTAAAACCATTGACTTACAAGTTTTGTTGAATTGGCTAAATAATCATGGTCGTTCAACCACCACAACTTTGCTTGCTTCAGCCAGGGATAGATTTTAGGTCATACGGTATAGGGTTGACTATGTTTATGGGAATACTCATTTCTTAACCAACAAAATTGGGAAGTTCGTGACACATTTATTACTGAATATGTTGTACTCGACTGTTGATTAATGCGGTTAGAGAGATTACCGGTGAAGATCATTGTCCGGTACAGCTACGTTTTGGAAGGGTCTGGTCCATTATTATGTGGTGAGATCATCTCAAGGACCTTACCATTAGAGCCGTCTCAGTCAAGATGAAAAGTGGTTGTTGTGCTGGTTTCTTAAAAGTGACAAAAACAACCAAGGTGAAAGGGCATAGGATGGTTAACACCCACCCGTCACCACAATCATCAATCATTCAGAGGTTAGTGCTTTGAGACATTGATGCTTTTTGATCTCTTGTGAGAAATTAATTACTTAGATACTCTTCATACCATAAAGTTGTTTATAAAATTCTTTATCAATAACTAAAAATATTATAAAAAAAATAATCTTTTAATGACAGTAATTTTCATTGTAACTTTGAAAAATAGTTAAAACCGTATACAAGTGATAATCTTGATCCACTTGGTACTTTCTTGATTGTCCTTTCGCTGTCACTGCATCACTTTAGAGCGTGAGTTATGAGCTTATCGTGATCCTCTGTTACGAGTTTCTTACCTTGGAACCGCTCTACCACGTGACGCAGTGATTATCTTTTCTTCATTTTTGAGTCAGTCATGAAGCACAGAATTAATATGCGACATCTGATGAACATCGACGCGGTCCTTTTATGAACGTACCATTTTGTGGTTGGACCGGCCACTTTGACTTGCATCATCAGCCCCACCATTTGCCTTTAATTTCACGCCAGATACAAGACTAACTATCAAGGTGGATACCACTGTAATTGTAACTAATTCAACTTTTTATTTTATAAATCAAGCAATAAACTTGATTACAAATTATAATCTGATTCTTTGGTAATAATTATCAATAATAAAGTTATTTGTCCTATTCTCATGTAAGATAAAAAAATCTTATTTAATATATCAACGCAAAAAAATAAATTACTTATTTAACAAGTAAACATTAGATACTCACTCTACTTAATACTTTCTTTTGCAATTATTAATACCTTTTTCCACACTACAAATTTAACAATTTTGACTTATGTGACATTATCTTTATAATTTTAAATATATAGCTCAAACATTCATACGTACATATAGAATGGAAAAAAGGAAAAAAAAATTTGAGGCCTTACCTAACCTTTAATTGAAGACTTATTTCATAATAAAGTCTTTGGGCTTGGATTTCTAAAACAGGCCGGGCTAAGTCAAGTTGTAGGCCTGATGCAGATGTCTTTTTTTTTTTTAACAGCATAGAACATTATAAAACATTTATAAAATTATTAAGTAATGGAGAAAGTATAATATAAAATTATAATAAGAGTATAAAGAGAGGGGAAAAAAATCTTTATTATAATAATATGTATAAAAAAAAATTTATAATTAAATAGTGCCATTATATTGTCAATACTTTTTCTATCTACATACATATGTACCAGTATTTCAAAAATTTTCCGATAGTGAAACTTAATTAGTGATTATTTTCATTATTAGACCTTAGATTCAACTCATTAATAATTTGTACTCAACACTTTGGTTTCATATCCTTAATCCTTCATGGTATATTAGTAAATTTATTTATTTATTTATCTCTTTTCTTTCTTTTCCTTTTCTTTTTGCAATCGCACAACTTTCGAATTCATCAATATTTTTCTCCTTCTCATTAAAATCCCTTATTTCTCTTTCACTCCTTTAAATCAAAATACATTCATTGAATTTGATTTACAAGTAAAAATGTAGATGTTAAAAACCTTATCGTAATTTAAATCAGTTTTTACTTATAAAAAATAAATCAATCCTATAAATAATATATTTTAAAAATTACTCAAATAAAATTTATATTATTTATATATAATTTTTTTCTCTCTTTTTTTCATAATTTTTTTTCTTTTTCATCACTTATCTATTGTTTTTCTCCTTCCATCTCAAGACTCTTTCTTTTGCTCTCTCCTCTGGTGCTTATTACTTGATTAAAATTATTATATTAAAATTTAATAAAAACATATTAAAATAATTTTTTAAAATTAATATTAAAATTAAAAAATATACATTAATTAAAATTATGATGATAATAAATAATTTTATTTATTATGATAAAAAATAATTTTATTTATAACAATGTAAATAATTAATTTTAAATTATTTTATCATAATAAATTAATTACTCATTTAATTTAAACAAAATCAATTATTTATGAGTTAAATATATTTTTATTTTATAATTTAGTCTAGTTATAATTAAGTTTAATTATGATAATTAGTCAGACCAATTAATTTTAAAAAATATTTACTAAAGAAGTTGCTTTAACATAAATATTTAATATTTTTAATAATAATAATGATAATATTTATAATATCTCAAATTTCTCGTATAATTTTATTTTTAAATATATATATATATATATTAAATTACAGTATTTTTGGATAATTTTTTTTTCAGAAATAACAAAAAAATTATTTTATCAAATTTTAATAATATTTTTAATTAGAAGAATAAGATGGAGTGAGAGAAAAGCCAAAAAAAAGGAAGGGATTTAAATATTTATAAATATTTTATTTATTTAAATATTTTTTCTTTTAAAATACATTGATTCTATAAAAAATGTTATAAAATTATTGATAATTAAAGAGGAGTTAAATGAGAGAAGTCCTAAAAAATATGATTAATAAGTAGATTTTTTGTTTGTACAAAAAGTTTGTTTAATTAATTTTATTATCTTATTTTATATCCCTGTTAACAATTCTCGTTAAAAAGTGTATCCAAAAACTGGCAGGCTTTGTTTGGATTGGGGTGAAAATGAAAAGAAAAAGTTAAATGAAAGAAATAGAAATTATTTTAATTGAATCGATTTTTTTGGATGGATGGAATTTGAAAATAAAAGAGATAAGGTGATTTATTTCCATTCGTGTGATTGTATGAAAAAGGGTAGGAAAGTGAATAAAGAATATCAAGAAAAGATGGTTTTATTCATACAATTAATCAATTAAAAACCAAATAAAATTTTGAAACATAATCCTAACATTCCCAATTCTTAATAATATAAAACTACTGCATGCGTGATAACTCTCCATGCACTAGAAATCAAGGCTAACGCAGAAGGAAATTGGTAGTAGTAGGTTCATAGATTTTTATAACAAGTCCTTTCTATATCTCGTCTAACAAACAATAGAAATATCTAATGTTAATTCTGCCTCTCAAATCACCCAAAAAGAAAGGCTGAATGAAGCATGAATAAGTGTGTGGAATTTCTGTAAGTGACTTCTTTTAGAAAGATCAGCGCATTCGAAAAGAGTTTGTTGCAGTGGGAGTATTTCATAACAGTGAGTGCAGCAGGGTATGTAGAAATAGGATATGTATGGTTGAAGATGAATGAGTTATACCCTTTAATCACATGAAGATGGTGGTGCCTGCTGCGATGTTCCAATAAGCAAGATGAGTTGCAGGGCAACTCTCCTTTGGCGCGTCGAGAAATGAAACCGCATACACAAACCGATTAGGTTGATGTTGGGAGACTCGAGTGTGTGCCAAAGAAGAGATGCCCTGTAACTCATTGGCTTATCTCAAACTTTCCATGCTGAATGAATCAGAATTTTACCTCTCTTCTCTTGTGTTGTGTTTTTTCTTGATACCAAGTGCGACAGCTCCTAGAGGCATATTTATAGTGAGCTGAAGGGGAAGCATATGCTTCAGCATATGCCACTGCCTGCTTTCTACGCATTCCATGCAAAGCATGAAAATCTTGTCTCTGAAAAAGAACCTCAAATTCCTACTCCAACATCCACAGATTCTTGGATCGTTTTTCTGGTGAATTCCCTCTCCTTCCAGCCATGTTTGCCTTTGGAGAAGGATTTTTGGAATACTGTGGAAAAGGGTTCCTGCTGGAGGGGTTGTCAATTGGTAGATGCTTACTTACTTTCTTCAACGTATAAGAAACTGGCAACAATATCGTGCCCCTTATGGAATATCCGTGTTATATTCTTCTCATTATTTTTTACTTTTTTTAATTCTTTCAATTTCAAGTGATTGATTATTCAAACCTACGATATATGTACATACACGAGTAGAGGCGTACTTATACGGGACTTTAACCACTTTGTTTTCGATTTTAGTAGATTAGATACTAAAATATAATTTTGATTAGAAATATGACAAAAATACTTAAAATGTTGCAAGAATTACCATCCATCGTTAAATGAAAAATACGAGAAGAATTTTTTTCTCCCTTTCTAGCTGAATTATAATGATCAATTTCTTATTTTTCTCATTGATGAAAACCTGAAATAGGAGAAAAAACTATACAATTTATTGCTCTGTTTGATCCGCAGCATTTGCGCCAAGTCTCTCACTCAGTATTTTAACTCCCATATACCTGCAGCAAATTGAAAACCCTGTTAAGTTAACCAAAACAGCTGCATTAAAAAAACAAATGGACAAATTAATACTGCATCCTATTCTTTACATCATAAATGAATAAAAACATTCATTCCATTGCTATGAAAATAAATGTATCTATTATTCTATAAACAATATAATCATATTTGTTCACATAAAATATTATATACTGAATTATATTAGAATGGTTGAATTATGTATTTATTTCTTTTAGAGAAAATTCCTTTTTTTCTATATATTTTTTTATCAAAATGTAATTAAGATTATTCTAATTTCATATTAATTAATTTGATTATAATTAAAAAAAAAACATTATTTACTCATTGATATGAAAAACCCACGAGTGTGTGATTACAGAAAGCACATTTTCCTTATTATATTCTTATATATATATAGAATAGAATATATAGTGGTATGATTATACCTGCCAAGCATCATAACGGTGGCCTGAGGATTAGTTCCGGGAGAGTAGTTAAAGGTGGAACCATCTATAACACGCAGAGCACCCACGCCAAGAACCTTGTAGTCCTTGTCAACAACTTTCCCAACTTGGCACCCTCCATGGTAGTGCCAAATGGTCATCACAGTGTCTCTGCAGAACTGTTGAAGAGAGAGCGAGGAATTGGTGTGTTTGGGAAGCAAGTTAACGGGGGAACTTGCGGTCATATTGAGAAGCACGGGGAGTGGCATGTTGGGGTATCTGAAGGGAGCGAATGCCTTCGATTCGATTACCTTCTCCACCGTGCTAAGGCCCTGCACGCATCTCTCCAAGTCTTGGGGGTCCTTGAAGTAGTTGAAGGTCACTGATGGGTTGTCGTTTGGATCGCGCGTTCGGAGCTCTAAATGCCCGGTTGAAATCGGACCCATGATCTTCTCCAAGATGAAGCCGCCTCTGAAGGCTGCTTGGTCCAGACTCTGCATCTGTTCTATTGCCTTAGCAAGGGCCTCCGGGGTCCTTTGTTTTGGGGGCACTGTGGATAGTTGACCAATCTGCATTAACCATTCAACTTGTTATTTTTCATGTTGTATATTATTTAATAATCCTACTTACTATACACCTAAATGATGGGGGTACCTTGGGGGAGAACATTCCGTAGTCTCTAGGGGAACCACCGGCAAAGTTTTCACCACTGGCAGCTTCAACGTAGGTGCCAAAACTGGTGATGCCCACCACCTGAATTAGAGACACCTCCACAGGTTCAGGAGATGGGACAAAGATTGCGTTCATGGGGTTATCTGACATTCCCTGACCCACCAACGGCTGGTCCAACGTTATACTGATGTTATGGGCCCGAAGGTGCTCTGCGGGCCCAACTCCACTCAACATTAGAAGTTGTGGGCTTCCAAGCGCACCGGCAGAAACAATGATCTCGCTCTTTGCATGCTGCTTCAGGTACGCCTTGTGTTTACGACCCAATGAATCTCTGAACACCACTCCATGAGCCACTGGTTTTGATCCATCTGCAATCACTTCAATTTGTCAATTTCATGTCACTACTACTAGATGGAGAAATTGAAGATGTGGAAGGGACCTTTGACTCTAAAGAGGATCCTGTGCACGGTGCTATGCAGGAGGAGGGTAATTCTAGAGGGGTTGGCATATTGCAAAAGATCAGCAGCAGTGTGTCTGAAGCCTTGGTGGTCAAAGATGGTGCCCCCTACCTTAGTGCCACCAATGTGATCATAAGTGAAGCCATTATCAGGCACCACACCTATCTCAAGCAGTCCTTCCCGCACAGCTGACTGCCACTGCTTCACCTCCGGCTTAAACGCCACTATCTTCTCCACCCATTCGTACGACTCATTCACTGCCCTTACATCCCACCCCGCTTCCCTACCCATACACAATCAATTAACAGACACACATAATGCAAGATTCACCATCCCAAAAAACTTGTTGTAAACTGCTATATTCATTATTATATACACACATAATTTACTTTGTGTACCTTGCATATTGAGGGCTAGCGCGAGTGTAAAAGCCAGCGTTCAAGCAACTTCCGCCGCCGAGGACGCGGGCTCTTGAGTTGATGACGCCGTCTTCGGAGATGAAACGCTGAGAGGGAGAGGTCGGGGAGGTGTCAGAGAGGGCAGCTCCGAAGGCTGCTAAATTGGTGATGTTGGGGTTACCGTAGGGTGAGCCACCGCGTTCAAGGAGCAACACGCTGTAATTCTGGGACAGTGTCGCAGCTAAAGGACAACCTGCTGTGCCGCCGCCAATTACGATGTAGTCGTAGTATGAGATGTTTGGTGCCGTCGTTGCATTGTGCATAAATGTGTAGTTCGGAACTGTAAATTCACATCACCGACACCACGTGGTTACATTTCCCACACAATCTAAATCTTACTAGTATTGCTTTCCCTTTCCACTGCTTTGAAGAGAGGAAGAATCAGGAAAAACCTTCTTAGTGTGAAAGTGTCCACGGTTTCTCTAAATCGAATAAATTGTGTAGATATTTTTTTTATGAACCTACTTTGGTATATAAGCATTGTCACATGGGTAATTAATAGCTAGTTAAATATGAGAAAAAATAACTAATTTTAATTGAGAATACAATTAATTTATGTTTTTATTTTATTTTATATAATTTTTTTCTGAAACTATTCTTAATTATATTTATTGAAGAATTTGGATATCTTTTACTTGTATATTTAAGTTGTACAGCACATAACTTTAATGTGAAAGTTATTATTGAAAATACATTCTAATTGCATGTTCAAAAATCAATTATAAATAACTTTTAAACAAAGTCAAGGAAACACCAAGTTGAACTTTTTCCTTTTTCGTCACTTTGGTTGTCATTGAGCTGTGATGATGGAAAATGTTTGCCCCTATTTTATTTCTTGCCCTTTCTATGTTTGCATTAAAAGGAAAACAAATAAAGAACACATGGGTCACCATATTGCTGGCATGTCAATCAAGATCAATCTCTGGCTCAATATATACCCCAACAAGCATAAGGGCATTCTCCAACTGCCCCATTTATTTAGGACATCTTTCACACAAATAGACACTTTCATCTACATTATGGCTTTTGTTTAAATTTTTTTTATACTTCCCTCCCCAGTAACGGACGCCTACATATTTTACAACTGTTGGTTGGTAATTTAAATATACTCGTCAATAATTTGTTCGCATAATGAGTGTTAATAATAGTTAAAAGTTAACTATTGATACTTTTTTTTATAAAGTAAAAGTAGTTGTCAATTAATAATTGGAAATCAATTTTGTAGCATGATGTGGTTTTATGTCTAACTATACAATTTAACATATCTTTAAAACAGTCAGTACCACAATGGTGAAAGATACTTATCCATATTTCCAATTTCTCTCAATCGCACTATCCACTCTCTCGTGATGCATAGATAAAAGAGGATACTTACCTAAAATCGAGGGAACGTGTAACTACTAAGGAGGTATATATATCATGGAAAGACAATTTTGACTTTTAACTTGACAATGACAGAGAGAGATAATAAACTAGATTTCACGGCCTCTAATTTATGCCAAAACATTTGGCATTTACTGTATGAACAAATAATATATATATATATATATATATATATATATATATATAATTGAATCCTGATTAACCTAATTGAGGTAACATTTAAGAATGTTATGGAAGATATCAAAATAGAACATTGTATTCCATTTTCTTGGTTTTCAATTATTTTAGTGCAACCAATGTAAGACTTTGTACAGAATATAATAACTCTCACTCTCCATTCCATCTAGTCTAGCAAACATTATTGAAGAGATTCAACAATTTGCAAACTGTGTCCAGTTTCTTTAAAGAGTAAATTTTACATAACAAATACTTTTTTCAAAAAGTGGTTGTGAATATGTGAGAAGAATGCGATTGGTGCATGTATCAGTATCTATGATTTATAGTGCTACTTGGCTAATAAAGAATGGCCATGTGGTGGTTATAGTTGATGGAATTTACGTTTATTGTCTCCTTCCTGCAATTATTACACTTGGCTAACTAGCTAGCCAAGACATACCAGTGATGCGGTGAAATTGCATTCTAGCAATATATAGTAACTTTCAAATCAATACTTTCACCTATTAACTAATCAACTAATACATGTGAAAGTTAATATGATGACAGAAACATGCATGGTAAGGGGTTTCATGTGATCTTGCCTTGACCATGCCTTGCTCATGGTCATGTCCTATCATCAGTTTCTTCCCTCATTAATCAAGCGGCAGGTATGGTCGTTCAAAGAGTATCAAAACCCAAACACAAACCAATTTGAACAACTTACCCAATTAAAGAAACCATTGAACTTAGTTTGCTTTTCAGTTTCGAAATAGATATTTTCTTTGTTTGATCTTGTGTGATTTTTCAAACCAAGCTGAACCCAAGGGTAAGAAGTTTCTATCAGTAATCTTGTCGGCAATGCATTAATTAGAAATCACATTGAAGTGTA